GAGTTACCAAGCAGCGCGACTCTTGCATCCGTCCAAATCCTGTCGCTGTACCCAACAACGGTACAATGTTGTCATGGCGTAGAATCTTCAAAAATACCAATTTCTCGGCTGATTTTCTGGATAATTCAAAGTAGCATTGAGTTGATATAGCTCATCCGATTCTCCCGGCGCGCGTCACTTACCCTGTTGATTCGCTCCAAATCATAATACTCTGGAAATCTGAATGACTTGACCGCAACCTTACGTACCGATCGATCAGCGTAAGCCAGCGCATGGCAAAGGCATCTAAAACATGCACTGACGAAGGTTGAATTATCACTGTCTGCAATGTAATTGCATTTCCAGACATCGCCAAATGCACCTCCACTAACGTGGTCCTGAGTTGTTCGAGTGATAAAGGGTGTTAAATCGTTTTCCACCCTACACGGTAAGTTGAGTAAAGCTGCAGATACTTCGGCACCAATCACAATGCAACCATACCCCGGATCGCGGTTCTCCATACTTTCTTCTATCAGCCTGCAGTCAAAGAAATGTGGATCGGGTACAGTTGATACGGTTCGTAGTTGATGTTTCGAAGCCTAAGGTATTTCACGTTCGAAGTTGGCAATGGATAGCAAGGTGGTTTGGGGTGAGTCTTAAGTGTGCACATAAATAGAGTATACCCCCGGGTACCACCTGGGCGTGGTGACCTCATGTTTCCCACATGTTCATGCCCACCATTTACTACTAGTAGCACGGGGCCCAAATTATAACCCTCAGCCCACTGGCAGCCAATTACCCTCATTGGGGGGATGAGAGGCCTGGGGTACGTCTTCTCTTTTCCGGTTTGGTTTGATGAAGCTGATGGATTTTATGTTTCTTTTTGGGGTTTTGATTTTGATTTTGGTCTTCTATTATTCTGATTCTTGATCTGGTTCTTGTGCTGGGGATCTACGTGAACGATATCAGACTGCGATACCCCATCAGTCTCGTTATCATCGTCTTCTTCTCGCTCCTTGCTACTTCCATTGTGTTCGAGCACCACGATGTGTTGGTTAGAGGTGCGTGCTTTCATTCGTTTCTCCTTTGATGTGGTTCGAGTTTTGTCCGAGTTTTGTCAGCTCCATTTCATTCACTATTCATTCTGTTTATTTGTCCTTCTGGTCGGGTGCGCAATGATGTTCATAGTAGGTTGTCTTTCTGAACACTGATTGTATACTCATTCTGACGCGCACTTTTCCCTTTCCCTCTTCCCGCTCCCTTATTCCTTCCTTAAACTTCAACTAACACCTCCTACCAGTGACGAACAAACACATTCGGCTCCCATCTCGGCCCTCTATCCTGACTGTATTCATCGTTCTCGGCCCCAGGAGGAGGACAAGCGCAAGCGCCATGGGAGAGAATACTGAGCAACCCATACGCTCTTCCTCCGATTCTGTTTTGTGTGGCAATTTCGTGGGGTGAGATGGTTTTGGAATGTGTGAGTACTCTCCCCACTAGCAAAACTCCTTGCTGCGCAACGACCTACCTCCAAATAATCTTACTCGATGATATAACCTACGCTAACTCTCCACGCAGCGCACACCACCTACCATTTGACCTTCCCTAGCAACTCTCCAAGTCATCATCACCACACACATTGCATACGTAGCGTGTATAGTCCTAGGCGGTGTGTTGTTGCAGACTGCACCTACATCGTTGTTCGGCGGCGTGGGTGGCATAGGCACAAAAGGCACGGGTATATGCGCAAAAGGCATAAACACCCTAGAATCCAAAATGGAATCCTTCTGGCACGTCGTCCGCGAAATCGAGCGACACGGACATGTCATGAGTCTTCCTGCTCCGTATATGTGGTAGGTGTGTCTGCCTGGACTGAGGGAGATGAGGTCTTCTAGGCTACGGTCTGCACCAGGGTCCGCCTTCTCGTCGATGTTCCCGTTTGCACCACGATCTGCTCTCTCACCCTGTCCCCCCCAACGCGCCAAGAGGACCAGAACTGCAATTGATAATAACACTTTCACTACATGTCCCACATTCGTTGTGCGATGAGGTATTGAAGTTTACGCGGTGAGTGTGAGAGGATTAAGGGGGCATTTATCGGTGATAGAGTGAGGGGGTTTGGGGTGGAGGTTGAGATCATGTCACTTAATGGTCACGTATCAATACTTGCCAGAAATCTGACGTCTAGTATGGGCAAGGATACACAACTCTACAGAGGGAACATGGTGTCATTCTGCCCATGTCGGCGACACTTATACTCCTCTCCTCACTCACCCGCGGGCTACAGAATCCTACCACTACTTTTTCCTTGTCATCACTCACTCCACATCCCGCACTCCAAACCCTCAATGCGTCACTTCGGCTCAACACTCTTGGAACCCAGGCCAATGTCAACACCCGGTTGTGGGTGTAATACTTGTGGCATCATGAATGAGCCCAGAGTCGGGGGCTCTTGTGGGTGTAAGACCTAGTTTGGCTCGGGGTGTGATGTGAATAGGAGAGGAGGATGGGGGTGGGGACTGTGCGTCTTGGTCAAGGTCCATTTGCGCGTGTTGGTGTTGTTCATAGTTAGTAGTGACGAAAAGAAACAAATGGGAGACTGATTTCGCCCTCCTCGCCCTTATCCTCATCTTGCTGATCTTTGTTGGCATTTTCTCTGGGCGCAGTGGAACTCAAGCGGAAAGCCCATAACAACGCCTGCGCGGTACAGCATCGAGGAATTTGAGCCATGTGCTCGGTTGAGGAATCGGCTCCTCGGCGATATCCGAGTCTGCGCTGCTTCAGCGTATACTGTATGTATTATCCTTCAAGGCTCCGCCAGCCAAAGTATAGTGGGTTTGAGGCCAAGCTAAAATGCAGCTGGCCAATGCAAGATTGTCGTGTGCGACGCAGGACACCGGGTGTGGTGGCTATGAAGAAGACGCGTCATCGGGAGATGGGTCACCCGGTAAGCTTATTGCGTTGTGCAAGGAAAGAGAAGAGAATATAGAACGATGGGCAAGGAAGAAGTTAAGTTGACATGACGAGCTCCCCTTCTACCCACATGTCTGTTTAACTTCAAATCAATCCAAAACATCGGCTGTACACTCCCATAATCACATATTCGTCTCCCCACCTCGAAAAATAAAAACAAGTCATGCACTCACCGTCTCCTCCAGGATCCGGCCTTCACTCCATTCACAGCCGTCGATGGTGAGGCATGCTCTGCCAAAGACGTCGAGGATTGAAGGCCTGCCAACGCAAATGGTGTGTATGTATTATAGACAAATAAGCCACGCACCATGCCATGTTTTTCCAGCAACACAATCTTCACGTGCAGAGCATTGATCTCTGGGCAATACAGACGAACACTGCTGCCGTCGGGTCGCGTTCAAAGGCAATTGTCTCCTCGTTGATCGGTAATGCTGCTACCTGCTCATCAGTCATCCATTTCACCAGCCGCAGCATACCAAACAGCCCTATTTTGCTGCCGTCCATTGTGATGAGCAAGTTCAAGCAAGACTTAGGCAAAGTTTGTTCGGTTCGCGTCATGCCACACGTGCAAGGTCATGTGATCGCGTCATGATTTAGCTCGGTCATTACAAAAGTATAAATGTATCACCAGTATACCGTGATCAGGAATTATAAGTGCGGCACCAAAGTAATCCATGACACCGTCTTGTATGCGTCAGGAGGAAGATTGCGTAAAGTGGTGAACATAAGTACCAAGAGGATGGCACGAGCTGTGATGTACAGCATGGCATATAATACACATACAGGCCAGCTCACCGCATCTGGTGTGTCTAGGACTCCAAGAAGATATAAAGTGAACAAACTAAGCCAGGGTGTGCAAGTTATGGCGACGGCACTCATGCGCCATAGCACCTGTTCCTGATATGTGTGGAAGGCAAAAAACCAAGCCATACAATGGATGCCGCCAAATATGGTTGCCATAAGCAATCCAGCACACACAAGAACTTCCCTGTCTGAATACTCGAGTTTGATGCTGCCATCAAATGTTGGAACTCGGAGCTTTCGAGATGTGGGAATGTAAAATAAGCCTAACAGTTCATCAATGGGGCGGATAACTAGAAACAAGATCTCCCATACAGCGACTTGGTCGCTTTCAGGGACACTAAAGCAGATATAATTAGCAGCGATGCAATCCTCGAGGCACATACATACTAAACGTGATCCTCTGGCCTTGACGTGGTTGATTTCCAGTATACCGGATGTGGACGTTGCACATTGAGAGGCTTGTTCCACCACACAGCATAAGTTATGAAATTGAGGACCGCAAAAGCGAGTGTCCCCACTTCGAGCTGGGTGGTCTCGAGGTGATAGATGGCGCGGGTGATGAGCTGCATAATAAACCAGGCCACCTGGAGCATGATCAGTCCTTTCGATATCGCATTGCCTTTGCTCCTGTCGTGGATCTGGTTTGCCGTTAGGGTAGGGGCGTCGATGCACCGGTCACGCATCAGTTTGAGAATGGAGTCAGGACGTAGTGTAAGGTAGGGTTCCCCGTCCACATAAAGCATGAAGCCACCCATCAGCACAAAGAAGCTGTGTGTCTTAGTCCATGCATCATCTAATGATGCACATGAATCAACATCTGGGTGAGCACGAGTGGGGCTTACCTTCAGATTGCTCTGAGAAATAAGCCTTAACCGACCTTTGGATCCACCTCGCAAAGACAGCAGGGAAACGCCGAAGAAACATCAGCACGGATAATATACGTGTAGCAAGTACTATGAGAAGGCGGCGAAGGAAACGATTTTCATGTTGCTCAGGTGCTTCGGGCTCCTTTTCTAAGGACAGGTATAGTAAATGGTGAGATACAGAGTTTCTGAAAGCACAACTCACCTTCGGACTGCGCCTGCTCCGGAAGAACGCTGGGATACCCCGATTTCTCGAACCGTCTTGTAACATAGCAAGCACTGAACCACTGGCGCATAGCCCATGTCACCATCAGTTCAGGAGCGATGAGTGCCATTATCATGATGCCAAGTCTCCGCCGTAAGATACGATAGGGACTGTCCTTGGGACTCGGAATATTGATGTGAATGGCACTGTAAATACAAGCAAATAGAGTGATGACGGAGCTGGAGATGATTGTCCATAGGGTTCTGGTCGTGAATGATGGGGCTTTCAAACTGTCGCTAGTAGTAGTATTTGATGTGTTTGTTGTAGGTGCAGCTCGGGTGACTCCAACGAGGTAGAGGAAGGCGCAGAAAACTAGTAAGCGCATTATTGGATGTCACTTTTCGGTGTATCACCGTATGCGTCCTGTTCACTATTTGTATTTTACTGGCGGGCGTCAGTACAATGGGGGTAGATTGGAAATAGGCCAGTTTTATCTCTCGAGCGTTCCGACGGTCACGAAAACAAGATACGCGAGGCCCTCGAAAACCTCGTTGGCTAGAATCGCGAGAATCAAGTTTGCATTGTGGTGTTCTTCCCTTAAATTGTCCGTGTACTAGCGGAAGACGAAGGAATAGGTACGTGGGTTGTGAGAGACTGCAGGCAGGACATTGTTGTTGGGTACAGTCGTCAGACCACATCAGGGCAAGAGACGGGAGGGTGTAAGAAGCAGAGAGTCCCGGTGGACATTCGGCATGGGCAATAGCAGACGTGCTATGGTAAGCTTGACCTTCAAATTAGACATAACTAGCCAGTGAAAACTTGCCGAGCGGTGCTGGAGGTCTTGACATCTGCCTTGATACACGTGCCTTACTCTTCCCAAGATTTGGAAGCCAAAGTACTTCAGAATATTGGTAACAGGGAACCTATGACTCCTGACATGCTGGCGCCTCAAGAACGGGTTTGATGAGGCCAAACTAAATGTGCACATGTGAGCGTCTGTTCTAATCACGTTCCATGACGATAAGCAGTTGTGACAGTGCGACCCTAACGTGTGTCCAATGGCAGGATTTAATTTACCTTCCAGCGCGCAGAATCTGATCTGATCACAGGTCTTCTTTCTTCGCAGCCCCAGAGCGGTTGTTTGTCATCGATACTCTTGCGCGCTCCGTGCACAGAGTAACGACTGACCATCTCCACAGTCATCCATGCTTCCTTTGGCGTGTAGATGTCCCGGTCCTGGCAACCCATGACTTCCACGATAGCGCAAATTTGCCCCCAGATTGCGTAGTAATGGAATCGTTCAGTCAGAAATTACATCATACCGCAGATAAAAACTATTCCATCGTCTTCCAGAACAAAGATGTCCTTGCCTGAATATCATTGGTTATCAGGAAATGGTTGAAGTTGTTGAGGACAATAACCTTGGCGTTGTAAGTAACGATGTCAAGATTCAGAGGTTCGGAAGTGCTGACGTACGTGCCAAGCGAGTTCAAAGCGAGCTGCCAAGTTTCACCGATCGACTTCAAAATGTAGGGAACGGGCCCAACGCCACGATGCTGAACTCATATTGTCGATGGCTGGCCGTGATGATAGATGCTGGTCCTGCAGCTGCAGACTTGCTACCGTTGGCATACTGCAAGATAGGATACGGTTTGTTTTGATCTTACAATACAGACTACTGGAGACGATAGAAGTTGACAGCTGCGAAACTGAGCCAATCCGGTTTATCCGAGTTCGACTGAGCTGATACATGATGGAAACTAAAGTGAAGGTAGGCAAGAAAGCATAAGCGTGGATGTGGATTGCGGCTACTTGATCAAGGGATTTGCTGGCAATTAGGGGGATAAATATTGGAGATGGACTTCGGTCGCGTGAGTCGTTTAAAAGGAGCGTGTAGGGCGGTTGGATGGGCACAGGTATCAAGGGTTTTAGCCTTACTACGGAGTGCAAGAAGGCCTAGGGCCTATTCATTGGGTGGGTGCCGTTACGAGAGTGGAAAATGTTGACGTCGCACCGAGTTCAAGATGACTGGAAAGTTGCCAAGTCATCAGCTATAGGCGATTCAAGTCAGTACTATAAGTATGCATAAACTTTCCCGACTCACATGGGCGCGCGTTGAACGCACCAGGGAAGACATATCAAATACGGAGGACCGTGGAGGGCATTCACGTATAATTGTTCAGGCCCATCAGTTTGTTCGAGCTGGAACCAGTGCGAGAAGTTGACACGGAGAAGGCGTATCGCGCGTCCAACGGTGAATTTATATGATGACAATACATCATGAGCTATGAGGAAGAGCACCACTTATAAAAACAACGCTCCCGCAAAATCAGCGCGAGAGATGTAACGTGTTATATTATGATGGGCGGGGATGCTCACTTTGAATGCCTTTGATTTATCCTCGACCAAGGTATCAGGATCACACCACCCAGCGGCATGCTTGTAATGGACGTAGCGCCAGCATGACGCTGAATCACGTCGTGGTTATTACTTCTGAGTGGGAAAAGAGGGTCTTTGAGCGTCGTACCGTGGTGGTCGCACTCTAGTACTTTGCGGAACTGATATTAGATGATTTTGTTCATCGATGCTGGCATTAAATTTTATCGTTGACGTCGGATGGTGGTTGATGTAAAGGATGTCACTTGCAAGTCCAAATAAGCAGGTGACCCAGGACGTAAAATTAAACGACGACCATTAAGCCACTCCTTCTCCATTCCACTCTCTTTAGAATCATAATTACTTTAGCAGTGCAGGCATGCACCGCCGAAAGTCCAGCAAGGAAGACTTAGACGACAGTGACACGTTTGTCCTCATTCCAGAAAACAATGAGCCAACGACGGCGCCTATGTTGACAGCGGCGCCTGCTAGGCTTGGACTACCACAACTTGGTCCAGGAATACCAGCGCGTCCACCAACAGTGAAACGTCCACCTAGCATTTCTCTAAACTCACCGCCTACCTCTCCATTCCGTGCATCACATGCTCGGGTACGAAGCATATCCTCGGGTCCATTCGTGCCACCCGTGTCATCTCCGCTCGCAAATACGTTCCATGTCCCACTTCATCCGTTTGAGCCGGGTCAGGTTGACGACGCCGCAGAAGGACTCAGAGGACACGGACGAAGACACAGCCGAATGCACTCGCGCAACTTATCGTTTTTCTTTCCCCGCCCGCACGCAACCATCTCTGAAGATCTCCCTTCAGACGTCGAATCTGCCCCAAATAACAATTCACAATCCCAAATCGACCTTCATATACCCGCATCTCAAAGCGAGCCCCTTCAGATCGGGCATGACCGTACAGCTTCTTTTTCATTCGGCTCCTCGGGCTCTATGCTCAAGTCAAACTCTACAGGTGCAGTCCCAGCTGGCGTGACAGCACGTAGAGGTCATCATCATAAACATTCACTCTCTCATAACTTCTTTTCTTTCCTTGATCCTGCTCGTCAATCACAACCAGAAGCAAAACCTGAGGAGTTGCATACGGCTCCTACCCCTGCTCCGATGTCCCCGTGGAGTCCGGCGAGCAACATCCAAGGCGGAGAGAGCGCAGGCTCTGGCAACGTCGATCTTACAACAGGCACAAGCTCTCGTTCCAGCTCAGCATCCCCTGCACTCCCTCCCTCGCCTTATTTCTCTTTGAATCTACGCAAAGACGGTCTTTTGGCGCGAGTTGCATGCGTACTGCAATTCTGCTTGGGTGCGTTGCTCTGGGTGCGGGGACAGGCTATCGGGTCGTTGGCTTGTACAGGCCTGGGGTATTGGGTCGTGTTCGACGCATTTGGAATCGCAGTGGGCGGGCCTCTTCTTGGGAGAAGCAAGAGTGGTTTTGGGTGAGTTTTGTTCTTCGGTCGTCTCCACGCACATATCGCAGCGTCGTCTGCACAAGCGCGCATACATCCACATTACACCCACCCTCTACCCTCTCTACCTCCCATGTTACCCACCCAAACTAACCCCCTACCCAGCCCAGCACGCACACAAACAACTCTCCTCTTCGCCCAATGTGTCTACCTCATGTTCGCAGGCGTATACGTAGCCAAAGAAGCTGTCGAACATATTCTGCTTTCTGCGGGACACGGGCACGGGCACGGGCGCCCTTCCCCTTCTTCTCCCGCTGCATCAACGTTAACTTTGAATGCATCACCGAACGCAGCTGGAGGTATCACGCGAGGCCTGGGTCTGCACGGCGCAGGTGAGATGGGGAATGATGGACATCATCATCATTGGGGGGATGAGAGACCTGAGATGTTGGGGTGCGTCTTCTCTTCTCTTGTTTGGCTTGGTGAAGCTGATGGATTTCGTGTTTCTTTTTTGGGTTTTGATCTTGGTTTTCTATTGTTCTGCTTCTTGTGCTGGGGATCTACGTGAACGACATCAGACTGCAATACCCCCTCGGTCTCGTTATCATGGTCCTCCTCTCGCTCCTTTTTACTTCCATTGTGTTTGAGCACCACGATGTGTTGGTTAGAGGTATGTTTTTTCGTCCCTCCCACTTTTCATGTGGCTCTTGTTTCGTTTCAGTTCGTCTCCAGCCCCATTTCGTTCGCTGTTCATTCGGTTTATTTGTCCTTGGGGTTGGGTGCGCAATGATGTTCACAACATATTATGCTGTTGCATCTGAACACTGACTGCATACTCATTCTGATGCGCATCCCTCCCTCTTCATTGCTCCTTCCTTAAACCCCAGCTAACAGCTCCCACCAGTAACGAACAAACACATTCACCTCCCATCCCCACTCTCTCTCTTCCAGCGCTCCCGACTCCATCCATCGTTCTCTGTCCCAGGAAGAGGACAAACGCAAGCGCCATGGGAGAGAATATTGAGGAACCCATATGCTCTTCCTCCGATTCTGTTTTGTGTGGCGATTCTGGGGGGTGAGATGGTTTTGAATGTGTGAGTACTTGTTCTTCGAGGGCTTTGTTGCTCGACTTCATTCATTCTTGCGATCACCTTTCTCTTCATTTGAAAGACTCCTTTCTGCACATTGACCTACCTTCAAATAATCTTACTCGATGATATAACCTATGCTAACTCTCCACGCAGCGCACACTACACACCTTTCGACCTTTCTCTAGCAACTCTCCAGGTCATCATCACCACGCACGTCGCATACACAGCGTGTATAGTTCTAGGTGGTGTGTTGTTGCAGACTGCACCTGTAGCATCGTTCGGCAGCGTGGGTAGTATAGGCACGAAAGGCATGGGTGCAGGCGCAAAGGGCACAAATAACCTAGAATCTAAAATGGAATCGTTCTGGCGCGTCGTCCGCGAAATCGAACGACATGAACATGTCACGAGTCTTCCTGCTCCGCATGTGTGGCAGGTTCGTCCGCCTGGACAGGGGGAGATGAGGTCTTCTGGGTTACGGTCTGCGCCAGTGTCTGCCTTCTCGCCGGCGTTCCCGTCTGCGCCACAATCTGCTCTCTCACCCTCTGACTCTACATCCCCTTTTTCCGACGTGCCAAGAGGGCCGGAACCGCAGTTGATAATCACGCTCTCACCACATGTCCCTTCTTCGTTGCGTGATGAGGATGTATTGAAGTTTACGCGATGGGCATGTGAGAGGGTCAGGGGGGCATTTGTGGGTGATGGAGTGAGAGGGGTTGGAGTGGAGGTTGAGGTGTGCGTGGGTGTTATCAGGGAGTAGGTGCATGGGAAAAGCGGAGGCAGCAGCGCTGTATAACCTTCTTTGTGTTTACCTTTCCCAGCTACGCTGAATACCCTTCTCATTCTGACAGGCCGAGAATTGCAATATTGGGCTGATTTCGGGCCACGCGCACGCAGTGATGATACAATGACCAGTCAATTCGGAAGTTAACTAGCTGCCCTACATATTTAGTTTGGTTGACACGCACGCCGGAGTGACTGATACAAAACGACTTGTCGACGCGCATGCTGGGATATTGGAACGCTGATTAACCAATGGTCAAGCGCTCGAAAGTTTTTAGGCTCCTGCTTACTGGGCCACCATAGGCTATCATACATGTTTCTGGCATGTGTCACTACAGATAGGATCAAAACTACCGTTTCCCCCATGAGGTTGAAGCATTGTGGATGACCACGTCCGAGTCACAGGCGAGTCACACATATGATAGGTGTATTTAATTGAACAGTCGCTAGTCATCGTTCACCATGGGGTTTTCTGTATGTGCGTCACGGAATGTTGTTTCCACCCCTGATTGAGATTCGTCATCTCCCTTTTCCACGTCAAGATCTATTCCGTTTCTTCGCCCACCAGCGTGACGTGAAGCGAACTGTACCCACCCTGTAAATCCTAGCCCGAATGCGCCACCATGAGAGTTATGAGTTCGAGTCAGTAGCTCAACCATTGGAAATTTCCGTACCCGTAACAAGCACGCTGTTCCGAATTAATTGATTCTACTACTTGCTTATCCAGTGCCTAGTGGTTTGGGTTCTAGCTGGGGAAGAGTAGTCTAAGGCCTGCATAGGAGAGACTAGAATGTCGAGACTAGGAAACGAGGCAGTTCAGGAGGGTATGGACGTGCGTTGGATATTTTCTAATGTTGAACTCAGGAGTCAGGCGTTTGCATGTACTAATAGAGTGGTCAACACTACCAGGGTCTCGTACTAGGTAGTACTCAATAGCGGATATGGATGTGACACTCTGTAAATCAGGCAAGTTCCCAGTTCTCCGAGTCCTCCTGCGAGTCAATCTTTGAAGAAGCCGCATCGCATCTTGCTTGGAAAGCTTGCAACGCTTCACAAGCGCCTGTGCCATCTTATCACGATTCACCCCTGACCGCAAATGCCCCCTGCCTGGAATCAAAAACTCTCGCAGCTTCTTGCACATTCGCGCAAACCAATCATTCACATCCACCAAGCACGCGTCACGACTTCCAAGTTCCATAAGCACATTTAGCACCTTCTTCCTGGATTCGAAGTATCTGGCTTCGTATGCGTTTTGGTAGCCCTTAATAGTTATGATGCAGACATGCGCAACGGTGACAATACCGGAGTTTTCGATATGTGCCTTGTTCATCATCCACCAGTCGCCATGTTCTTCTCGTTCTCGAGATTAGTAATGACCAGGGCAAGAGGCACCTGCTCTTGGCACAGGAACCCAAAGAATAATCTGTAGTTCTGCTGCATAGTGTTCGACGTTCTGCCAGCCTTGATGCAGAAAAGCAAGCCATGTACACCTCCTCGGTTCTTGAGCGAGACGATGAGTTCGTGTACCTTCACTAAGGTATCTAGATAGCTCGCAATATACATAGTGGGGGAGTTAAAGCTAGCCTGGATGTTTCTTGAATTAGAATACCGGCATGCTGGAGATCATGGTATTCACTTACTGTGTCAAACAGATTCACATTAAGCCGGGAATCCGAAAACGTGACCGGATACTCAGTTGATTCGAGTGTGCACAACTGTGCACCGGAAAAGGTCTTGGCGAGTTCTTCCCCAGCAATGAGAATTACCAATGCGCTTTTTCCTACGCCCGTTTCGCCGAAGATAATGAAGTTTGGTGGCTTCGTATGTGCGCAAACTAGAGGGGGAGTGATTGGCACTCCTGAATGCGTCGTAAAAGAATACGGTGAACTTACGTACTTCATTTGCTGAAGGTCGAAATTCGGGCTTGCGTAACAGACACCTTTGTATAATGACCCAATCTGAGTCTATTATTGCAGGATGGCCGTCGGGGCGCTGCGGTCCATGACCTTCTAATATCAAAGCAACGATACGCAATTCCGACTTTTCAGGCTTGATCTCAGACCAAGGGTGTCGGCCAGAGAGAATCTGTTGAATGAGTCCTCGGGCAAACATTTCGTGGCCAAACCACCGACTCACTTGAAGCATTACACAACCAAAAGAGTATATATGAGTTTTTTCCAGAGGCAGGCCACGGACATTGTCTGACAGAACAAGCTCTGGTGCTGCATAGTGGATTGCGCCTGGGTTTATAGATGTCGCAGCCAGTTGCGACTGGCCGAGAAGGGGTCGGACAATAGTGGAAAGACCAAAATCAATCAACCTTGCACGGCCCCCCTCATCAATTAGGATATTCGCCTGCAGGTTCGAAATTAGTTGTCAAGAATGCCTCAGCAGCTCCAGGTTCACCCCTGTTATATCCCGTGCACGTACGTGCACTGCACCAAAGGTAGGTCACCACTCATTTCAAACGTCTTGAGAAGATAATGAAACTAATAATAGCACAGTCCAGCGCTGACATCCTTTACCTTGCAACTTCGAGTGAGTCTTGAGAAGTGAAAGGTGTGATAAGAATTCTACTCACCATACGTGAACGGTCCAGCTCTGTGAGATCACTGTGGTTAGATGCTAGGTAGGCATTCAACGTGCCGTTTGGAATCCATGGAGTTACTAAGCAGCGCGATTGTGGCATCCGTTCAAATCCTGTCACTGTACCCAACAACGGTACAATGTTGTCATGGCGTAGAATCTTCAAAATGCCAATGTCTCCTGATTTTCTGGATAATCCAAAGTAACATTGAGTTAATACACTTGTCTGGTTCTCCCGGCACATGTCACTTACCCTGCTGATTTGCTCCGAATTATAATGCTCTGGAAATTTGAAGGCCTTGACCGCAACCTTATATACCGATTCAGCGTAAGCCAGCACATGCCAGTGGTAAAGGCATCGAACACATGGACTGACGAAGGTTGAAATACCGCTATTTGCACTGTAATTGCATTTCCAGATATCACCAAATGCACCTGCCCCAACATGGTCCTGAGTTGTTCGAGTAATGTTAAATCGTCTGGCAAGTCTTCCACCCTACATGCCAAGTTCAGTAAAGCTTCAGATACTGCGGCACCAAGCACATTAATACGGCCATACCCCGAATCACGGTTCTCCATACTTTCTTCTATTCGCCTGCCCGGGTCAAAGAATGCGGATCGGGTTCAATTGATACGGCTCGTAGTAGTCGATAGGCCCACGTTCGAAGTTGGCAGTAGATAGACAGAGAACTCTGGGAAAATACGGCGATAAGCCGCTCCTTCTCCATAGCAAATATCGCCTCGTTGTCTGCGCAAGTGGGCATATTCCCCCATGTTACCCACTCAAACTGACCATCCTACCCAGCACGCACACAAACAACCCTCCTCTTCGCCCAACGTGTCTACCTCATGTTCGCAAGCATATACGTAGCCAAAGAAGCTGTCGAATATATTCCGCTTTCTGCGGGACATGGACATGGGCATTGGGAACGTGCGCCCTTCCCTTTCTTCTCCCTCCGCTGTATCAATGTTAGCTTTGCTGAGGGTATCACGCGAGGTCTGCACGGGCGCAGGTGAGATGGGGGATGATGGGCATCATCATCGTTGAACGTTGAGAGATGAGAGGTGCGTTTTCTCTAGATTTCCTGTTTGGTTTGGTGCTTTCGTGTTGCTTTTTGGGATTCTGGTTTTGGTTTTGGTCCTCCATTGTTCTGCTTCTTGTGCGGGGGATCTGCATCGCTACTTCCATTGTATTCGAGCACTATGACTCGGACTCGGATGTATTGGTTAGAGGTGTGTGTTTTTGTTTGTCCGCGTAGTGTCTGTGGCTCCATTTCGTTTGCTTCATTCGGTTTATTTGTCCTTGGGGTTGGGTGCGCAATGATGTTCACAATATATTATGGTGTTGCATCTGAATCTGAACACTGATTACATACTCATTCTGATGCGCACCCTTCCTTCTCCTTTCCTCTCCCTTGCTTCCTCCTCAAATCCCAACTAACACCTCCCACCAGTAACGAACAAATACATTCACCTCCCATCACCGCTATCCTTATCCCAGCGCTCTCCACTCCCTCCATCAGTCCCAGGAAGAGGACAAGCGCAAGCGCCATGGGAGATAATATCAAGCAACTATACGCTTCCTCCGATTCTGCTTTGTGTGGTGATTCTGGGGGGAGACATGTGTGAATACTTGTTCTTTGACGGCTTTTTTTGCTCGACATTCTTGCCATGACCTTTCTCCTCACTCGCAAGACTCCTTCCTGCACAACGACCTACCTTCAAATAATCGTACTCAATGACATAGCCTACGCTAACTCTCCATGCAGCGCACACCACACACCTTTTGACCTTTGTCTAGCAATTCTCCAAGTCATCATCACCACGCACGTCGCATACGTAGCGTGTGTAGTCCGAGGAGGTGTGTTGTTGCAGACTGCACCTGCAATGTTGCTCGGCGGCGTGGGTGGTCTACACACGGGTATATGCGCAAAGGGCATAAGCACCCTAGAATCCAAAATGGAATCCTTCTGGCGCATCGTCTGCGAAATCAAGAGCGATACGAATACGTCATGAGTCTTCTTGCTATGCGTGTATGGCAGGTGTGTCCGCCTGGAGGGGAGATGAGGTCTTCTGGGTTACGGTCTGCGCCAGGGTTTGCCTTCTCGTCGGCCTTTCCGTCTGCGCCACGATCTGCTCTCACACTGCCCTTTGACTTGTCATCCCCCTTTTCCGACACGCCAAGAAGACTGGAGCCGCAGTTGATAATCACGCTTTCACTGTGTTCTGTCTTCGTTGCGCCATTGACAGGATATTGAAGTTTACGCAGTGGGCGTGTGAGAGGGTTAGGAGGGTATTTGTGGGTGATGGAGTGGGAGGGGTTGGGGTGGAAGCTGGGGTGTGCGTGGGTGTTATTAGGGGGTAGGTGCATGGGAAAAGCGGAGGTGGCAGCGCTATATAACCTTCTTTGTGTTTACCTTTCCCAGCTACGCTGAATATCCTTCTTATTCTGATAGCCTCAATATCGGGCTGATTTCGGCCACGCGCACACGGTGATGATGCAATAATCGGTCAATTCGGAAGTTAACTAACCACCGTACATATTTAGTTTGGTCGACACGCACGCGCGACGGAGTGACTTATACAAAACGACTTGTCACGTATGCTGGGAAGTTGGAATGCCGATTAACTAATGGTCAAGCGCTCGAAAGTTTTTAGGCTCCTGCTTACTGGGCTACCATATTTCTGGCGTGTCACTGAAGATAGGATCAAAACCTCCGCTACCCCAGGTTCACGATTCACACTATACTAGTTCCCAGGCACTCCTGCACAACTACCCCGTTTGTTACGGCGCGACGACGGTGACTTCGGTCTATGACGCGTCCCGATAAATTTAGCAGCACTTCCCGAGCCTTGCATCGACTTGGCGTTCCCCCGCGAGGTTGAAACTTGAAGCATTGTGGCACACGATCGCGTCATAGGCGGGTTACTATGCATCGCATACACGGCAGGTGTGTCCAGATGGACAGTTGTTAGTCGTCGCTTGCCATGAGGTTTTCTGCGTACGCGACGTCATGGTACCTCTGATTCGTCATCTCCCTTTCCACGTCAAGATCTTCGCCCACCAGCATGACGTGAATTCGCTTCGAGTCTTACGATAATCGAACTGTGCCCACCCTAGCTCGAATGCGCCACCATAGCAGATAGGTCAAATATTAATGTCTGGAGGAAACATAGTAGTAGGCCATTTATGCCAATCATTCCATATTAATTATATGTCAAGTGCAAAATATCCTTTCAACTCTCGTCCGCAATCCCTGTCGACGCTAGGTCTTTACTCGACTTTGTAAGCTGAGATGCTGTCATCCTGAGTAAATTGGGATATGTGGACCTCCAAAGGCATCATAGGATATTGCCGCACGTTTCCCTGTTCCATCTCCTCAGTCGTTCGTCTAGTATTGGCAGTCGAGAAGCGATGTCGAAAATTGAGCGTGATGCGAATAAGCACCATGTAGAAGGTGATCGATAAGATAGGTACGACCTAGTCAATCAGAGGTCAGTGTTGTTTTCCATAAAAGAGGTAAATAGCGGAATCACGATGTCCGACAAAACAGATTCTCCGTTGTTCGCGGTGATGAAACAGAAAAGAAAGGAGAACAGCATCACAGAGTATAATGCAGCGGCATCCACGAGCACGCGCACAATTACCATCACAGGTGCTCTTCGAAGTACGCAATTTAGAGACACGACGTTCGATCTTCCACACGCGATACACCAGTAGTCCTGGATACTTTCAGAGCCTCGACATCGGGATTGCGGGAACGTGCTTACCTGAACACACCAGATTAGTTGAAAGAGTCGAAACGATGAATGCCATGATCCATTTTTTAACGTCAGCGGCGAAGACGTCTCCGGGATCGGTGGTGGCTTGCGAATTACCATAGACCGCACGAACGCCAGTCACTGTGAAGCAGTATCAGGGCACACGGCTTCCAAAGTATTATTGCGACCCGACCTATGATGCTACACCACAGCAAAATGGGTAGGATGATCACCCGGACCGATTGCCAAAGAACATAGCAGCGATAAATCTTTTGCCAGACAAGATATTCCTGTAAGCCCATAGGTTTAAACGCAGATAAAAATAAGAACATACCATCACCCCATCAGCAAGTACAGTTTGGAAAATGTATAACGCGTGCTTGATCACATATGTCTCTTCTGTAACGTCTGCGAAGAATGCTGCTGGTCCGCCTGGCCACGTATCGCGATACTTCACCAGCCCGTTTTCGATACGAACGATGCCCACGATCATGTGCTTTGGAATTGTTAGCCGATGACACTATCCTATGTAAGAAGTAAAAAACTAACCACAGTGCTCACTAGCAATAGCAGGACTGGCCACTACAGCGATTGGGCGATTGACGTCCCGCATCCGACGCTTGTACGTCAAAGCCCAGATAGTGCCGATAAACAGGAGGACTGAAAAACCTGGAGAGGTGGGCTTAGCTCGGTGAGCATAGGACAGGACAACCCATCACGATACTCACCATATAAAATACCCTCCAGTATCGCTGACATCAAAGCGCTAGCATCCTCGGGGAGTTCAGCCATAGCAAATCTACAGTCCAGCTGGGAGATGTGGGCATCTGTGCCAGTTTCTATGTATCATTAAATATGTCATCGTGTCAGGATTTACACCGATTCAATTCATCCGCCGCGGGTGAAGTGGGGTTTAGTGATGGATACCGTGGGGACATCCGGTCGCTGTATCATCATGCATCGCTTTCGTCCATCAATTGGTCTGCCGGAACTATGATATTTTCGTTTGAAGCTGCTAGAGGACGTTTGTCTTCAAAATGGTTTGAATAGGGTTGACTAGGGTGAACATCACCCTTGGACTTGTTGTCATTTCTCTGGTACCTGTTGCATAAGCCCTGTAGACGCCGTTCACAATAAATATATGTTCTTCGTCCTGGCTACTTACCAACCGATACAAAACATAGAATGTACACGCACCGGCTAGTGACACATAAATACCCAGGACGGCTTCGTCCCACACAACCCCATGTATCGGAAGGTGACCTTGAACATCAGAAATAGAGAAGAGATCCCGCTCATTACCTGATCGGAACAATAGACGAGAACCCAAGGCACGGAGAGTACGAAAGTTTACTACAGGTGCAACATCTGGGCTGTGTGTACGTCATGCATAAACATGAATATAGAATACAAAAATAAACATCGAAGCCGTACAAAGGCACAAGAGTACTAGCAGGACCTGTAGAAATTTAGATTGGGAATGGACTGGGGTGAACTGTCAGCTAACCTTTTGAACAACTTTCACGGTGCGTCAAAATAAGTACGCCCCAGGATGAACCACAGGGAATTGTACAGCTACTATGGTATTTCTTTCTTCGCGCCGTGCTCACATAATGGATTAAGAGTACGTCTGCTGATGAGGGCTCAGTCTATATATACATTATGCCGCGGGGTGCTTGCGTGCTCTCGTATCGTTCTGCTTGGGCACGTCTTTGCTGTGTTTGAGCCTAGGATATTGGGGAATCTTTGACTCAGATGATTTCAAGACTTGTAGTGGGTGGGCCCTTCTTGGGAGGGGGTGGTTTGCGTGAGTTTTATTTTCTCTCTCCCTTGGGCAGGCCAAACAGAACAGAATGTGGGTCCGAACGCAACCAACCATACTGGTAACCAATGTTGAGAAACATACAAGATAAGTAAGTGCGAGCAGTGGGAAATGCCGCTGCCAGACGGAGGCGAAATGTACTGAGTAATACATATGCTATAGGGTCTTATATAATCAAGTATTAGCGCGTAGCGTGCAAGTTGAACTCGTCCGTCAGATATCCATCTGAGCGTCTCGGCATGTTTCAAATACCTGCTTTGCCTTGAAGATCTAATCCGATGCCATTCTGCGGCTACCTAGTGTCTCGGGACCCCATTTTTGGAAGAGCAAGGGTGGATTAGGGCCTCCATGCTCCTCGGGAGCAAGCTGACCTATTAAGAAGAGGTGTCTATGCCCGTTCATCCGGGTTTTGTCTGTGCTTGCTGGCTGTTTATATGAACCCCCCCCCCCCCCCCCATCCGCATCTCCAATCCTGCATATCCCTATTCTATTCAGTAACACCTTGCAGTTTTGTTTTATTTGTTCTTGTCGAAATTGGCTGCGAGACGATACTCATTCACACATGTCATACTCCGCCTCCTTTCATCCAACCAATACTTCCTTTCAGGACCAAACAAACACATCCACCTCATCCCCGCTCTCGTTATACAGTGATCCCGACCTCTCCATCAGTCCTAGGGAGATACTAAGCGCCATGGATCAGCTCAGGAATGAGACAAGACTCCACACGTCGTACATAAGGATATGGACATTAGACTCTACGACCACGATTTCTTCTATTTCGTCTGGTTCTGGGACGTGGGAGTTCCATGGTCGCTGGATTCGAGAGTGGTACTGTTGCTAATAGAAGACAATCGTCGAGCAGTTACAGGAAGCGAGGTGATGGAGGTTATATGCACTGAGTGATGTCTTAAGCCCCAATGCAGTATGTTGCACCCTACTGTTAGGTCCTTACTTGCTAATATGCTCTCAGACCATATGTAGCCCCCAGCTGACGCATTCAAACCGGTACTATACTATTGTACGCTAAATAAATAATGTCGTTTTCTCTAAATATTCGACGCATCCTTCGATCAATGTATGAGAGACCCTCTCGGCTTCCTAAGTGATTCTGCAATTCCTAAGAACGTTTCGGCAAGTTGTACCTAAGGACAGTGTTGAACACGATTGGTACATGTTCTTGCAGGAGCACTCTTACCGTATCTAAGGCCTGCGTATATGAAGACGCGACTGTTGCTGCTGGTGGGACCAATGGATCTCTTGGGGCATTGTTTTGAATGTCAAGCGCGATTTGAGACATTCTTCGCAGGTATGTAGAAGATGTATCTGAACCAAATGACACTGCATGGAAAGACAGTGGTTTGCTAAATTGTGTGTCAGAGGTTGCTGATCCGACATGAAAACCCGGTCACAGACCCAAGACGAACCGCGGAGCGGCACAAATCTTGAACAGGCTGATCTGCGATATAGCACTCGCCATCCGACAAAAATATGATTACGGGGCTCCTGAAAACAATGTTACAGGTCTCAAACACGTTCGTGGAGAGATCGAGCACCTTTCTGTACTCCAATGTTGTTCCATGACTGATCGAGTTTGTTGAATCGCAACAGTGAAGCTGGTGCCTCCATAAGCTGAATGAGGCAACATAGCATCTAGCAGCTGGTCAGGTGAACTAGAAAAGTCGTTGACGATGGCGTTTGTTGTGGACATGTCGAAAAGAATAACACTGTAAGAGTCGCGCCGGGCTCCCTGCTGAGCACTAATTGCTGCAGCACGGGCAGACCAGAAATAATATAGTGAAGACAGCACGGCACCAAACCGGTTGTCAGAGCGTCGCGTAATTCTGTCCGAGGCAGGAGTGTTCGGAAGAGGACGTCTGTCACGAAAGCTCATTGAAGAGGATCTGTTCATCATCATCAATAATCGCAGCGACACAAGACTTGCCTAATACCTATCAGCCACAAAGATTCTGAAGTGTAGTAATGGTACAATTATTAATGTCATTGCGACAGAACCCAAGATGACCACTCACACATGGAATGCTTGCTGGATGATCACGGGATTCCTGCATGAAAAGAGATGTCCGTCTTCGGAAATGTATCCTAAACCGATCTGGGTATTATTAGGATCTACTGGCGGGTGAAACAAAGGTAAAGTGCAATAGGATGGCTGAGCAGCATTTCCGGCAGCAGCGGTGTGCTCAGGTCCTGGAAACACGGTAAATCACCAATGGAACAAGCATGGGATACATCGTACCGCTACACATTGAGTCACTAACAAGAGCGTAGATTCAATGATATTATCACACTTCGAACATCCGAAACGCACCACTTGGCGAAATTTGCTTGCTCCTCTCGAGAATAAGGATCCTTAAAGCCTGCGGACGATGTGAGCCCAGTCATATGGACAACCGTCTCGCTCACCAGCCCGCCGCCAGAAGAGATTGTGCGTCACATAATCCTTGGCACGTTCTGGGTTGGGTACCAGTCTCTTAGAAATATGCTGAACCTCGCTATTCCCTCTGCAAGCAGAGGCATCCGTGGCACGACAGTAGTCGATGTGTATATGGCGTCCCACTGCTTGACAGACAAGGTTGCACATCATCGGCGTCCCCTCATCATTCGAAGAGAAGCGACGTCCTTCGACCTCGAGACCCGTATCATCGGGGCCATCTACTGCCCATCGAGACGAAGACATGGATCCGTGTCTAGTTTCATGCTCTTGTTGCGGGTGGCCTGGTGCAACGGTTTGTGAAGAGTGACATCTAACATATCACGACACCTACCAAGTGGCAATGTGCAATAGTAGCCACAATGCTCACACCTTGAAAATATGAGCAATGTTCGCAAAAATGAAAAGAAAAAAAATCCAAACCTCTCTCTGCAAAAATGCACCACATTTTTGTCCAAACTATGATTGTGTGAACCTTTGTGGGCCACCGCTCCTGGCGGTATTATCTTCACACATCTCAGTCGTTTAGCCACTGTTGGGGGCGAATCAGCGGCAATGTAAAAGACAACCGACCCGCATACGTACCTTGGGAGTACTGCGAATCAAAGACGTCCATTAGCTCGAAAAATGCCACCCGCAACAAAAACAGCACAGAACCTTTGTGTACTGGAACGTCTCGTGTCTTCCGGTGAACGTTGCCTCTATCGATTGAGGCGTAGTCTCAATTTCACAGATGCCATCAACAGTGCATGCCTTGGAACACAAATGTTCCTCTCTATATTGATATTAAATTTTTATCATCAAAATACACGACATAGATGATATCAACGAACCCGCAGAGATGAACAGCGCCGTCCTGCAAGCCGTGAAGATGGTCTGTGTTCGTACAGAGTCTTTTGCAAAGTTGGCAAGGGAAAGAACAAAGTCGGGCATCACACTGGTGTTGATCATGGTCCACATCACTGCAGAACATGAGATCCCGAACGAAGCGCCAAGCATTGATTGCATATACTTACCTTGCAATGCCACAAGTATCACGGCAAGGAATGGAACCATTGGCCAACGTTAGCCTTGACAGATCGCAGGGCTACACGTATTTAAGCGCGGAAAAGTTGATCAAAGGGTTAGATATACCTGACCACAGGCATGTACAGTGGCAGCACATAAATGATCGCCCTCGGTGTGGCCGATCACCTACACAGCTGGTTCAGTGGCCTTCTGACCACGGTGGAGAATCTCTCACCTTCGTACACTCATCCAGACATCCCTGTCTCCCGAATAGGCCGCAAATTTGACCACAAAGATGCGCATTAACAACACATCTAGAAGCAATAAAAGTCATGTGAGCTCGTGGACGGATATCATCAGGACTGGCTTAACATATGATTGCCTGAATGTCCCGCTCTGAAAATATCAGTCATTTACTGAGCGAGTACTAAGATAATCGACTTACGACATCGAGCAAGCCTTGGTCTCTCCAGACGAAACACAGAAATCGCAAGGATGTATACAAGCATGGGAAGTTTGGCAAGTATGCTGTCCGTCGTGCAGTCGGCTCTGAATACAGAGCAGCTCGCAGCTTGCACACTTCAGCTTGCATAATTGACAGTTGCTCCTCAAGTCCACTGTTGCGCTGTCGAAGGCTCTCATAAGCTCGTCAATGCTAGCTTGCCCGCTTTGGAAGCGAGCGACGTTCGACAATATCCACTCGCCAACATGAGCGATGCGCAGACCGACCAGGTTATTGATGTGAGTGGTCAAATTTTCAATCCAAATATCTTCCGAAACATAATGGCGAGAATTGTAGTCTCCCCATGCATGACACAGGACTTGTAGTGTGGCCTCGCGGGAGGACGATTGTTGAACCCCCCCAGTAACCAACGAAAATTCAGAGGAAGTATCGGGCATGTCAATGGGAACGTCGTTATCCAAGTTCTTCATAGACGTAATTCAAAATGCGATTAAAGCAAAAAATAAACGACAGAAGTATCTCATACCTTCAAAGGTTCCGGTCAGGATTAACCTCTTGCAATCCAAATGCCAGAGCATTGGGCAATACGGCTAGAAGTAGCTGTGCTCGATGCGAGGCCATCGATTCTGGGATGCAGTATTCGTGAACTGTAGAATTGATTTTCAGATTACGCACGTGAGAGGGCTCCCCAGTCATTTGCCTGGGGTAGTTCGAATCAATAGTTCTATAAAAATGTACACAAAGCAAATTAAGCATACCTTCAGTTTTGCCATCAACGTCTTCATCGTATGAAGGAACTCTCCAGCTGTATTGTGCGTCAGTTTTTGTTTGTCTAACCGACGCTTGAGGGTTGGGAACAGCTTGTAGAACTCCCGTGACTCGATCACCGGCCTACAAAAACGATGAACGGTATGTGGACATGTGAGACACTCTACAGACCAAGGAACTATGTTCAACTGTCCAGCGTGGAGGCGAGAGATGAAGTTGGCTTCTTGTTCGTCTCGGACTATCCTCTGAAACTTAAGAGCAAATCTAAGTGACAACTTGAGTATGCATTCTGATACATGGTCAGCAACATACTCTTTGGTGATTTCTGCTTTGTCCGAATCCACGACATCCTGAAAAGAAGTAGGTTCAGGAACATGAAAAGTAACCATGAGAAGGGGAAAATCACCTTGATGATGATAACCAATGCTGATTGAAATAGACTCGGATTGGCTGCTGGATCTAGGACGGTCGAACTCGACTGAAATGATTGGAATAAACCTGTAATATCGCGGTTCAAGGCGAAGTTGTTCCTGAATAATACCTATAGAACGAGGTAAAGCTCCCATCTACAACATGAAAGTGTTGGCAAACCAAGTTAGAAATTGCAGTATTGAACAGTACGAGCAAGGTATCTTCTTGAGCGGAACGCTCGATACTATGAACACCTTTCAAGAATGAGCATATCAGCACGCGTTGCGCAAAGGATGCCTGATTCGACGTGCCTTCAAAGTCCAAAGCGACTACAAGGGCATCTTTCGTTGGAGTCACCGACATCCACACTCCTTCCGTGGTGCGCATCGCCGATCCAGCGAAAGATGTGTCCACGAGATGATTCAAGGAAAAGCTTTTCCCTACTGATTGTTCACCCATAGACGACACAACTTTGACAGGCTTGAAGGCACCAAGTAAAGTCAGTACCTTTGAAAATTGTCGAGTATTCAGGCCGGTCCATACCTTTTTGGCCATGTATGACTGAAATAGAGATTCATACCAACCAAAAGACACGTAGTCAACAATGCGGTTGACATCCGCGCCGAGAAGGGACTTCTCCAGTTCGGTAGAATATACGCCGTTTTTGAGTGGAATAAAACGGTTTTCCTTGGTTACAGCAATCTGGATAGGAATGAGGCAGAGGAACTCCGCCAGCCACTCCCCAGCACGAAATTTTGATACACTCCACTCCGCACCTGACAGGAAACTATCGGAAAAAGCGGAGAATGTAGTTGCGGAGACCATCAGTGACTTGAGAATGCCTCCGGTTGGCTTCTTTGACGTTCTTTCGAAGTGTGAAATAAGATCATGAAAGTGCGGCGCAAATAGATGATGGTCCTGATCCGCAATGAACACCAATGTTCGCTGACATCTGCTACTGGACGATGTTATCGTTTCCCGCTGAACGGCGGAAAGAACTGGGAAGCGAGTCCACACTTCGGCGTGACAGTCGATGAGACAGTTATTGGCGGTGCCACTGACATTCTCGGACATTGTATGCCCTCCTCGGGCACCCTTTTCTTTAAAGGTGAACTCTGTCACTTTCCGGGTGATGTCCAGAGCGATAGATCGACATGATTGAGTGTCGACGTCGAGTGTGACTAAGTGCACGATATTCCGGCTAGTCAACGAAGTCAGAAGCAGTGGCTGGTCTGTTTGAAGATCAGGAATCTCGAGAGGGATGCCATCCGTTGAGCCGAACGTGCTCCAGTGGTAGGCGGTTAGTTTCAAGTTAGACCCATGGGCGTGAGCTGTGATCAAGCAAGAACCATCTGGAGTGGAGTAAACTGCTACTGGAATTTGGATGAGATCGAGCGTCGCAGGCCTGCGGTATATAAATTAGATGACTTTAACATTTGTAGGCACGAGTCTGACCTGAACTGCATTGTCGTCAGAGAGTAGACTCTTGCCTGTGCGAATGTATCAACGAGCAGCAATTCTTCACAGCCGCAGATATAACACGCATGGCTAATGGAAGTCCCTTCGGTGTACCATTGAGTCAAGTTGATCGCACTGCCGCTGGCCTGGAAACCTCGAGTGTCATCGTAAACGAAGATATGTAATAAAAGCTGATTGCATTCCTGTCAGACTCTTCCAGTAGAATCCTAGTGGAACGGACCTTCTCTGTGGCAATAACGCTGAGTATATGCCTTGACTCGTCGAAAGCAAGAACAAATTCGCCGATTTTATCGCGGTTCAGCCGTTTCCCGCGACTGCCGCGAGCCAAGGCGCCATCAATAGCAGTGAGGTGTTCCAGGTACACCGTCAAATTTCCAAACCGGTCAGTCGTCGCAAGGAAGATCTTTTCGCCTGGAAGAAGTTGCGCTCTCCTGGGAAGGAGTCCTTCGTCAGTAATACCTATGTATCAATCCACGAAGAACACATACACCACTGAATCATTAATGGGTAACTTGAACGAGTATGAGTTCCTAAACTTGGGCGAAGGAGTCGAACTAGGATCGAACTGCAAGGAATGTAGATCTTGCGCAGTCAACTGCATGAGGTGGACCGTGAATTTCAGCTTTGGCTGCTTGAAAGATCGCCTTGAACCAGTTATTTGCACGAAAGACGCTAATAGGGACTGTTTGTTTCATTGGCATTTGAAATCAAAAGAAATACCTTGTCCATCCTCGACTGCGTCAATGAGAAAGGTGTGCCTGCTGACTTATGAATATGTTGAAATATAAATACCACAAATTCTCTTACGAATTACGACTTGCCTGTGAACAGGCATTGATTTCAATGATGAACCTCTTTCGTGATTCGGCCAGTTGTTGTTCTTCACTGCTGACCGCTTCCCGACGAGCCCGGGCCAGGCATGTATCGATTTGTATGCGAAGCCCATAATGAGTTAGAGTTGTCGTCTGCTTCGTCAGAAGTGATTGGAAGTGCGTGAATGCAACAGCCCTGGTCTCTGCGACGATTTTTTTCATGACAGGGAACTTCTCGACGTCATCCAACTGAACGAGGAACTGAGCATCACTGAGCGTAGACGCAGAAGCTTCTGCATCTTTGAGCATCTGATCTACGACGGACTGGGAGCGTGGTCCAGATGAGATGAAGGAATTGAAGCCACTCAAAGCTTTGTTAAGTAACCCCTTCTGCTGCCCATGCGGGGTAGAACCTTGTGCTAAAACTCTGAGGTACTCCTTGACACGTTTCATGTCCTCGTGAAGAATTGCATTCAGAAAGTCTTCATCTTTCGTCTGGACGTCGGGAAGTTGTCGAAGTAGGCTTTGAGCGATACAGACACGCTCCTTGCAGGTCTTGAAATCACGACTGTCAATGACCTCAATGCGCAACTTTTGCACCGTGCGACGAATTGATTCCCCTATTTCTGGGTATAGCTCAATGATAGTTTGAAGTTGATCTGGATAGCCCGTTACTACGACGCAACTTCACTGCATAGATAAATACCTTGAATCTCAGAGCTATCCTGCTCGTTTTCCATGGAATGAGATGGAGAATCATCGGTGAGTTTACTTAGTGAATCGAATCAGAAATGGAGAAGATTATTCCAGGTATTACTCACTAAGGGGCGATAACGGGTTCAACCGGTCCTGGACAGACTGTTAATCAACTTGTCAAACAATTGATTGCACAGACGATATACCTTGAGCTATCGGGTTAGCCTGCTTGCTTTTAGTTGGGTCAGGGAAGGAATCGTGTGTGAACATGCTGAAGGGATCAAGTTATAAACACGAGCCAGAAATATGAAGGAATACTCACGGAAATTCCCCAATGATTGCATCAACCAATGCCTTGTGAATAGTGCGAACGAGAAGGGGCGATTCCTTCTCCAATGTCATCTTGATTCTGGCCTCTGTTGATGCTTTGATGTCCCTGGCATTCGATGAAATACTGGTAGACTCCTGCTGCCATTGTCTGTACAGTTGCGGAAAGCGATTCCCAAGGCCTGCGCCTAGCAAAAGGCGAATTGCGTTGGTATCCAGATTCTCGTTCACATGTAAATTGTCTTGTTTCCTGAGAACGTATCAATTTAGATTCGGAAAACTGATTACGAAGAGCAACACCCACAACCAAATACCTAAGCGGAAGCGATTGATGGACTGGCATTTTGACGCAACGGTGATCTCCCTGGCCGGTACATTGCTGACTGTCATGAACCCTTGAGTAGTCTCGCCATGCAATAACCAAGGCCTATGTAGTCTGATGTTCACTGTTGCCTCCGAATCGGGTTGAGACATGGCTATGTAATCGGACGTAGCCTACACGCGACTGTCAGCACTGCACCAGTCATGATGGATGGGGCAAACCTGAAATCCAGGACGTGGTTTTACGGTTTCTTCCTGCTCATTGGATTTCTTAACTTCAAACGTAAACATCCTGTCAGATTCATCTTGTTCGTCTTCCATTTCCGTTAAGGTGTCTTCATCTTCCCGTTCACTCCATACAATAGAGCGAGAATGTTCAGGGGAGACGAGCGCTGTGAGTTGATCACAAATTTTCGTGAGGTACCTGCAGCCCTTGTCAAGATTAATTACCGGAAACCAGGGAGGACTGGACGAACCGCATGAAGGTGACACGGTTTCGTTTCATGGAGGAAGGAGCTGCATCATCCCAAGTACCATCCTCAGGCCAGTAAACAATGAATAGTTGTTCATCGGAGGTAGCTTCACAATTTGTTCGGACAATGTAAAGTCCAGAACGAAGGCTTGGTGTTGAAACACTGGTCTCGCTGTGGTCTGCGACAAGCTGCGCTGCTCTATAGGAGAAAGTTCATTAAGACGTCAATCTGCAGCTCAAACTTGTATCTTACACGTGGTCATCAACAACACCAAGAGACAGCAGAAATCGCACTATTTCCTCTTTGCTCCCATATATGCCAACGGGCTTCACGATCAAGGCATCCAGCGCGCTGAAGTTGACTTTCGTCATGGACACATATGCACCGGGACAAATAGTATTGGTGAATGCCCGGAGTGAATCCTGCGCAATGATAGTTTTGTCCACTAGAAGCAATCAACGAAGGAAGGCTCGATAAAGACAATGGAGTCACCTAGCCCACCGCTCCCTTGTTCACTGATTAAGTCCAGGACCCGATACATCCCTTTGATCGACTGGACTAGGTCACCAGCATTATTATGCGGAGGGGGATCTTCTACGTCCGACATCTGAAGAAGAATAAAAAATCAGCCCAGATCCATTATGACATCAGCAAGAAAAGTGGACTTGCGTGATCGTCGTCGGATTTTACGGAGTGATAAATATCATCATCCGAGTGCTGATGTCTAAGGGTAGTGGATACCTGATCTGCGTTATCAACGTTTGAAGGAAATCTTTGTGATGTAAAGTGCTCATCATCATGATCGTCCATCTCAAGCTCGTCGATCATGATTGATGGGGTGGATATACCGGAATATGAGCCCCGCGCAAAATCACTTTTATCATCAATATCGAACGGTTGATCTGCACAAGTCATGATTAGCTTTCCAACTGGCAGTAGATAGTACAGCTCCCTCACCGACACCTTTCCTCTTGTTTGCCTTGCGGAATCGCTGTGTATTTTGAGTAGCCACATCGTTAGCGTCAGCTGGGAACAACTTTGGTGGTGCATACGACCCGCCCATGATGGTGGATGACAATAAAGAAAAAGTAATCCAATATGGCCCTCTTTAAAGGATACGGTGAGTGCCTCCAAGCAGGCTGCACTACTATATACTTGGGGGCGCAGATCCTCCTCCAGTTGAACATGAGGTTTAGGATCAGCTTGGGATTCGCTCCAGCCGCAAACGGTTCATCAGTATATAGGCTGTTCTGATGAACAGGTCGTACGGATCTTTGAATATGCCGCCTCGTTTCAGCATCGTGTAGCACTATCTGCTGTATGCAGGTAGACTACCTCTCCCACCTCTCCAAAATTTCCTCAAAGCGGAAAAGCGATAAGGATAGGGCCCAGGGCAGGATGCCAACAGTCTCCTGTAGTCAGACCTTGCAAAAGGATTCGAAATACAGTTCAAGTACGAGCGATAACGCTCTCGCACCCTCGCAACGACACAAGCTGCTCCTGCAATATCTTGCCAGTGGGTGGGTACCAGGTCACAGTGCACCTGAACGATTAGGCTGACATTATGATTGCTGCGGAAAAAAGGAAGTCGACGAGCAGAAGTACAATCAAGTTAGGAAGGAACTTTAACACCACCCCAGCCTATCACTGTCGCCTTTCATGTAATTTCAATTCCCGGGCTCGTGCATCAAGTACTAGCTTCAAACTTGGAACTTTGTCTCCTGCAGAACAGGGCGCGACGGGTGAAATATGAATCAGTATAAAAGACTGGTGCATTGTATTGGAAATAAGAAGGGTGTGCAATACCGTGAGACACAAATTAGAACTTCGTCTTGGACATGCAGGCCGCTGACAAAGCTTGTGAGCTGCAAATTCATCACGACTCCAACGCCGAACTCTGCTTGCTTGTGAGTGTCAGACCTTGATCAGTCTGCGATCTACAAAGTGTTTCCCAGAAATCCGTAGCGTCCACTGAATGCTCAGCGCTTGAAGTTGCCTCGAGGCTTGCGGTCAAGGGTATTGCTCTGAGGCCACTGATGTACACGATGTGGGACCCATGGCCACCCTTCCTTGGACTATTTCAAATCACACCCACGTTTCGCTCAAACTGATACATGATGACAACCAACTAGGGGGAACATGGTTCCTAGAAAGTTCGTCCGTCCGTACGTGCACTCCAATCCCCCCAATATTGTGTTACTTCGGCTCGACACACTCTTGGAACGTCCCCACGTCTCCACAGGACCCATCGGTGCAATTATAGACAGCTCAGGCGACGCAAGTACAGATACCCCAGGGAGCCAGGGCATGCACGATACTCCACCGAGTTTTGCGCGTCCAGATCAATGTAAATGCCTGGTTGTGGTGTGATACTTGTGGCATCGTGAATGAGCCCTTTGAAAGGTCGGGGGCTCTTGCCGGTGTAAGATTGGTTTGGCTTGGGGTGTGGTGTGAGGGGGCGAGGAGGACGGTGGTGGGGACTACGTCCTGGCTGGGGTCCATGTTGGTGTTGTTCATACTAGTTAACAGAAATAAAGGGGAGACTGATCTCGTTCTCTTCTTCCTTCATCTTGCTGGTCTTCGTCGTCATTTTCTCTAGGCATAGTTGAACTCGAGCAGAAAGGCCATAACAACGCGTGCGCGGTACAGTATCGGGAGATTTGAGCCATATGCTCGGTTGAGGGATCTGCTGCTTGGCGGTGTCTGACTCTGCGCCGCCTTAGCGTATACTGTATGTATTATCTTCAAGACTCCGGCAGCCAAAGTATAGTGGATTTGAGGCCATACTACAATGCAGCTGGCCGCGAATGATACTGATCCTCTTCAAGATAAAACTGTCGGCAAGGCGTATCCTGGTGCTTTGGTGTGTCAGCTTCCAGTAGAATAAGGGAATCGGGAAGTCTCATCGATGGTCCAGGACTCCATGCTAGGGGACGTAGACAATCCGAATAGCTTGTCAATCAACAATATGTGTTTTCGAGTGGCATATTATGTGTAAGTCAGCCCTTTTGTTAAACTGCCTTGTCACAGGTTCCCAGTCTTGCCGAGGTGGAGGTTATTGCGGCAGGGATATACACCGACCGAGTTCCGCCCTATGAAAATGAGTTTTATCCACCCATTCATTCAGGGACTTGCTTGACGATGTGATCTGAGTCATCAAACCAATGCTCTATATGATAATTGCTAACGACAATGGTTGGTAAGTAGACACAGCTGTGATTTTACCCAGTGACGATGCGAGTGCCGTCCGGCGAGAACGAGACCGAGCTAACTGAATCAGTGTGCCCCCGCAAGGGCTCACCAGTCGACTCCCCTGTCCCTGCATCCCACAGCCGAACAGTGTAATCCGAAGAACCAGCGACAATGTGAGTGCCGTCCTGCGGGAACGAGACCGACAAAACTAAAGAAGTGTGCCCCCTGAGCACGGTCTGAACAGCCGGCCAGTTTATATCACGTCCAGATACCACACGAAGAGTATTCGGAAACCGTGCAGAAAACTTTCTCGATAGCGGACAATTGGCAGGCAAGAATGAAAGTGCTGATATATACAGATGTGATGTGCTGTGTAAGATCATGCCGCCGAAGACTTGAATGAACCTCTGTACGTCCATTGCAGTCGACGAGACATCTTTGAATTCGGAATGGCCCTGTGGTTGCGCATGAGCGCTTTATCTGACTAGTAGCAATGTGCTTACCTTCAGCCACTGAGCAATGGACGGAAGGGCACCAACTGCAGCCGCTGAGCGCATTGATCAGGGCAAGTGACTCCAGCCAGAAAAACATCCGCTCGTGGTCGAATAACAGTCTCACTTCTTTTGCGAGTTCCTTGTCGAAGACTGTGGTTCGTACGTGCAACGTCCAAAATCGAGATGAATATGACAGATGTGGGGAGATGCATTTTTGAATTAGTTCCTGTAGACCTGGATCTTTGCTATTAGGTAGATACGACGACTTTAAAGCACAGATATTGAAACGAAGACCGTGTTCCATCACTCGAAGTGACGCGAATGCAGGGCCGCGTTGCGCCTTTGACAGGTCGATGAAAATTTTTTACTGGATACTTTGTCCAGTCAAGAAATCATGGAAGGATGTTTGAAGGGGTCGGATTGGAGAATCTGGGTTGGTGGTGCCGCTGAGGAGGGAGCCCATGTTTTTTACCACAAGCTCCACGTCGAAATTGTCTTCTCGCATTGGAAAATGGCGCCTCATGGCGTTCAGGGAAGTTAAAGGAAGGGGCTCAGCTGTGCCTAGTATTTGTCCCATCACTGAGCGAAATCTCGCTAGCTTCGTCAAACGCTGATTCGGCGTATACAGAGATGTATCCCCGTGCATGATATCTGTTAAAATGAGGGCATACATGTCATGCAACAGCGGGTTTCTCTCAGCAGGATCGCGTGACACCAGTCTCGTAGCAATCCTTTGGAGATAGTTCCACATGGGACTTTTTGATGTATCCACAAGCGAGACGCCCCCACTCGAAAAGTCCATCAGCTTTCTCAGCGAGGACTGCTAACTCTCTATCCTGAAAATCCAGCCGCTCCAACTCCTTGGATACGTAAGCATGGATGTCGCGCTCTGCGAATGCTGGCGGAATATCATCCATCGACAATTGTCGAATATGCTGAACACCGTGAAATTCATCATTGATATCATCAAGTGGGCGAGAGGTAACGATGAAGCGGAAGTTGCCAAGAAGGTCTGTGATTTTTGGAACGTCAGGATTTGGATGTTTGCCAGCCAGAATACGGAGGAGGTCCATTCGTGTCTTTACTCCGCCACTCTCGTCCAGTGCATTGATCACGATCACGATGGGTCCCACAATTGATCCAGATGACTTTCCCAGTGGCTCGACAAGAAGGTTCTGCCACTGCTGGATGATATCCGCTGTATTCTTGAGCGAATTTGCGGTCTTAACTGCATCTGCTAATGCCTGCCTCATCTCCGGATCACGGTCAGCCAGGTCTCGCACAATTGTGGAAAATATCTTTTCATGGCGACCATCTACTCCTCGGTCAAAACAGTAACATGAACCAAGCCCTCCCATATCTTTGAACCACTTAGCAATGGTGTGGGCGATGGCCGATTTGCCCTTGCCTGCAGGGCCAGATAACCACAGTACACGTGGAACGTTGTCCCCAGTGCTGTTGGCCCATTCCGTGATCTGTGAAAGGATTTCTGTGCGCGTCCCTTGAAGGCATTCTTTTCTGGTATCTAGTCCCGCGCGATCTGCATAAGTCATACCGCTGAGGTCCAATGTTTCTTCTGAAAAAGGTATGAATATATGTGAAGTCACAAGGACGTCTGAACTCTTACCCATACGATGGACGTGTATAGCCTATGTTGTTGACGTGTGTGCTTATCTCGTGAGCACCTATGGCTACGTCGCAAGTAACCTGGTCCCGGAAGTTTTGCATGAGCCCGTCGAACACATTATTGTACTTTTTGATCGTATCGTCCGTTTCTGAGAGGACTTCCTTTCCAAGTCTCTTCCCTGCGATGATGGCAGAAGCTCGAGACGGTATAGAGCGCAACAGCTTGTAACACTCACAAAAGTTGCTGATCTCCGAATAATTCGTGATAAATTGAGCACATTCACAAGTCTGCTGAGAAATCTTTCCAAGAATAGCGTGCATCGACAAAATTGGTTAAGCTTCTCGTCTTGTGTTATGAAGTCGTAAATTTCAGATAACTTCTTGAGAAGTTTGAGTACCGCTGCATCGCGATCCGCTTGAGCTAGAATAGTCTGTACAAATGATTGCTGAGCGGTGGGAGATAGGAAGAGAAAAGGGGAAAACACACTTTGGCTGCAAAAGACAACACGCCCAGTGCCATCTTTGCATATGGATGTACCTGTGGAACTATATTAGTTCGGTTCTGAATGGAGAGGAGGGCCTGCATACATCCGCAATCTTTTCGATAACAGTGTCGAATATCCTGAGGGGTTTGATATATGCGTCCTGGAAACTGTCAACAGCATCGAGATCTTCTGGTGTGTCTTGAACAAGAGAAACCACGGGTGTCACAGCTCCGGAAAGTGGATGCATGCGTTTTGCAGCCCGTTGTGCGTCCCGAAGTGCCGATTGGGTAGTATTAGCCTCCACTTCAACACCAGACGGAGCCGCCTGAACCTGCGCGATCACCAGAATTTAGAGAGAGCACAGAGATTGGAGGACAAGTATGTAAACTTACCTCGAGATTCGGGGTCGATGAAGCACATTCGTGATTGACATTCGGCAGAACAGGGTTGCTGTTGCGGGAATCCTTCGAGCGCTTATGGCAATCTTAGTCGTATATCAGGATACTCTTTATAATGCTCGTGGACTCACCGAAATCCTTAACTTGTTCTTGACCTTCTGCAGAAGCCGATCGACTCTCCCACGGGGTCGGTGCTAGACAAAGGATGTGTCAGTGTTTGGAATATTGGAGTGGACTGAGTAATCCTCATCAGTCACACTACCGAGCCTCCAGAAGCTGTTACTTCGCTAGCTGTGAGAGTCGAATCCCTCGGAGTCGATGATTTGCCTTTTCTCATTGTGAACTTAGCAGTTGAAGCGGTAGCAAGGTGCTGATTCGAAGGGCCCTACATCATTTATATAAAATAATAGGTAGTACAGGCCTCGAGGCGTTGCGGCTGTACAGGGTCATATTGGGCAGAGGAGAAGGATAGGCCAATCGTCTAATAATCGACCGTCCACTTGTAGTACTCCAAGGATTCTAGTCAGTACCAAGGTCTAAGATCAAGGTGTTATCTAAGGTTTATGCGTCATGAATATAGCTGCTTTCATCTTTACTCACAAGTGTCACCAGCGAAGTTCCATGCATCGACTAATCTTGACTCATGCACTCCTCTCCTCGTTGCACCCACTGCCGGTCACCCGCAACCTCCAGCATTTCCTCGACGCACTCCCATCAATTGGGCAGATACAAAAGACAGACAACTCCACCATCTTCAGCGATTGAAGGTGCAAAAGTCCAACATCATTGCGTATTAGTGTGTTCCGGGCTCTCCAGATCAGATACCATTAATATTAACGTACTAAAAGCAATTGAAGGTAGACTGGTAAATCTGGGTTTGAATTTGGATAGAGTAGTCATGTGACCTGTAACCAATGAGAAAATGCAAAGCTTTGTCGAGATTTCAAAATTAATGTTTGAATATTGATGCGATGCAAACACTGGTCAGTCTAAGTACAAGTTACTAGTAGTGTTATATCCCGATCGAATCGCGAAAATGATGTCATGTCCGTTCTGTCTTTACTTGTACTTGTACTAGTACTACGAGATTGTATGTACAGGCATAACTCGTGATGCATCAAATCTGATACTACTGAAAATCAAGTAGGTGTCCTCGACTGGCGCGGCCAAGCGCCATTACGATATTAGAGCGTTGAGGCCAAATTTAAGTAGACTACATATTTCGAGGTGCGTTTTACACAGACTCTGCTGGGGATGGCGATAGCTGGTCTTCATTCCCTTTTCCAAACCCTGGGGTACCGTCATCGAATTGGGATATGTGGACCTGCAAAGGCTTTATAGCATTTTGCCGCGAGCTGTCTTGTCCCGCCTCGCTAGTTGTCCTCCTGGGCATATTGTAATTCGAGTAATAGCGTTTTTTTCGAGCAATTGCGATGCGAATAAGCACCATGTAGAAGGCGATCGACACGATTGGCATGACCTAGTTAATTGAAGCTCAGTTTATATTCGACGATAGGTGTTTAGGGCGGAATTACCATGTCTAGCATAACAACCTCCCCATTGTTCGAGAGGACGAAACAAATCAATGCTATAAACAGCACCACAGAGTACAAAACAGCAGTATCCACAAGCACGCGCACAATTGGCATCATAGTGCCTTTAGTAGCGCGAGCTGCAGAGGTATTGCTCTCAATCGACCAGATGCGATACACCAGTAATCCTGGACACATTCAGGACCTCGACATTGCGCTCACGAAGAAAGGTGCTTACCTGAACTTAATAGGTTGGTCGCAATCGTCAAGGAAAAGAACGCCGTGACCCAGTTCGCAAGCACCTGGGCATAGATGTCTCCAGAATCACTCCCGGATTGCGACGCACAGTAGAGCCCGATAACACCAGTCACTTCGAAGCAACGTCAGAATGCACGACTTCCTGAGCCTGATTGTGCCCAAACCTGCGACGCTGCACCACAGTATGCTTGGTAGGATGATAATCCAGACAGATTGCCAAACAGCATAGCAGCGATAAATCTATAATCAGGTAATTTCGGTAAGCCCAGAGGTTCAAACAGCCATCAATTGAAACCGAAAAAAAGAAAGATCCGGAGTGTTTTAAACAGGCAGATAAGAATATGAACCTACCACCACCCCATCAGCGAGTAGAGTTTGTAAGACGTATAACGCATGCTTGAGCACATACGTTTGTTGGGAAACGTCTGCGAGGAATGCCGATGGCCCGCCTGGGTACGTGCTGCGATACCTCACAAATGCGTATTCGACACGAATGATGTCTACGATGATGTGCTTGGTGGATGTAAGTAGATGACAACAAATGCAAGAAGTAAGAAGTGCTAACCGCAGTACTCAGCATGCACAGTAAGATGACCACCACGGCAATGGGCGATTGATGTCTCGTACGCGCTGTTTGTAGGTCAAAGACCAGATCGTACCTATAAACAGAAGGATTGAAAAGCCTGGAGAAGTGACCGTAACTTGGTGAGCACGTCAAGGACAGATTTATTGCAGAACCTACCGTATAAAATGCCTTCCAGCACGGTCGACATTAAAGTACCGGCATCTAGTGGGATGCCACTCGCGGCCATGGAGAAATGAAATGTCCAGTTGTCTATGGACTAGGGGATGTGGGAAGGTGCGAAGGGGGATCTCCGCTACTTTTCACGTATATCATTATATATAGAAACGACGACTTGGGTCGTGTTCTGGCGGGAACCAAATCCATCCACCTCGAGGTCTATCAGTGGGGTTTACACATTCGGATCTCGTGGCGATATCTTACGGTATCACATCGCCGATAAGCTGGCGTATTTAAGGTCACAGCCGCAGGACAAACTTTGGACTCTAGAACTTGTGTATCCAGTCACGATAAGGGTTTGACTGGAACGAACTAGTTTGTTTGAGCCAGCTACCCGTGATAGGCAAACAGCGTACAGCCGAGCGCTGCTAGGCCGACGAAAGCCTCAGTAGTCCCCGCTGCAGTCAGTCGTCTCCGAGGAACCTCTTAGCTGGAACCTAGAAACATACTCAGCAAAATTATATATAATCGATGCACCGTCCAGCGACCACAACATCGCACCGAAGTCCACCCTGCATCATGATCATGATCACTGGCAGAGTTACATCATACTAACGTACTTCCGATTAGTCACGCTGTGCAGATGAGCCCATCAAGCAACTCAATCAACATGTGATGCTGTTCAACGTTGGTCTAACGTTAACTTGATATATGGGCGCTGTAACACGTGTGCACATTCAAATTCGGAGGGCCTTCGAGGAGATGGAAATTGCTCTGGTTGCAACCCGCCAGATACGCCGACGAGGCAATCTATAACTCAGTATGATTCAAAGTACTGTGATATGTACTTGACATAGTAACACTTACTTGATTCCGAAGCGCCAAGGATTTGGTCTTTATTTCCGCAATTTTTTATGTCAGTGTTTTAGCTCGCTTTTTCGGGCTCACAACTAGAACGGTGGCTAGGCTAAAATCAGGGAAGGAGCATAGCGCTGCTGGGTTGACTATGCAACAAAGCGCAACGAAGTGCCACCTGCAAAGCGGAGCAGAGCCGCAGCGCTTATGATTTAGTACGCATCCGATAATTATAATATAAGTCACGTTGTGCAGGACCGAGTTGGTGCGGCTATATATCTTATGACCGACTAAATAAGGGCTGTCCGGTGTTTTGTACTATGGGTGTTGTGACACACTGCACAATTGGAAGGCTTTCGAGACCGGAAGTCGTCTAGATGCGGATCATATTACAACAGATACAGCAAGGTAATCGTGATCAGTGTAATGCATCAAGTATAGCATCAATTGTCAAAGATTGGCGGTACATACAGTTAAGTTGTCATCGTAGGAGTGTTACCTAAATGATAGCAACAGCCTGGAGTCTGGGGGGATGACATCAGCGGTACAACAAGAGTAGGATATGTTTCAGAATACTAGACGAGATGGCCGTTGTCCCGTGCCGTTATAGACTAGCTCGTATCCTCACAGCCAGAACCTTCCCTTCATCTTCATCAAGCTCCTCCCTCGACTCAAATTCTCGCTGGTGCATCTCCCGTCGGCTTAAAGGTATCTCATTCTCCTTCGCTTTCTCTAATGGTTCTACTGCGCTCGAGCCAAATGACGGGGCAGGAATAATATGGTAGTGAACCTAAGCAGCAACGTCATAGAGTGAGCCTCAAAGCTTTGGATGAAGATTCAAACACATACGTGTGGCACTGCTTGTGCATACTCCTGATTGCACACCACATTGAGCGCGGTATTATCCAATGCTTCATGCCAACCCCGTTAACATACCCCACCGAAGATCATAACAGCATCCTCACCTTTCGTCAGTCCATTTGCCACTCTCGTCACAGCCTGCCCCACTGCACTGGCATATTCTGGGGGTAATTCTGACACCCGCGAATAATGGGCTTTGGGTATAACAAGGGTGTGCCCACGTCTCAAAGGCAAGATGTCTGTGCAGGAGGTTAATACAGTTTTCGCTTACTTCTCAGCGCCAAGTACTTGCCTAGAATAGCTATGACCTTGTCGTCCTCATACAGACGCGTCGAGGGCATCTCGTCTGCGATGATACGACAGAATGGGCAGTTACGATCCGCATCGTCCCTCCATTCTGTTGGTATACTGCGGTTGGTATGTGCGCCAATAATGAAGGACGTCATGGGAATGGAGGAAAGGGAAACGGACAGAAGGATACGTCTGACTGCTTTTACCTCATCTTGGCAGCTGTTAGTAACACTCCAACTTGAGGTCGAACGAAAGCGATAAGTATTAGAATACAGTAGATCCGGTCTATCAATATGCCCAAAACAGCCGCAAACGGGATGTCACCTAGCAGGAGCCAGACTAGACGGGCTGACCACCGTCTAGCACTTAGACTAGGAGCATTGCGCGTCTAAGAAATTGCCACGACTACTCCTACTACTAGTATACATCTATCACGCATAAGCTGCTTCTGAGCCCTTTTCACCGAACCCGTAGTCCTCTCCCTTGACAAAAGCGCGCGTACATTGTGCCATAGTGACGGAGCTACCAGTGGCGCGTGAGCCTGAGTGTAGAAATAAATAAAAAAAAGGGATACTAACGCGCGTGAGATGGGGTCGGTTTGGTAGAAGTTGGAGATGGGCTTGAGGAAGGGCTTGCCAGAGACCTTTGCCGATACCGTATTGGCTGCTATTGTCTGAAGACCTGCCACAGCGACTTCGGGAGATGTTCGTTCTACAACATCGTAGCGGACAAGAGTGGGCGAGATATCCCACATGCGGTCACGCAAACTCAGGACATCATCGTAGGGCAGTGGTGAACCGAGAACTTCTGAAAGTGCACTAGAATATAGGAAGTAAGCATAAATAACAGTCAAACAAAAATAGCAGTGTACCGGATGATCTTCCAATCCTCGCGGGAAGCGCCCGGTGGGGGAACAGCGGCACGACCTACTTGAGACCGACCCTCCGTATTTACCCATGTCATAGCTTTTTCAGTGTATGCTGCGGCAGGCAAGCAAACATCAGCAAGCGAGGCGCCAAGATCTCCGTGGTGGCCTTGGTAAACGACGAAAGCATTTGCAGGTATAGACTTGGGGTCGACTTCATCTGCATTAAGCAAGTAGATAAATTTGGGTTGGGTACTGGCGGCCTTCTTCGAGGGGACAAACCCAATTTCGTATGCCGCAGGTCTAGAGGCAATCTAAAAGGCAATTCATCCGACTGAATCAGAAGTTAAAAGCCAAGGCTTACCCTATGTAGGACAGAGAAGCCATTCCACTCAGGGGTAATGAGCGAATCTTTGTTCTTCTCGACAAACTTGGCCAGCGCGTTGTAAGCAGCAGCACCGTCAGGTTGCTCCGCAAGAGCGCTCCCAACGATGATCAAGGGCCGCTTGGCTGCCTTGAATTTGGCTGCGAATGCTCCCTTGCCAGCAATGAAGTCAGCAAGAGCCTTGGAGTCTGCTCCGAGGTAGTCGTAACCGTACGCCGTATCGGTACGCTCGCCGATGAGGCCGACCTCGAGACTTGTGTGCAGCCAGCTCTTGCGAATGCGAGAGTTAAGGACAGCAGCCTCGTGGCGTGGGTTAGTACCAACAAGTAGGATGGCGTCGGCTTCCTCAACACCAGGGATGGTAGAGTTGAAGAGATAATTGGAGCGAACATCAACACCATGTAGGGGCGGTGCGCTGCCGTTGATCTGGTCGAGTGCAAGATTGTCTGATCCTAGGCGGTTGATCAAGTCTTTGAGTGCAACAAGAGACTCGGTGTCAGCAAGGTGTCCAGCGACGGCTTGAATCTCATTGCCAGTAGCCCCCGAGGAGGCAATACCATCTGCAATTGTTTGCAGAGCTTCCTCCCACGAAGCTGCAACAAACGGTCGCCTTGCTTAATAAGAGGTGTAGTTAAGCGCTGGAACTTCAAGCCGTCGTATGCATAACGCGTCTTATCACTGATCCACTCCTCGTTGACTTCGTCGTTGGTCCGAGGCTGGATACGCATCACCTGGACACCACGAGAGTCGACGCGAATATTCGAACCAACGGCATCCATAACATCGATGGACTCAGTATTTTTTAGTTCCCATGGTCTGGCGTGGAGGGCGTATGGTTTGCTTGTTAAAGCACCGACGGGACAAAGATCGATGATGTTGCCAGAAAGTTCGGAGTCCATGGTCTTCTCAACATACATGCCAATTTGAAGGTCATTACCACGACCCGTTGTACCAAGCTCCTCGACACCAGCAACCTCGTTGGCAAACCGGACACACCGAGTACATTGAATGCAACGGTTCATGGAAGTCTTAACAAGAGGTCCAAGGTCCTTGTTCTCTACTGCACGTTTGCCCGTGATTTCGTGGAAACGCGTGCGATCAGAGCCGTATCGCATGGACTGGTCCTGAAGGTCACATTCGCCACCCTGGTCACAAATAGGGCAGTCGAGTGGGTGGTTGGCTAGAAGGAATTCCATGACACCCTCGCTGCGCACCTTGTGAGCAGATGCGATAAAATGCAGACGTCCTCAATATTATCTTACCGAGCTTCATGAACCAGTGGGGTATTTGTGAACACCTTGGAACCAGGCATAGCCGGCATAGCACTGAATACAAATAATAAGTACGTGAGGTTGAAAAAATGAGTATATTGTCATACCATGATGCTACTGGCTTTGGGGAACGCTCGACCTCAACCAGACACATACTAGAGCAAGCGTCAATATACCGCCTCTCTTTCGCCGTCACACTTTTCACTCACCGGCAGTTACCAGCAATTGCGAGTCTAAAGGGCACGTTCAGCCCTTACATTCTGTCAAAAGAGAAAGTGTATCCTGACGAACCTATCATGGTAGCAAAACCTGAAGAGGGAGTTAGTAAGCTACTACCGGAGTAGTACAAATCAATAGAAAAGACGTACCGAGGAATCGTAGCACCAGCAGCCTCGCAAGCTTGAATCAACGCGGACCCTGCGCAATAATAAGCTCTGCAAAACGCGAAACGCGAACAGAAACATAAAGATACGTACCTTGGGGACCGTTACCTCCTTCCCGTCAACAGTGAGAGTGATGTCAGCTTGACGCGCGGACGTGGACGCTATGGACCTGCGGCCTACAAAATATAAATACCTAAGATAACATGAGGGTCAAAGCAGCGCACCTCCATGTGGAGCACCAGAGCAAACGACCTTCCCGAGTCGCCCCGTTGAGGAGGGCCGCGAAACCAAGCGTAACATTAAGATATTATCTGGAGGACCAAGAAATGTGCAAAGAAAACCGAACAAGTGCAGGTCGCTCGCACGGACGAGCGCTACCGGTTAAAAAAACGGAGAATATCGGTGCTCGTCGTGATACACGGCGACCAACGAAATCGCGAGTATTACACGGTTCGGGCGGAGTTCAAATCTGTCATGGTGCCGAACATGTCCCCGGCGGAAACATTTGTATATGTTCATCAGATATCATTACTTGTAAGGCAGTAAATAGTACAAGTACAAATACTAGTAAGTGTCCGGACTGAGTTCCATCGTAGCCGTTCCAGCAGCCAATTATTAAATGATTAGCATGATTAGCAGATTACGTCCTTCATACCCTCCGTCAAGCCTCAAGGAACATAAATAACGAGGAGGACATTAACAATCAACTTCTCCAGTTCTCCATTCGACACAAAGTATACCCTCTCCTTCGCAAGCGGGCCGGGAACCCAATCAGAAAGGATGAAGATCTCCGCTTCAGAAAGAGGGATTGCACCGCTCTCCTCAACCCTCATCCTCAGATTGTGAGCTTCGATTTTCATTATCTCCACGTCATCTTCTTCTGGACCTCCGTAGTAACTCATCGGACCGCGGATGGATTTTGCTGAACGGGCAGGTGATCCAAAAGCACTGGGGAAGCCCATCGATGACAAGCTTGTTGGCGAATCCAGAACATCGTTTCCGCATTCTACGGTCCGATCGATGGGCCAGACGTATCCCCCTGCTGCCCAATGCAACTCCGGTGCAAGTTTGTACACCTTTAGGGCATGGTATAAAAGAGAATCGCTGCCCTTAAGCTGATCACCTTACGTTAATAAAGGCCTACCCGTAGTCAGCTGAGACTCACATGAGGAACTAATGACTCGGCCAGGCCCTCTGAAGGGTTGACACCGTAATCCTGCGTCAAATAGAATGCTACTTTGCGTCCGCGAGACAGGCTGAGGACCGGGGAAAGAAGATCAAGGAAGTATTCGCTCGGTGTGATCAGGGGATCGACTGCTGCGCCGTATGTCTTCAGATGCACCGCATACGTGAAACTCATCCTGCATCCTTGCTGAATGGTCTCGACTTCGTATTCGCATTCCCCAAGGAATGCAGTCCAGTGGACCTCCGAAGGTTTGCCTCCACCTCCGAAGAACTTTTCTTCTGTCCCTTCTGAATCTCGGACAATCATGTTTCCCCCGCGATGATGGACAGGTAGAGTGACGCATATTGTAGCAACTCTACCATCGTTGCGTAATGTGCGGGGCTGGGGCGCCATACGCGCTCCAGTTGCCATCACCTCCAGCTTATCTCTCAGGGCAGTGAGGTAATGACCCATGGGTAATGCTGGAAACAGTGCATTGCGTACCGCATCGAGGATGGGATGGTTCGCAATTTCCAGAGTGGCGGTCAAGGGAAGATTTGCGGGGTAGAAGAGGGTCTCACGATCAGGGTATACATCAAATCCAGGTGTTGGGTGAGGTTTACATGCTGCGAGTAGCACTTCGAGAGCCGGAGGTGTGTCGTAATCGATGTTGATGGGGAAATCAAGCGAGTGTGTGATGCCACTCTGTAAATCGGACCCAGATTCAGATAACGACTATCAATCAGTGCCACGAACAGCTCACCTTCGAGCGGAAGAATAGCACCAAAGATGCCGGGTCCATTGGGATGTGACCGGTGACAGTGAATGGGCGCGCTTTGGCGGTGAGCAAACGTGACACGCTCGCACGAAGAGCACTTTCAGCGCCATATTCAGACTGACGACGACGAACGCCTGGTCGCTTTGGAGATGATGTATTCATTTTGAGTGGTCGCTCGATTTCGAATTCTGATACGCTTCCGTTCCGCGTGAAATGACGACTGCCATCTGAACGGCTGCTGTCTGAGAGGCGACTCGCAGCGGACGGTGTGGGAGAGCCCAGTGCTGATCGTGGATGCATCGCAATAGTAGAGATGTCGCTAATGGTTAAGGAAAAGAGTGAGGATCTGTGGAACTGGAGGGGACTCTATTTACCAGCCGGAAACTGTGAGTGGCCAAAAAGAGCCACATCTGGCGTGCCGAGATCCAATGGACAACGATGACATCGAGCCAATCACGCGCCCACAACGTGTTTGATCCATCGTAGACAAGATGGGGTTGGAGGTACAGCAAGACATCTTTGGTAAAATTTGGCCAACCCACTAGTATTTCCAAGCCGGAGTTTCGCATTCGAACGGACGTTCCTGACCCCATCTTGGAAGAACGGTCCTGACAATTGAATAAAGTTTAAGAACTTCACATCTGATTTGAAACCGCCTGTATTGCTGAGTACAACGCGGCGTCAGCATGGCAATGTCTGTAGTGAAAGGTAACAACATTTTATACGTACAAGCGTCTTTTGTCTCTGCAAAAGCGACCAGCACAAAGCACTGTTGTATCGGTTGATTAACTCTGAATCCTGTGACCATGATAGAAGTCAATAATCAACTGACACGTGCATGCTTGACATACCATCCTTTGTACGCAGCAGATCAACAGCAATCTTGCAGAAAATACCCACTCCCGGTCATCCGCGATTGTTTGAATCAAAACATTTCATTTCAGCGCTTCTTATGAAGTGCACGTGACTCGGGCGGGGTGCCGAAGCGGAAGCGGTGCTGCCACCCAAGTCCAACCAGTCTTTGGGTTTGTACTTTGTCCAACAAAAAACATATTGCTTCACGCTACCTACGACTAGACACTACTATGTCTGCAGCTATACTTGAGCAATAAGCTCAGTCACCGCCAGCATCTTGAACAAACCTAGTAAGATGTGAACACGAGGCCCATTAGCAACTTGGGTGTCCATAGCGCACCTGTGTACTGCACGTTTGGCACATATCGAAGCGCCAACCGCAGATCATTTCAAGGAAGGTGGGTAGGCAAAGCTATGCAAGGCCGCCTTCCACATATTCGCACACCGCCATCGGATAGTCACGCCCGACTCGGACGCCTCCTGCGGTGGACAGAAGGCAACATGCCAAACCCCGATATGTAATATGGCGGTGAACGCAGCCATACGGAACTGTAACATGCCCAACGCAGACACCAAGGTCCAGTCACCGTTGGGAAGAGAAGACAAATACGGATCGATGATCGAGGGGTCCACCCAGTGTAGCCAGCCTGCACCTGAATCGACTAAGTGAAACAACCAAGGACGGGTTCCTCGTCCTACTCAGCGACAGATTCAAGAATATATGGAGATATATGCCAGAATCAGCAATAAGTGAGCCAGCCGACCGTCTCCAGAATACCTTCGCCCGTCCTCAATGTAACCAACGAGGGCCCGTGACCAATCATCCCATGTACGCTCTCATCGTCAGACACCGAAAACCGATCGTGGACTGATGACTGGATTAGCAGGAGTAGATGGGGAATCACCGAGATCATCATGGGCGATTCAACCGGTGATCCTCAATTTAAAGAATCCTGGTCATCGTACCCACGAATTTTGTCTTGACCCAAATGACTCCGTCTGATCCCTTTCCTCCGCCTTATTGACCATGCTATATTGTTAGTCAGGGTCGCCTTATCTATATATCTCACCCCCCCTTCTTCCTCTGACCAAGTAGCCTGATTTGGATGGAGAAGGTCCACTCTATTTTTGCGCCCAAGACAATGATACGCCCTGAGACTCGCATTTTCTCGGATGACGGCGATACTAGGCATTCGTGGTACATTGATATTGCCGTACAGAGGTCATGTGCGGTTCCACGAATAGCTTCAAGATCTTGTATCGTATTTCAACTCGGTTTCAGCCCGCGGGGTTCCCTGCCAGCTCTCCTTTCCTGATATCGTGACTATGACCCTCAGCGGATGATTGGTTGTGCTTATCAGCATCAAGAGGCCTTGCGTCCAGATCATAGATCCGGTGTGAGCGAAGATGATGGTGACTGTGATGCTGCGTCTGTAGTATGTGTTTCGAAGGCGACTCAGCGATTATCCGGGCCGTTGATGTCGAGTCGGTGATCCATTGGCTCTGTTTATTTCTAAAGCCCTTGCCAAACAATAAGCGTCCCGTACGCCACTTGGTGATTGTCAAGCGAGAAACAGGCACGACAAAGATACTAAAACCTTGTAAGAGCCCTTTGATAGCACATCGAAACGTAATAACACAAATTAATGGGGCTAACCTCCCAAAGGTGCTCTGGTGGCTATGCCGGGTATTCCCGTACTACTAATCTTACGTCACCTTGATCCGGGTCTTCTTCTGCCTCTTCAAGTTGATCAGACTCCCAGTGGCACAATGATCTGTTGGCAGAAGGTCTTCGCACTACCAGTGCTATCCTCATGTTTTTCGTGCTCCGCCAAATCACCAATCATTCACATGGTATGATAACACTATAATGAATTAATGACGGCTGGCCGTGTGCTTCCAAGTTCCGCATTCTTGTTCTTCTGGTACTCCTGCTCCGTACATACACTTGGAATCTGTTGTCGACGCCTTTCCACCGCGATAATAATGTTCCACATCACTGACCACTGCGCGTGTGTATACAGTTAATAGCTACGAGTCCGACATACCGTATCTCCCTTGCGCCCTTCAGAGGCATCAATAAGTAACATTGAATGCTTCTCTTATACCCAAGACCCCACTACAGTCGATATGCACCATAGAAGCCTATTCCAAGTTCCGGTTTCTTCTGATATGCGTGTTTGCGCCCGGAATCTGTTGTCGATGACTTTTGATTCCCATGTACCATGTTCTGTGAAACGGCGATTATCAAGTCGAGATTTGGCTCTCGTGCGCAAGCCTACAATTTATGACTGCAAATCTGACACGTACCGTATCTCTCTTGTATCCTTCAAAGGCATAAGTTATATGAACAACTGTGATGGCCCAATGCTCCACGAAAACTGATATGAAATTGAAATTAAGTGAGATGATCAACATCGAGACACAGGTGGCTTTGCCGCAGTGCGCAGCCTATCTCTATATTACAGCACAAAATTCATCGCGTCACGATCATCGGCCCAGAGTCTGGCATACTCCAAACATAGTCTGTAGACGTACGCTATTGCCAAACAAAGTCAAGTCAACCAATTTGCAAATACATGCCCGCAAAGCTAGAACGCACCTTCCATATCGACAGTCCTCCCAATCGTCTTTCTCCACTGTCGGCCCGCACGTGCGATGCGCTGTAAATGCTGGTCGCCGTCTAGTGACTGTATTGGGTAAGTTGTAGTCAAATTTTTAGCTGCCAAAGTTGATGGCGTCGGTCCTGAGAAATACGCGTGGATGTTGTATATCTCGGCATAGGACGAGGATAAAGGTATATAGTGTAGCCTTGCTTGCCATTTAGCCTTGCATCCGAGTACCAATTATAAAACACACCATGGCTGCAACCAATCTGAGAGGAATTCCCGCCACACAGTACTCTTCACAACGGCGCTTTCGCTAGATAAAAGTGCCAAGAAACGTCCCGAGTAACCCATACCATCAAGATCCAGGAGATATTTGTACGTCCAGTGCTGACCCAGGGGGACGGGTGATCCGAAGCGGTGGCTTTTTCTAAGTGCTTCCTCGCCGCCAGGATACCCGCCAGTTGTCGAAACAAATGCAGCATCCATTATCTCGGCATTTAGCTGTCGCGCAGGCACCTCAGTAGTAATGAAATTATTAGCGCTCGAGGGGTCAGCATGGATAATCGTCCGATTTCCTGCTGTACTCTCGTGTGTCATGTGAAGAAATCTGTCGTGTAAGATAAGAATCGCGTGGTAGAGTAGCAAGCTCAGGAACGAATTACCTGTGTCTTTGGTAATGCGACGCAAAGCCCGGAGGAGTGCTACCACCACCAGTGTCCGCACCCCGCCAGAAAACCACGTCTAACTTTTCTTCCCATGGAACCTCCAAGTCATCAACATCTTTGGGTTGATCACTGTGGGAATCGAATCCATAGGTGTACCTGGGATGTTGTCCGACATAATAGTGGCTCGGAATCCTGATATCCAAGAACCCTGAGGCCTTCGCAGGCGATAAAACGGGGTAAAGGACAGGTATCGTGCGCCAGTCCGAGAAAAAGTGGCCATGGAAGTAGTGAGCCCAAGGATACGAACAGTAATCGATGGAATCGTCGACGCTTGACACAAAGGTGAATTCGTCTCCAGGAGCTGGAGCGGAGCCAAAGAAGACTTTTGAATTCTCAGCATTGGGATTGCGGTATGAACTATAGAGGCGACGGGCTTCAGTGTCAGGAGGGCACGTTCGGCGATAAGCTGCCCAAACACTTCCTTCTCCCTGCCAATCAGAAGTGAAGCCAGTTCCAACCATAGAAGTTATTCCACCTGAAGCGCAATTAATGCATAACCCCAATTTCACTAATGACATAGCAGACCTGATGAATCTTGTAATGTCATGTTAGGAAATTGGCGGTGTTCCCAAGGTACCAAGACCCTGCCCTCCGCCTTCGAGTTGATAGCCAATTGCATGTCAGGAAGCTATATAGGCCTTCATGAAGAAGGAATAGGCAGAGAAGGGTGAACATACACACCTTGTCTTGAAATTTCTCCAGCAAAGACATAAATCCTAATGCTCTATGTCCTCTCTCACTATCTGACTTGTCAATGGAGGCGCCCTCGGCCCTGCCATCTATGATGCGGACCAAATCAATAGACGGAAGTTCGCTGACCTGCAAAATGAATGTCATGGTACCATAGTAGAGGAGAAATCACACTTACTTGGACAGTCCTCCTTCGAAACTCCACACCCGACATATTCCAGAATGGCGCCAGGTCTTCATTAATGGCGTCAAACTCGTCCACCAGTCTCACGTTGTTTTCTTGCACGAACTGCCACCAATCTCCAAATCCTCTGGGAGGCTCGCGCCCGTATCGTTTCCTATATTCACCCACAGCGTCTCCAAGAGTCTTGCTTTGCCTCGAAAGCATATGCTTGAACTTCTCCTCGGCATCCGCCATCAATTTTGGTATAGGATGTTCAGCGAGGGTGTATGATTTCCCATCCTTGACAAAAGGGAGCCACTTGGAGGAAGTCGAGAACCAGTTCGCTCGTGAACTTGAGTCTCGTTGAGAAGTGTGATCTTTGTGACCGGCGAAGAGGCCAGCTTGCATAAAAAAGAGGAAAACACAAGCGAGAAATATCCAGCCGCGCCATTTTGTTGCCTGTGTATCACCTTTATTGGTGGACCGCATTGTCGAGGTGAGAATGAAGCCTAGCTATACAATTGAACGAATAGACGACGTTCAGGGTAAGACAGTTGAGGTGAACATCGAGACTCTAACGCCGAGCGGGGTCTGGTACGTGTACCGTAAATACGTAATTGGTCCCTTTTTAATATCAATACTCTGACTCTACAGCCGCCACGCATGGCCGCATTTAAGAAGTGTGCATATGATGGAATGTTGAGTTCAATTTTGTATTACATGAAACTGATTGGCCGAGCAGGGAGCTCGTGTCATCGTTAGAAAGTCACGGTGCTGCCAGCTGGCATCATTGGTAATATCACCGCCCAGAAAAGTCAATTAGTGAGATCACCACAAAGGAAAGGAGTGTCATGCTGACTGAGGAGGTGACCCTGACTGATTTTGAACTGAGTAATCGTCTGTCATCAACAGATATAAAACCAAGAGCTCCGAGATCTGATCCCTTATCATCGCTTGTAAATTACACCCCCTCACAATCCAATCCAAAATCATGGCAGAATCAAAGGTCTGGCTAGGTAAGTTCTCGGTGCTTACTCATCGAGCTTCGAGAATTGACGAAATAATGCAAGTTACTGGGTCGTCGTCGGGATTCGGTCGTTCCATGACAGAACTTTTGCTGAAGAACGGAAATAGGGTAGTTGCAACTCTACGCCGCAAGGAAGCTCTGTCCGATCTTGCCGAACGGTATCCGTCTTCCCAATTGCTGATTGTCCAGACGGATGTCGTAAAGACCTCGGAGGTGGCTGCCGCATTTGCAAAAGCCAAAGAGGCGTTCGGACGTATTGATGTTGTGTTCAATAACGCGGGTATGGCTATTCTCGGAGAGATGGAGTGTATGAGCGATCAGGACGCTCGTCAGGTCTTCGAAGTGAACTTTTGGGGCGCATCAAATGTCACGAGGGAGGCTATTCGGATGTTCAGGGAAGTGAACAAACCTATCGGGGGAAGATTATTGCAGGTCTCTTCTTCGTTGGGCTTGCGTGGAAGAGCCGCAGCGTCCTACTATGCCGCATCGTGAGTGAACATGGCCATGCGTGATTTCAATGCTCACCAACAGCTATGTATCACAACAGTAAACATGGTAAGCGTGTTTGTCTGAGGCCATAGCAATATCTTACACCGGATCTTCAGCATTAGAAGGATTTAGCGAGAGCCTCGCAGAAGAACTGGACCCGGCTTGGAACATACAAGTTTAGTCAATTTAATCTCAAGATGGAACTTAAGCTAATGCCAGGTAGATTACCATAATCGAACCAGGTCCATTCCGGACGGGGATGTTCGGGGGTAACATGGAACTTGTTCCTCAACATTCAGCATATGCAGACCCGGAACTACCTGGTTCTAAATTCCGTCAATATATGACTTCAACTCTGGCTGACGGAGACACTGAAAAGGCAGTAGTGGTCATTGAGAAGCTAACTCACCTAGATGATCCACCGCTAAGAATTCCGTTGCACAGGATTGCGGTCAGAGCTGGGAGAGAGAAGGCAAAGAGTCTCACTGAGATTATAGATAGATACGAATCGTGGACGGAGAATGTCTACTTCACGTAGCACAGCTGACGCGTAGTAGTTACTTTGGATGGCATTGAACTCAATGGCATCGTGAATGGGGCGGGATATAGAAAATGCCGATACGATTTACTGTCCTCTGAGGGTTGTCCAGGAAGTGCATTGTACTGTTCGATGACATGTAGGAAGCCTTTGGCGTGCAGTCAGATGGAAAAGCTAGGTTCGTCCAAGTGACTCCTGGAAAATCAAGGATGATGTGAGGTATATAACATACCTTCTAGTGCCAAATCATATCCACCGTGACGCACATTTAAATGGACGTATGTGAGGCCAGTGTGAGGCTGCTCCAATAAGAGACAAACAGTGGATGCAGGGAAAGAGTGAGAGATATGACACAGATTTGTCAAGGAACACTGACTGAGGTCGCACATGCAAGTGTCTGTACAAGTCTGTACATAGGTTCACTGTAATCTAGGTAATGCAGCTGATAGGCCCATGATGCATGATGAATGAGGTGGAACTAGATAACGCAAGGCAGGCTACAACGAATTTGACCGGCGCATCGCGCATTAATCCAACTAGGTCAAACAACTGTTATATTCAGCGTCCACTTGAAGAGCACTCCACCCACCCGAAACATCCATGGATTCAACCTCAAGCAGCTTTGACACCTTATAATTTCCATCAGTTTGATTATTTTGCTGCCTAATTCATTATAGCTACATACTATGCTCAGTACGCAGTACGGTTGTCCTTGTTGTTGACTCGATGTCAGTATTTTCATCTCTTGTGTCTTACTGATTTCATTGACAGCTCTTGATGTCTGAAGGAACTTGGGATAAGCTGGTCCAGGTCACTGTTAAGGGTGCTGAACATGACTTGCGAACGTCTGCCCCATCCGCATTATTTGGAAGGGGCTCGGGTGGACCTCCTCAAGCACATTCACGAATGGCTAGACAACTGCGAAGAAGGCCGAATCACCTGGTTGCATAGCACGACGGGCGTCGGAGAGTCTGTTGTTGCGGTCACTGTAGCTGAAAGGATGAGTCGTCTGAAAATGACAAATCGGTTAGCGGGAACATTCTTTTTCTCTCGAGCTGGCACACAACTGCGAGTCGTCTCTTTGCGACTGCTGTGCTTTATAAATGCATAGATTCCCTACTAGAATCCCTCAGTCAGTCCACAACCGAGCCTGGGCTCCTGGTTGAAACCGAGTGGGCGCGTAAAAGACGTGCCGAAAGGTTGGTTCGGCAATGTTCTTAGTGAAGACACTGTAAGCCCATCGACTTGCTCAGGATCAAAGGCACACAATCGTTTACCGAGTGTCCGATCGGATTAACTGATCCCCCGCTTAATGTGGACGAGGTCATCGAACTCTGTTGGGCTGCCCTTGCGCCCTACCACCCTGGCCACCCTGATCGATCCTCAGCCTTGAACAACCTTGGCATCAGCCTTCGGGACAGATTCAAGCAGCTGGGTCTTTTAGCTGTCCTGGACGAGGCCATTCAGTTCCATCGAGCTGCATTGGTGCTCTGTCTCCCAGGCCATTCTGGTAAGTTCTCGTCTCAACGACCTTGTCATCAGCCTTCGAGTCAGAAGAGTCGAGCAGTATGGCGTCCTAGCTGACCTGGACGAGGCCATTGAGTTCCATCGAGTTGCATTGGCACTTCGTTCTCTCGTCCATTCTCATCGATTCGAGCAGCGGAGCATCCAGGCTGACCCGGATGAGGCCATCGAGCTGCGTTGACACTCTGTCCTCCTGGCCATTCTCGGCGACCATCATCTCTCCAAAACTTTGCCATCAGCCTTCGAGTCAGATTTGAGTGACAAGGCGTCTTAGCTGATCTTTTTGAGGCGATTGGGCTCAAGGAGCTGCACTGGCGCTGTACCCCGTCACCATTCTGATCGGTCCTCATCTCTGAATGACCTGACTATCAGCCTTCGTCACATATTCAAGGAGTGGAACGTTCTGACTGACCTGGATAAGGCTATTGAGTACCGCCGAGCTGCACTGTTGCACTGTCTGGGGTGTCCTGTCTGACGTAGGCGAGGCTATTAAGCTCCATCGAGCTGCACTGGAGCTTTGTTCTCCTGGTCATCCCGACCGATCTGGGTACCTCAACAGCCTTTCCATTAGCCTACGAGACAGGTTCAACCAGCAGGGTCTATCATCAGGTTTGGACGAGGCCTTCAGTTATTATTTGCAACTCTCTCAAGTATCTCATGGAGTCTCTCGTAGTGATCTTCATACTGCTGTGGAATTAGTGAAGCAAGGCCTTACAATTTTTCTGGACTCATTTGGCACGGTTTCGCACACCGAGCGATGAACTTCAGGTGCTGCTTGCGAAGCTTTGGCGGAAGAGTTCAGGCAAATCAGCTTTCGCCTTCGCAAAACATTAGACGCATCTTCTGAAGACCAGTCCCCACAAGTCCAACAACTCACTATGCAATGGGATGATGTCGTCTTGCACATTCGCATGCTGCCTGACTTCTCCAGATTTGTCCTTCCCCCGCTGCTCTCTGACGTCCGGAAGGCGGCAGAAAACATCTCAGTCATAATTGTTAATACAAGCAAGTACAGTTGTGATGCTCCGATCAGCCGAGATCCCGTCCATGTTCCACTCCCAAGCCGAGGTCTCTGAGTTGTCATCGGAGTTCCAGTCCCTTGCAGAGCGTGTTGGTTCTTCCGATTATCAACTTGAGTTACCCAAGATTGTTGGCTCCCCGCGGAAGCTTTGGTTTCGTATCGTTACTCCCATAGTTGAAGATCTCAGGGGTTTTATCCAGCCCGGCTCATGCATCTACTGCTTCCTCTACATGCTGCAGGACCCTACGAGAGGAAAAGTCATGAAACCTTGTCGGCACTCATCCGCGCGAGACCGCAGGTTCTCAGATGCGTCCCCGCAACATTTTGTTGCCATTGGCCAAGCCAACCCGGACGGAGGGAAAGGAGTCTGATGTGTCGCTCCCGGCACATAACTTTCCTATGTCACATCTCACTCTACTTTCGTCCCTATTGTCCTGTTGCTTTTATTCGCCGGTTGTTCCGCCGCTTGGTTGATATTAGTTCTGGGAAGTTGATAATATATGTTGGTCTCCCTTTTACTACGAATCGATCCGATTGCCTGACAAATCCGTTGAAAGACTGAGAAGCAGGACGGCTACGGAATTGCAGAACATTTCCAAAGTGCTCCGACCATAGATTCGTACAATCGATTTGTATCCGCATGTTATCACTCCACGAAGATGATTTTGAGTGAAATTCGCAGCTAGATTTCTTGAATTTTCGATCGACGCTTCCACTGATGTTCAATTATCTACATGTGGTGTGCATACGTGCGTGCTACGGATGGGAGGACACGCTATGTCTTGATCCCCCAACGCGTGCCCAAAACATGTCTTCTTTCAATCGTGCGAGTTCTTTTCACGTATGATTCCGCCATGTCGCGTCACCGGCGTAACCTTCCTAGTCGGTAGTAAAAGAGTGCTTCGTACTAGCGTCAATAAATTTCCCGTATGTGCTGGAACCCTCGGACACCCGCCTAGTTTGGCCAGCTTCGGAGGATGGGTCGACAACAGTGGCTTGCGCGGTGTGGAGAGAAATAACCACGGACGCTCGCTTTTCGGGAGACGGATCTCCGTTCATATTCGGGGATGAGACTTTCGCCGATGTCATGGAGGGATCTACAGCATCTTCGCCCGCCATAGCTTTCTGTTCAGGAGACGATTTGTGTTCTTCCTTCTCAAAAGCATGCGCATCAAGTTTTAATGGGGTCTCACCTTTGCTAACTTCGACCGAAAGCATCGGAATTTCTTCCTTTGCCTCAGTCTGTGAAGCAGTGGGAGGTTCAGGCACTGCCCTTCGTGCGGGAGCTCGCCTGGGGACGGGTAGAGCATCATTTGGTACAGGCGAACCTGGAACGAAAACGGAGAGCCCGTGCGTGGAAAAGCTGGTAAGCCGGCTCACAATTGATTTAGAGCAATAGGTATACTGGCCGATGGGGTATCGGCGAAGAGACGTGTGAAGGCAAGAGAGCTGGAGGGGTCACGCAAGAACGTGGCGATGCGGCACGGAACGCGAGTGACGTGGGTGTCTCTGGCAGGGGGATTGTGTGTGGGGGAGGTAGGGCGTTCTGGCTGTAAAGCTGGGGCCTGGGGCTGTTTGATTGTTTGTAGAGAAGACAGATCTACGGAAAATGAGCGAGCAAAAAAATATTTCATCAACTGGAGTGGTGATTGAGAATCGGACGTCTCAGCTTAGAGCTTGTGTTTTTGTCAGTATTGTTTGAAACTGCACCCGCAGTGTCGATTGAATGGCCACATCCTTCGCTCCTTCCGGGCAGGGGGTGCTTGGGGAACAGAAGGGCGGACAGGTTTGGGGCAGGTAACGGTATCCTCATAGAACAGCCCTCTCCCAAAGCGCACTCGCCATCTCCCTTGAACCACCTGCACAGAGGAGACACAGGCGGCGGGGATCGCGGATTCACCCGCAGCCGGAGAAGAGTTATTTGACTCTTGGGTATTTTCTATTCCATTCGCATCCGAAATCACGGGCTTCTTATCTGGTGTAACAGGTTCCTCCCATATACGCTCCAAGATGCATGTGAAGACGAGATCCCACAGGGAACACGTACTTCGGAGGCGTAGGAGACAATAATTGGATGTGCATAACGGATAGGGATGTTGAGTTTGAGTAGAGCTTGTACGGGTTGCCCCTGTGGGGTGCGCTGGTGGCCAGTATACGGGAAGCGTCGATGTGGAAGGCTAAGAGGTGTGCGGTGGTAAAGAAGCCGGGGCAACAACTGGCGCAGGGGTGCTAGAGGGAATACGTACGCTTGCTCAGGCTGCTCGATATCTGCGTCGTCCGACATGTGACTTGATGAGGAGTTGACTCTTGAACCAAAAGGTTGCCATTCGTGCTCGAGGCGGACATTGTTGCAGCTGCGCGCGAGGGACGCGAGCATGGGTGGCTTGAGGGTATCTCGTGCGATTGGACACGCACGACTGCAACATGAAAAGCATAACAAAGAAGGAATGATATATTTACGTGAAGAACCAAGTTTGCACTCAGCGTAGGGAACTTGAGGCAGCTACATGGTCTCACCGAAACTGTAGGCAAATACGAATCGTAGTCGTAGTATCGACGGCAGCTGATACGTGACGCTGTGACAACGTCGGCGTGACATGTGTAGAACTTCTTCCAAGACAACAGTCAAGGAGGTTGCCACCACTAAATGGCTCCAACGAAAACCACCAAGGTCTCTTCGACTTCAAAATCCTCTATCCAAAAAAACACTGCGTCTGGTGTCGGTGCACCTTCTCAACTTGCTCAATCGAGCCGTAAGAGCAAGAAGGCATGGCGGAAAAACATTGATATACAGCCTGTGGAACAGGGCCTAGAGAGTCTGCGTTCAGAGGAGCGGGTCATCGGGTGGGGAAAATTCGTGTCATGTATATGTCTACCATCTAATCGTGTGTATCGACTTTGACAGTTCTACGCTACAGAAACAGACAGACGATCAATTATTTGTTGTGGACACCAAAGGAGACGATAAAGGTAAGTTCTTGCAAGACATCTCTAGGTAAAAAGTATAATACTATCTAGTCCGCAAGTCGTTACCGCGGTACTCTAAGGCTGAGTTGACTTCCACAAAAATACTTTCCCAACGATCTGCCATTCCTGCCGTGTTTTCTCGCCCAACAAAAGACACTATAACATCACGATCAAAAGTCAGTAGAGCTGACAAGGAGCGCCTTCTTCGCATTGCAAAGCGGCCCAGAAAGGGTCCATTCAATGCCATTATGGACCACACAGAGTTTGGTGCAGGGAGTGCTTTAATCGATGTCAGCGCTGCTGTGAAACATAGCGGTTCTTATGACCCATGGATTGCAGAGGAGGTGGAAGAAGTGGCTGATGGATTGGAGTATACCCAGAAACCCAAAATTAAGGTAGTGCTTACTTTCCCTGCCACTAGCGGTTTGCTGATGATATCCACAGCGCCCGGAATTATCTCATCCCCGCGATATCATAGAAGTTCCTGCTGTGCTGGAGCCACATCAAGGATCATCATACAATCCCCCTGCCGCGGCACATGATGAGCTTATTGTGGAGGCATGCAGACTGGAGCGACGCAGACAAGATGAAGCGGATCGATTAGCTGAAGTTCGACGCAAGGTTGCCGATGCACGTGCACTTGCTACAAATGTCACGGAGGGCCTTCCACTTGGAATGACTTTGGATGAGATACCCACAGACGACGGTGAACCAGTCGCACAGCACGATGCGGTTGTACCCAAGAAACCATCGACACGTAAAACTAAGCAGCAACGAGCAAAGGCGCTGCGATTGCGCGAGGAGGTACGCCTTTCGGAGATTCCTTACCATTGCCGCTGAGCTTGCACCAGAAACGAGCCTTGGCAGAAAAGGCGGCAAGAAAAAAAATGCTTGCTACGATAACAATGGTTAAATCTCTCCGTTCAACTGCGGAGAAAGTCGGCCAACAACAAAATCAAGCGCGATTGGCAAGGCAGTTGGCGCTAAAGATGAAGCTTAGAAAGGGTCTGGCTGGCCAACGGCTAGGGAAATATAAAGTTCCTGAAAATGAAATCGAGGTTCAGATTGGGGAGGATCTGAGCGAAAACCTACGAACGCTGAAGGTGCGTCAACTGCACCAGTTTTGTCGGCATTGCTGATAGCCTCCCATCAGCCCGAGGGCAACTTATTCCGTGATCGCTTCCGTAGCATGCAGCAAAGAGCCCTCATTGAGCCTCGCGTACCAATCCTGTGAGTATTCGTGATATGTCTCAGCGCAGTTTTTGACGTCCTTTACCCTGTAGCCCAACCAAGCGAGCGAAGCTGAAAGAGTTCGAGAAGCACGCCTGGAAAAGATTTGAGTAGCTAGTATTACTCTTGTCCTATGCTACCGGCCTTCAAGTGTTGACAGGACGCACTTGCCTCCAGTGCATGTTGTACTACATCAGTTGCATTGCATGTTTCGGCACTTGTACTTTTTGCAGTAAGTTTGGTGAGATTTCGATTTTCTGCGACAGGGCTTGCCCTCGACTCATCTCCCCTACCTCTGGGTGCGGCTCTTCCGCCAGACGTGCATATTTCTATGACGTTGTAGTGTGCTTCAGCGCTGATCACAATGATTCCCCGGTTCAGCGCGCCGGTCATATCAAAGTTAATGGCCAGCCGATTATTGCACGCGTCACGACTCGCGGAGGTGGACGGGCACGCATGGAAATCATGCCTTCAGCAAAAAGATGCATGTATGCTCACCTCAGGGCACCTTATCCATTGATAATCACGGTTGGACAGCTGCATCTTTGAAATGTCGAGGCGCCACATCTAATGTTCAGGTGTTGCCCGCCGAAAAGAAAACTCGGCTGGTTCATGGCCCCAGACAGTGACTATGTAGCAAAGACTTGAGACACAACTCAGCTGCCAGAACCGTTGAGGGCGGCACAGATTGAGTACCAAAAAATGGACACTGTGGGAGTTGAACCCACGACCTTACGCAATCACGGTTTGCGAAGCGTACGCGCTACCAACTGTGCCAAGGGCCCGCGTGTGCTAAATGACCTAAGCAATACATCATTGGCTGAATCATTGCAGCTTGCAATTGGGACTCGACCACGTCCGTTTCCTACTCAAGTGTCTTACGGATGGACATTGATTATATTGAAAACGAAATCTCCCAATTGCAACCTCCCGCAATCCAGAGGAGACGAATCCGACCAGTGGACGATGCTCATCCTTTTGATCTAGACGCATACATCTCGGGATATTCTGGTATGATATTAAACGCCCCTCTTGATGCACTAACTTAGATCGATATTTCCGACTCTTTGAGGTCGTACTGCATTTGACAGGCTTGTCCACATTATCTCAACATGTCCGACTTTGGCACCACAGGCACTAAAGCTGGCGTTCGCGCAGATCGAGGGGCTTCGCGATCCAACCCTTTATCAGACTGCGATGAACGCATATGATGCTGTGGCGGACCTTCCAGAGGTGCAGCTCCCTCCTAGCGAGTTTTGTTCAGTGAATACGGTGTGGTGCGAAGAAGTTACGAAAAAGAATCAAGCGGAGAGAACGAAGCTGGAGGTTGAGCTGAAGACGTATTCTAACAATATGATTAAAGAGAGCATAAGGGTACGGCCAGCATCTTGATTCTTTCAGAGACTCTAAATATTATCTCTCCGTCAGATGGGCCATAGGGACCTCGGTGATTTCTACCGCGCTACTGGAGACTATACCCAAGCACTCAAACATTATACGAAATCAAGGGAGTTCTGCTCAACCAGCCAGCACGTGCTTGACATGTGTCTTTCTGTGCTAGAGGTAGATTTTAGTTCATTGGTATTAGTGTCCTGTCGTTCATGCCTCCCATAGCTTGTGATCGAACAACGCAATTACTCACACATATCTTCCTACGTCTTTAAGGCGGAGGGCGCACTTGATACGGCAAGCGCAGCAGCAGCATCCAACACTGCTCCTGGTTCCAACAACATCTCAGCTGCCCCGCCACCTAAAAGGTCAGCAGAGCGTGACCAAGTACAGTCCAAGCTGGACTTTGCGATGGCTTTGTTTCAACTGGGGCAAGCCAACTATGAAAAAGCTGCCCAACTTTTCCTGAAGATTGGCCCTCCGGATTCTCTTGGTGATTGGATTGGCAAGGTAGGTGAGATTATTTATCCAGTCGACCTTTGCTTACGCTCTTCTAGCTTGTCGCTCCCGGTGATTTTGCGATATATGGGACTCTATGTGCTCTTGCTAGCATGTCGCGATCGGCAATCAAGTCTCAACTTACGGGAAACGCTATTTTCTCTGCGTACATTGAGCAAGAACCATATGTTCGAGACTTGACCCAGTCATATCTTTCAAGCGATTTCAAAAACGTCCTGGAGCTTCTTGAGCGGTACTCGGTATGCTTACTAAGTCTCTTAATATCTATAATTCTGAGTCGTCTTTCTTGCACCAGACGCGCCATTATGTGGACATTCATATGTACTCACATGTATATGACCTGACGAACCTCATTCGTAATGTTGCGGTCGTGCTTTACTTCCAGCCATTCCAGACCATTCGCCTCGACAGAATGAGCGCCGCATTCGGCTGGACCGTCGATGAAGTTGAGAAGGAGGTAGTTGCGCTCATTCAAAGCGGTCAGATCCAAGGCCGAGTTGACAGTCAGAACAAGGCTAGTGAAGCTTGTTGGCATAGCTATACAGAGGAGATTACTGACACCATCCACGCTACAGATCCTGAAAGCGAGAAAGGTGGATCATAGAGCCGAATTGTTCGCGCGTGCCATAAATACCGCTGCTGAGATACAAAGTACCAATCGCAAGCTACTGCTACGGATGCGTTTGTGAGTATATATGGGATATGCGCAGGTCACGCTCTAATCTGAGTTTGTAGGCAACAAGCAGATTTGGTGGTGAAGCCGCCAAAATCGCGCCGCGAACAAGATCGTGCGGGGGAGCTTTTGCAGGGCGATTGACAGCTATAAGATGGTGAGGCTATTGTACTGTATTTCTACTGCATGGTCAAACTTTATATCATGATCATTTCTGACGGCTAACAGCGATGAAGTTCTGCGTAAGATTTGCTCCACTGACATTCCATAGTTCAAAGGCGACCTCTCTCGGAGACTGCTCTTTCTGAGACCTCATGAGGTCGAAGCGTTTTGGGAAGCCGAGCGGCATCACATGACAAAGGACAAGTAGAAGGAGTTCTCTGGTTTCCGACTAAACGAAAATCATTAGGGGCAATTAAATTACAGCTTCATGAGAACAGGCTGAATAAAGGAAAGGAGAGGATTTGAATAGCCCAGTTGACCGCTCGCAAAGCCGGCTACTTATGACTGAATGCGTGCCTCCTAGGTCCCCCTGTGGCGAGCAGTCTGTAGATTTCGCACGGTCTACGTCCTCGACAAGCTGGCGCCTACTACTGGTTCAATCGAGTGTGGCAAAGGCTTTGTCACACTGCATGCACTGGCTATTCCCGTCATCCCTAAGGATGTCGAAGACAAGAATACGTCTGTGCCGGAATAATCAGCGTTTAGGAGACTCAGAAGAGAGCATGCGTCAGACATGACGCATATGCGCACGGACCAGCTTGAAGACGCCTAAACCGAGTGCGAGTGTTGATTCATTTGAATCGATTAAAATTGCGGTGCCAACATCCATGCACATGTCCATGTCCCGTACACTCGTGTACCTTGTTCAACAGTATCACAAGTTGTTTGGGTCGTCGTTAGTACAATGAGCTAATTACGTACTACTACTAGTACGAGCATCCTTGCCTCGCGGTCGGTGGCTGAAGCGCTAACTAAGCCTAGACCAATGGACTTGGCAACACCAACTATAAAGTAGGGCGATACTAGGTTCTCTGTTCTTTACATTCACCCACCATCATGGACGGATCGTATGTACCACCAAAATTGTTCCCAGACAGTCACGGTGCCAGTCATGGTATACACTGGCAGCCCTTCAAACAGAGGATAGACAAGGGGAAAGGAGTCGGTTAGTGTACTCCACATACAGGGACGTTATCGTTCATAATCTGTACAGATCGACCAGTCGGTATTGGCGATAGCAGTTGGAATCGTTTTGCCCAGGGCTCATCCCGTGCATCTGCACCATCGATCACGATCGACGAGATGGACGACGACGATGAGCCCTTGACATCACAAACACTCTCAATGTTTACAGGTGATACAGCAGACTCTACCCGCATGTCTGAGGATTCGGACGACGACCTCTATCAATCAGTAAGATCCGATAATGCAGAAGACTTTGTAGGTCCACTTCCTTCAAGTCTAGGCTTGCGGTCATCATAATGTGGGCTGGAGTTCTCACGTTCTGATTCAGATGGACGTGGAAGATTCCTCTCCGCATAGTGATGCTCGCGACCTTGTCCAGTCGATTAATGGGATGTATCGGGTCCTGGATTTGATCAATGAACAAGGGAGTGGTGGGCTAGGTATCTTCACTATCCTTGACAACCCTCGCCTTCGCTGACTTGTAGTTTTAGTGGACAAAGTTATCATAGCGCAGGATTCACTCCGTGCATTTATCAACAGTGTTTGTCCGGGCACATATGTGTCCATGACAAAAGTCAACTTTAGCGCTCTAGACCGCTTCATCGTGAAGCCTGTTGGCGTGTACGGCAGTAAGAGTGAAATTGTGCGACTCTTGTCATCTCTGGGTGTCGTCGACGAGGAAATGTGAGTTCAGTACCGGTATTCAGATCGACACTTTGATAAACTTTATTCTGTAGCGCAAAGCAACTCATCACGAACCAAAGTGACTCTCACGTTTCAATGCCGAGTCTTCGTTCTGGACTGTACATCGTTCGTGCAGTTTGCGAGGCTACACCTGACCAACAGCTTTTCCTCATCTACTGGCCGGAGGATTCAACCTGGGATGACTCAGCCCCTTCGTCTGTGAGACGCAACCGCGTGACCTTCATGAGGTCCGTCAAGTCTTTCTGAGTTTAGACACTGCTCCTAACTAAAACGCCAGATACCTCATGAAAATGTGTGATCAAGTCACAGCACTTATTTCCCCAGAGCATGCTCGATCGATCGTGTGGAATGACCAGGAAGGCGAAGACGCCATCATGGATCTGGACGAAGACCATGATGAGTCCAGTAGGCTGTTCACATTTGAAGTCGCGAAAACCAATGAGCAAGAGGAGGCAGTAAAGTCACGCCCGGGATTCAAGGTTAGTTCGGTTTATCGATATGAATGGCCCAATGCTTAGAGCCGCTTCTATAGGCTACGTCCAGGCATATAACCATGCCGCAGTCTCACCCAGAGGCAACAGTGGATGTCAAATTGCTGAAGCCCGAGTTGTTGCATGGTGAGACAACTCAAGGGTTCATGACCGTCGCATTTCAACCGGGCAGGCTCAATGCCGAATCCATGAAAAACCAATCCTTAACTAGCGTCCAGTTGCGCAATTACCTGTGGGTATTACACTGAGCAGCTCGACTTTGGCCGTCAATTGACACTTCCCCAGGAAGAGTGATGCTTTACTGATTAGTGAGAGTCTGGGTGCAGATGCCCTGAACATTCTGATGTTTAATGGCATCTATGATCGTTTCCGACAACAATGTGGACAGTTTCGGGAGCGATCCACAGCTATCTCATCGAATACTAGGTCGAGCAAGGAGTCAGAGGAAACAAGGATTAGAGAGGACGTGAAGAGGGGGGAGCCTCTTCTGACTGAGGTTTTTCATCACGCCTTGGTCGATGCTATCATCAAGAAATTTTCGTGCGTTTTTACTTCGCACACTTTACCCATGTCTGATCCAGCCCTAGTACCTTCACTCACGAATCTTTCGCATGTCCCACAGGATGCGAGCAAGACGGCCCATCGACTCTAGGTTCGTCCTCCGTGCAATCACTTTGTCTTAGAATAATACCGTTTACAGATTCGGCCATGGCTGATATTCCAGTCGGTACCGACTCTTCGTGAGTTATACCCACGACAGGTCCTCGTGTATCACTGACATCATTCTTCAAGTACCTCCGCTGTCGATCCCTCTCTGCATCCCACTAGAATTGAACAGGAACGTAATTCAGCGCGAAGTATGTCATGTTTGCATTGCTCTACAATTTATTAATTAGTTATGCAGATGAGCTTAATACTCTCATCGCCTTGTATCCAGACATAGGGGAAGAGCTCTGCCGCAAGGCGCATTCGGAGAAAATCAACAATCGAACCTTCAAGGAGGGCAAAGAACGGATCCGCATTGCCCAGAATGTCCTTCGTAACTCTCCTGATATGCCGAAGGAAGCCCGTGAAAGCTTCATCAATGTCATTCTCTATGAGGATACGCCACACGTCAAGGAAACCCTCAAATCGATCAGCAGGGGGAACATTCCGCATGAGAAGCCTAAGGGATTGGTAAACACACTCTGGGATAAAATCAGTTCCGCTGTCTTGCCTGACCTGGATCTGCGTACCTTTAATAAAACATTGAACGAGGGGGATGCTGATTCCGTCAGCGATGCTCAGTTCCTCACGGAGTTGGATGATGTCGAAATACCCCATATCTTCGCAAAAATCGTGGAAGAAACTAGGACGGCCGCTCTGCATCACTTTAGGTCACACTTGACGAAGCAAACCCGATTTTTGGTGCATTTTGCACTGCGCACACAAACCGATCAATGTGTACTTCAAGTACAGAGAGAAGCTTCCAGTCATGGAGAGGAGCAACTTACTGAGTTGCGGAGGACGTTTCTCCGTGAAATCAATGATCTTTCGCAAACAGGACATCATGTGTTAGTGATTTCGCACTTATTTTGCTTCGCCTTCATCTCAAGTTGATAGGTACACTTTCGTCATCGATTCCGTCGAGGAAATACGCAAACATTACCAAAGTAAGTCCAGCTATCCTCATGTCTACCCACTCTGATGAAATGATCGATAACAGCACAGATATTCATCTCTGGCCAAAGGGAATATTTCCAGGATCCTGTCTGTGAATTCTCTGTCCATCTCATGCAGCTGATGGAACACGATCAACATTCCTTGAAAATGGACCCTACCGTGATTCCCTCGCCGAAGTTCACTGCGAGGCACGCGTACTCGTTCAAGTTGCCTCTTGGGGATTCGGTTGCGTCAGTGCTTTTGACATTGTGGTGCATCAATGAATTGACGCTCTTGATTTAGGAGAGCGCAACTTCTTTCAGGCGATAAGATCTTGCTTGCAACGACTGATCGGTATGGGAACCTAATGGTGTTTCTGGAAAGCCTCCACGCGATCGAAGGCGCCTTGACTCAAGGCCGCGGGAAAAAGCTGAATCGTGATAAAATCGGCGAATTTATTCTCGCATTTGATGAGTCAAAACGACTGCTTAGTGTCGTAGCTAGAGAGAAGGTTGGTTTCATAAGCAATCTTCTTGGTGGGGTCTAACGAATGCGTCATCAGCTCTTGTTGCACATCTTTCTCCACGACAACACCCGTGGTTTCCAGGCTTCTGGCAGCGCAATCAACTTGACTCAGTGGTATGGCGAAGGAGTCTCTATCGTTCATGCGTGCTTTATCTGTGGTAGCGAAGAGCTACTACTTGTCGATTCATTGGCACAAGCCAGAATATACTCCCTGACAACGATGCAGTTTAGGTAGGAGCTCAAATTGCGATAAACGATATCTGCTAATATACGTATGACAGGCCTGCCACCCTTGATCTCATTCAGATCCCTAAGGCAGTTTACTCCACTCCAGATGGTTCTTGTTTGATCGCCACTCATGTGTGTGGCTCTGAACTGATTTTGGCCGCCTATCACTGGAGTACCTTCGGCTCAACGAATGGCGTCCCACTCGAAATTCCGGATCTTCCCCTGGATCAGCCGCTGCTGTTGACTTCTCTAATAAAGAGGAGTATCGTCCATCTCGTTACGCTTGACGTTGACTCGAATTCTTGTCGATCATTCGCTCTCGACATCACTCGCAAAGTGACGGAGTTTACCTTCAAGGAGAAAGGCGTCCGAGGAGGAGGAGCTCAGTCGAAGAATGCCACTGCACACAACTGTCTCATTGATTGTCACGCTGACGTGTGGACTCGTTTCCCGGTTCTTTCTGCCGTTCAGCGGGAGACGATCACATCATCTAGTAACAGATGCCCGCGAACATTGGTGTTCATTACAGATCGGGACCATCATATGTTCTCACCGCACTTCCACGACCTTATTTACAACTTTGAAAGGACATCAAAGAAGCCGACGGGAACCATCCTAAAATCAATGGTCATCTCTGCTACTACATATTCCGGTTTTTCCAATAGTCTCCTCAGAGCTACAGAATGGAGCGTGTCGAAGTTCAGAGCTGGGGAATGGTTGGTAGATATCCTCTGCCTCATTCCAATTCACATCGCAGTGACGAGGGAGAATCGATTCATTCCACTCAAGGACGGTGTATATTCGACCGAACTTGAGAAATCCCTCCTCGGTGCAGATGTTAACCGCATTGTCAATCACCTGTCTTTTGGTTGGTATGAATCGTTATTCCAGTCATACATGGCCAAAAAGGTATGATTACATGAACGCTTCGAGTTGAGTGACACTGACTTCATCCGGTGCAATCTTCTTCAAGCCGGTCAAAGTTGTGTCGTCCATGGGTGAACAATCGGTGGGGAAAAGCTTCTCCTTGAACCATCTTGTGGACACATCATTCGCGGGATCGGCCATGCGTACAACAGAAGGGGTCTGGATGTCAGTGACTCCGACTAAGGATGCTCTTGTCGTTGCTTTGGATTTCGAAGGCATGTGAACCAACCATCGGTGGACATTTCATATTGATGTCTTCCTTTGATAGGTGTTCACAGTATTGAGCGTTCCGCTCAAGAAGACACATTGCTCGTGCTGTTCAATACTGCGATCTCTAACTTAGTTTGTTGCTTGCTATGTGTTTCTGATGGTTGCTTAACATCATTGTCGTAGGTGCTATTCCGGAACAACTTCGCCTTGAGCCGAGATATCACAGGCTTATTCCAGTCATTCCAATCAAGTTCGACCGTCCTCGACCCAGCGTCTAACCCGAGTCTATTTCAGTCGACGTTGGTGATCATCATCAAGGTACTTTCCACCTCTTGAAATCTTTCTTTTATGTGTTTTGACTCATCGACTTTAAGGATGTCGTGGATTCGGACAAAGCAGAAATTACTCGAGAGTATGTTCCAGACGGTGTCCACATGAATGCATACTCAGATCGTTCCTCAGGTTCGCCCTCAAGTTTCAGCAAATAGTCCAGGACGAACAAGAGGCCAACTTCATTTCTCGCCTCCATGCTGGGCAGTTGAATATCATCCCTTGGTATGTGAAACGTCTCTCATGATCGCATATCGTTTTGACCATTCCGATGTAGGCCAGTAATCGAGTCGCAAGAATTTTATAAGCTGTTCCCAACCCTCAAACGTCGATTGGACAAACAGAAACTGACGCATAATACAGCAGGAGAGTTCCTTCATGTGATGAAGACCTTGATGGCGAAGCTGAAGGTATGACTGACTTGTCGTACATTTTGAGAGCACTCATTAGACCTTGTGCAGGCAAACGATTGGGGCGCTCTGTCACGTACGTACTCTTAAAGAATTCACAGTTCAACTGATGAACAATACATCGCAGAATCGATGGCCTCGCATCGAGCACAACTTCTTTTAGCCATGCTGCCAAATGCTCTAGCATTTGGACTGCAAGAAGTTAATCCTGACCCAGAACCTTTGAAGGTATGGAATGCTTCTGCTGCCTTTTGTTGCAACTCATGTTTAACTTGGCGTTATGAAGAACCTAGATGACGATATCCCGATTGAGATGCCCGATACTTCAGCTGAATTTTCTTTGGCAGGGGGGCCGCAATCTTCTCCTCGCGAGGCCGCTCTCCAAATTCTGTCTCATGCATGGGACGGCTATGGCTCTCGCCATCACATGCTGGAGGATCTTTGGATTGAGGATTTGATCGCTCATATCGACAGTCTGGTCAATTTGCGCGTCACCCACGTTCGCGAGTGGATATTGTCCAACGTTGCTCGCTTTCAAAGCGGGCAAGCGAGTATTGACGAGCTCATGAGAACGTTTGAAAGTGCAACAGTAGACTTAAAGAGCAACTTGCAATTGTGCAAGCTGAAGTGTGGAAGTTGCGAGCTGCTCTGCATTCAGAGCAGATTGCATGACGGACAGCATGACTGCCAGACTTCTCATGATTGCATACATTCTTGTGATTTCTGTGCGTTATCTGGAGAGACGAAGGCTTGCACCATGTCGTAAGTTATTAATCTTTTCGCTGGCTCGGTAAACTGAAGTTTTTCAGAGCGGGGCATCCCGGCAACCATATGTTAAGCGTTTCATGGTCGTATCCACACATGAGCTCATCATTCCTTCCAGATGTGTTGTTAATGCACATCTCTGTGGTCAAGCCTGCAAATTTTCCGGGAGACAGGGATGTCTGGATGAGTGTACGAAGGTGAGATGGATCCTCTTTACAGTGGGTAGAATGTAATTGAGCTTGTCGTGTAGGTGATCGGTCACGCAGAAGACGAACATTTATGTGCTGCTACTGTGCATGCCTGCGGTCATGTATGTTTGACCCTCGAACAACCTTTTTACTTGCTTAAAATGCCTCCAGCCATGCGATCTGTCAAATCTTAGGTTGAGTGACGGATTGACTCCCCCTTGCCGCGGTACTTGTGGCATTGCAAGGCAAGTTATCAAGTGAACGCTTCTCATCATCTTCTGACACCTCATTTCCTGCAGTGACATGAACCATGACCAACATCTGTGCGATGCTCGACTTTGCTCTTTCCCTGCCAACTTTGCAAGAGACTCTGTGCGAATACGGACCATCTTCACGGCTTAGAAGACGGCGCTATTCATCTCTGCGGGTCTGTCGATAATCATTCAGTGTAACTTTGTATCTTAATACTCAAACTTTAAATAGGGAGGAACATTCGTGTTCTGTGCAATGCACTGCCGAGGGCATCTGCGAAATTGAGACTGCACCACAATCGATCGAGGCGACGTTCACAGGAAGGCACGAGACCTTCCAGTACACGAAGGTAGCGTGCTGTTTTTGTCGTGGACATCATTTTCTGAGTTGACATATGATCTTGGTCCGCAGTACTCGCAAGGTGTGTCGAGTTGGTTACCTCTAACACTGCCACTGACTCGCCCTCAACAGTGGCTAAACGACTGAGATGTGCCAAGTCGATACCACCAGGCCTGGTAGCCCATGATGGTCGGCACAACCATAGTTTGGACCCAAGAGTAGTGCATTTTTGCAGGGCGAAGTTGGTATTTTTCTTTCGTTTTTGCGGTCATTCCTCATTTTTTCTCATTTTTCCAGGTGTGACCACTGTGGCTACTATTGTACATTGCCACTCGGTAGGTACATTTGGTACACCTCAGTAGTCGGTTTTACCAACTGTTACATCAGGTCACCCGCAACAAGAGCATGAAACTAGACACGGATCCATGTCTTCGTCACGATGGGCAGTCGATGGCCCTGATGATACGGGTCTCGAGGTCGAAGGCCGTCGCTTCTCTTCAAATGATGAGGGCGCGCCGATGATGTGCAACCTCATCTGTCAGGCATTGGGCCGCCACATTCACATCGACTATTGTCGTGCCCAGGATGCTGCCGCTTGCAGAGGGAACAACGAGGCTCAGCACATTTCTAAGCGAGTGTTGCCTAACCCGGATCGTGCCAAGGACTACATTACGCACAATCTCTTCTGGCGCCGAGCCGGTGAGTAATTTTATAGTTGTACTCCTGGGCTCACATGGTCCGCAGGCTTCAAAGACCCTTATTCTCGGGAGGAGCAAGCAAATTTCGCTAAGTGGTGCGTTTTGAATGTTCAAAGTGTGATAACACAATTGAATTCATGTTCTTGTTAGCGACTCGATGTGTAGCGGTATGGTTCATTCTGTGCTACAAGTGTCCCATTAGTGATTTACCAGTTTTGCCAGGCCCCGAGCACACTGCCGCAGCCGGAAATGCTGCTCAGCCATCTTATTGCACTTTGCCTTTGTTTCATCCGCCGATGGATCCTAACAATGCCCAAGTCGGCTTGGGATACGTTTCCAATGACGGGCATCTCTTCTCATGCAGGAACCCCGTGATTATGCAGCAAGCATTCCATGTGTGAGTGGTCAGCTGGGGTCCAGCTGCAGTGACGTTAATCAATACGCATGCTCCAGAATTTTTGTGGCTGATAGGTGCGAGACAATGTTCGCTTAGCCACTATTGCTGATTATTAGCAGATCTGGTTCCATGGCCTCTGGTGATAAACATCCCCTTCCGAATACGCCTGCCTCGAACAAAATCGTGCGGACGCTCTAACAACCGATTTGGTGCTGTCCTCTCCTCCCTATATAGCTTCTGGTCTGCCCGCGCTGCAGCAATTGGTGGCCAACAAGCAGCCCGACGTGACTCATATAGTGTTATCTTGTTTGATCATTCCGTTACCAATGCCTTCGTAAACGATTTCGTCAGTTCTCCAGACCAACTACTGGACGCTGTTTTACGTTATGACGCCGATGGAGGCACGAACTTCACTGCAGCGATTCAGCGGGCTCAATCAGTCATGGAACAACATTGGAGCACAGAGAGGTGCGTCGATCTTCCCACAAACATGTCTAATATCTAACATTGCTTTTAGGAGCCCTGTAATCATATTCTTGTCGGATGGCGAGTGCCACATTGCGGATCAGACAGTTCAAGATTTGTGCCGCTCCGCGGTTCGTCTTGGGTTCGTGGCCTTTTTTTTTGTTAGATTGGCAACTTGTGACACGATCTCTAGCAAAGCATTGTCTTTCCACGCAGTATCATTCGGTTCGGATACAACCTCTACCTCCTTGCGACGAATGACTCAAATTGCACTTGACATCCAAAACAACGCCCCAAGAGATCCATTGGCCCCAGCGACAGCAACAGTCGCATCTTCATATACGCAGGCCTTAGACACGGTAAGAGTGCTGTTACACGAACGCATAAAGGGCGTGATTAACGCTGTCTGTAGGTACAACTCGCCGAAACGTTCCTAGGAATTGCAGAGTCGCTCAGGAAGCCGAGAGGGTCTCTCATACATTGATCGAAGGATGCGTCGAAGGAAAAGAATGACGTTTAGTGGTGACAACAGTATCGGTGTGATGTTATATTGTCATGATGCTAGGGGTTGAGCCTGTATGCAGCACATGATACAAGTTATTGCTTAAACTCCGGGAAACGAAAGAAGAAGAAAAGAACTCGGAGGTGTATCACAAGTACCATAAACAAAAACTATATACAAATGTGGCACCATGGCACCGCCTTGTAGGTGTCGGGAGGAAGATTGCACAAAGCGGTGACCAGGAGGATGACACGTGCCGTGATGGAAAACATAGCACAAACTATATAGTTCATGGCGAGTGCTGCATCTTGTCTATGCATCAGGACGTCAAAAATAAATGCAATGAGGGAACTATGCCAGGGTGTGCAAGTGATAATGATGGCACTGATGCGCGACCTATTCCTGAAATGTAGGGAATGCGAAACATCAAGCAACGTAATGGATGCTGCCAAAGATGATTGCTATAATCAATCCAGATAGAAAATGGACCTAGGTGTTGTAGACTTCTAGTTCGATGCGATAACAAGACAGCCCATCAATTTGTGAAGGGGGCCAAGACTTGAGAAGGAATCCCAAACGCAGTGAGTGGGTCATCTTCAGGGACACTGGGGTAAACATAATCATTAGCAATATAATTGATTGGAGCGTAGACATGTTCATCAATACTATATGTAATCTTTTGGCTTTGACCTGGTCGACTTCCAGTGGACCAGGTGAGAATATTTCACATCGAGAGACTTGTGCCACAGCACAACATAAGTGATGAAATTTGAAATTGAGAACCGCAAACGTTCAGCGTCCCCGCTTCTAGCTGAGTGATCCTGAGGTGATAGATGGCGCAGGAGATCAGCCGCAAAACAAACCACGCCACCTGAAGAATGATAAATCCTTTCGATAGGACATTCCCATTGCTCCGGCCGTAGATTTGCTTCGCCATTGGGATGGCAGGGGCATCAATACACGCAGCACCTATCAGCTTGAGAAGGTCACCAGGCTGTAGTGTGTCAAGTAGGGTTTCCCGTCCATGTAAAGCATAAATCTACCATCAGCACAAAGAGGCCGTGGGTCCGAATCCCCATATATTGAAATGGACACTGGAGTACAATGAACTGCCGAACACCAGGGGTTTCGTCACGACCTTGAGAAGTGAGCACATCATAAGGAATATGTATGATAGAATGACCGGTTCACCTTCATATTTCTCTACAGGTGCTTCAGCAGACTCATGATCTGAGGACGCGCATAGTGAGTTGCCTGATATATCCAGAGTTTACAATGCACGACTCACTTTCAGACTGCTCCTGCAGACGAGGAACACCGAGCCCTTAACTGCGATGCAACACGACGAGCACTGAACTACTGGCACATAGCCCACGCGACAGTCAGTTCAATAAACACTAATGTGATGCCAAGTCGCCGTTGTAGGATACGAACAAGGTGGAGGACCATGCAGAGAAGCGTGAGTAAACAAATTATTGAATGCATTCAAGTCGAGGTTTCCCTATCACTCAGCTCATCAGGCCTATCATTATCGCCTCCACATTCGTCCCACCGTGCATTCTTAGCAAGTGGATGCGACATGGTGCAGGCTGACATTAATATCGTATAGAGATTTTGACCAGGCCAGCCAGATTCAGAATCTAAGTCCGGTCAAAAGTTAGAAGTCCGCGCTGGTCGAAAACTGTGCGTCTGAGTCCATGCATAATCTATTCGGTCAATAGTTTGAGAGAGGGCACGGACCGGGCTGACTTTCGGATTGCCCACAAACATAAACCATACATAGCTTTTTGAACGGTTTCGCAAAGGTATGAGTTCCCCATATATTGAAACGGATGGTGGAGACACCGTGGAGTACGATGAACTGCCGAAAAACCACCAAGGGTTTTGTCAGGACCTTGAGAAGTAAGCACGTCATGAGGAACATGTTCAGGATACATGATAGAATAACCGGCTCACCTTCATATTATTCTACAGGTGCTTCAGCAGACTCATGGTCTGAGGACGCGCATGGGATACAATTCAAGCTTCAAGAACACCAAAAGACATGGTAGCGAAGCGCTAGACTCAACGAATGACCGTTACAAGTCCGCGACCAGTCGACGGGTCAATCGATGAATGTGTTCCATTCAAGCCTTATTTTCTGCGTGCACTGAGAGAACGATAGCTATGATAGCTGGAAGTACGAGTTTTGTGAAAGTGCCGACTTCTGTGAGGAAGGGATCTTTGACTATTTAGCGCGCGAAACTCGAAAGCGGCAAGCGATACCTTCACGTACTCCCCATTTACCGTTTCTCTATTGTTCTAAATTGCGAGTCATCACATCCCCTAGTCCCAACGTTGTCGTTAGCGCTTTTCCTCTTCGATTCTTTCGCCAACTACGTACTTTCCTTTCGTTACGACGACCCTTGCACCCTTGTCAAACATGCGTGGCGAACCTAGTTTAGTTCTGGAAGGTTGTACTCATATCATCTTTCAGTTTTCCATTTCTTACAGTCTTACATGCAGACATCGCTGCCGTGAACTTGGCCACTCCATCCAATCGTACACCCGCCGGCCTTTATGTCCTGGTCTTCACTTCCTATGGTCAATGGAACACTGCCATCAAGCCTCTCATGGCAGATGGTAGTGTTTCTTGGAATAAGGCCCTTGCTATCCGTGGAAGTCCGCTGATGTTTCCCATGTGGCTTATGCCCATCTTCTCCCGTAAATCCAAAGGAGTTCGCCTTGAATTCCGTGCTTCGTTTGAATCTGGACCAATGCTCGGTCAAGGTGAACTCGTACGTTCGAGACAACTTTCGAACGATTGCTCGGGAACAATGGGCAAACCAGTGAGTCTTCACCTTCAGCGAGGCTCTCATTCCCTAACACCAGTTCCAAAGTATCACTTTCGGCTGTTGATAATCAGCGAATGTCTCTTAAGTTGAAAGCCCGGCGCTCACAAACTACGCAGATTGCCAATCATGCTGTGGGCGGCACTGAGCAGGTATGTTAATAACAATCCAAGGCCTTCTGATCGCTGCTAATTTAGTCAACCAATTAGAGTGTGATCGGCTGCAACACTGATGCAGCGCATGATGCATACATTCTCTTCAGAACCAGCAATCTTGCCAGTGATCTCGATAACTCCATTCTCGGTTTTTGGTTAGTGCTTGACCAATGTCCCCTCGGCCATCCGAATCGCGCCGCAGCGCTCTCCAACCTTGCACGTGCAGTTCTCTGTGGCAACGCCAGGAACATTTGAACCGACATTGACCATGCCATTTCCCTCTTCCGCTCCACACTCGACCTTCATCCCCCAGGGCATCCTGATCATCTACTATCCAACCTCGACCTCCGCCAGGCTCTCCAATATCGTTACTTGCACCAAAAGGACCACGCTGATCTCCGCGAAGCTACAGACCTTCCCCACCATGTCCTGCCGCTTTGTGTGGAGGGGAGCTATCTTCATCGAGTAGTGCTCAACACCAACAAAGTGCACGCCCAGATCTCATCGGGCCAGCACAGCGAACGGCACCATGACCAGCGGAGTGTAGAAATACTGGAATCTGAACGGAAACGATCACCACCACAACTGCCTCCACCCGCATCATTGAGCAGCCCCGAAGTATGTGGCCTACTTTTCGAGATTGTCACTCTTACTGATTAAATGCAGCAGACACGCGTGAGGGGAAGAAATATCGTTATATTCGGCGAAACCGGTGTGGGGAAAAGTTCAATCATCAATATACTCGTGCAACAAGGGCTCGCGGAGACATCCGATGGTGCATTGGGATGCACTTCTGGCTTTAAATGCTGCCCGGCTGAAATCTCCGGCCAGAGATTTGTCCTGTTTGATACCGCGGGTTTTAAATGAGGGGACTTGAGGCACGGTGCCGGCGGCGATGGCGGAGAAACAGTTGAAGAGCTTGTTGGGTGAGCTCATGAGCCCCGAGTCGGATGGCATTGGCCTTCTGGTGTATTGCATGCGCAGCACTTCTGCCCTTCACGCTCTTGCTCGGGTTTACAACATGTTTTATGCTGGGATATGCCAGAAGAGGGTCCCGATCGTTGTCATCATCACGGGATTGGAGAGAAAGGCTCGCATGGAAGACTGGTGGGATACCAATGAGAAGTTCAAAAGTCATGGCATGCAATTTGCAGGTCATGCTCGCGTCACAGCGCTTCAGCAATACCCAGGCGTCCCAGACGTCTTTACTCGTCGCATCAAAGAGTCTTCCGAAATTTTGCGCAACCTTGTTGTCAACAATTGCTTGGATCGGGCGTCAACGACAGCTGGCTCGAGTATACTACGGCAGCGTGGTGCTCCTTGGCATCGCCGTGGTCGGAGGACTGAATGATAGCAGATCTGCTTATCATCGAGTCGAGCCATATGACGCACGGTGGCGCCGGACGTCCATTGTATCCTGCTGTAGACCTCGGAGTTGATTCTGTGAAGTGACAGGCGAGACAGGACTTTCAGCTTCTTTTTTTGTTTGTTTTTCTGCATCAAACTTAAACCATACGTTGGACATTTCTCGACGTCTGGTGTAGGGCTTGTAGGTGCATATCGTGTGACCTAGCTGAATATCAAATTTGCACTCAACTCATTGTTAGCTTGTCATTGTTACCTTTCATATCCAACATCATCCCGTGCATTATTTCATGACAGGCTCTTTCTTCTCTTGCCAATGCGACATTGCTACTGTATCCGATGGTCATCGACATGTAAGGGATGCAACATAAACATTTTGAGAGATAGTCAAGAAAATGTGCGAAGTGGTCTGAAAACAGTGCTCTATAGTGTTGTACATAATCATAAAGCACGCGTGCAGCCTGCAGATTGCCTGCCATCCGTCACCGCCACCGACTCGAAAGTCCGCATTTGCACCTTGTTCAACACCCACATCTTGCTCGGCACAGAACACGCAAACAGATTTTCTGCAATCCACAAAGTTGCTATTTCCAGCTTGACGACTCGACGAGATGAATGACGACGAGCGCTCGGCTTCACAAGCGCACTCATCAAAAGGTGATCAAACAGATTGGACAGAGGACTCGGATGATGACTTGTATCAATCAATAATATCCGATAATGGTGAAGACTATGTAAGTTCAGATTCCTTGTAATCATCATGATGTGGGCTGGAGTTTCCACGTTCTTCTTTGTCAGATGGACGTGGAAGACTCCCCTCCGCACGATGATGCTCGTGACCTTGTTCAGTCGATCGAAGGGATGTATCGGGTCTTGGACTTGATCAGTGAACAAGGGAGCGGTGGACTAGGTGACTCTATTGTCCTTGCTGAGCTTTCCTTAGCTGATTGCTCCCAGTGGACAAAATCATCATTGCGCAGGATTCACTCCGAGCATTCGCCAATACTATTTGTCCTGGTTCATATGTGTCCATGACGAAAGTCAAGTTCAGCGCGCTGGATGGCTTGATCGTGAAGCCTATTGGCATTTATGGGAGCAAAGAAGAAATAGCGCGCTTCTTATTGTCTCTCAGCGTCATCGACGACCACGTGTGAGATACAATGTTTGAGCTGCAGATCGATATCTCAAAGAACTTCTTCCTATAGAGCAGCACAGCTCGTTATTGACCACAGCTCGGCCAGTGTTTTGAAACCAAGCCTTCGATCTGGACTTTACATCGTCCGAAAAAATTGTGAAGCTACCTTCGCTGAACAATTATTCGTCGTCTACTGGCCCGAGGATGCCACTTGGGATGATTCAGCTCCTTCATCCGTGAAACGTAACCGTGTTACCTTCATGCGGTTTGTCTAATCCTCCCTGAGTTTCGGTAGGGGTTTTTTTTTGACACAGTACACTAGGTACCTCGCGACAATGTGTGACCAAATCATGGCGCTCATCTCCCCTGAGCATGCCCGCTCCATTGTATGGATTGGACAGGAAAGCAAAGACATTGTGGTGGAAATGGACAACGACGAAGACGAACCTGATAGAATGTTCACATTTGAAGTGAGGAAAACCAACCAGCAGGAAGAAGCCGTAAAGCTGCGTCCTGGATTCAAGGTTTTGCCCAATTTATCACCACTGGTGCAGCACTGAGAGGCGCATGTAGGCTACATCCGTTTGCATAGCCATGCCCCAGCCTCATCCGGAGGCACCAGAAGATTTTGGACTGCATAAGCCTCGGTTGTTGCACGGCGAGACTACTCAAGGGTTCATGACAATTAACTATCTACCTGCCAGGCGGATCACCGATGTTTGGAAGCGTAGGTCGGTCACTCGCCTCCAGTTAGGTGATTGGTTGTGGGTGTTACTCTTAGTAGCAGTTCCTGGATTTCGATTGATGCCTCTTTAGACACAGTGACAAATTGCGAGTAAAGGAGAACCTGGGTGCCAACGCAGTGCATATTTTGCTGGATGCAGGCCTAAAGAATCGCTTCCCGCAATTGTGTGAACAATGGCAGCAAGAGTCTGCCAATATTTCCTCTAATACCAGGGTCACAAAAGCATCGACTGAGGCCAGCATCAAGACCAAGCTCGAGAATGACTTGCCCCTTCTCACTCGCATCTTCCACAGGAAACTGGTGGATGCCATCGTCGAAAAATTTCCGTTAGTATCCCTTCACATCACCCTCTTGTATCTAACTCGATCACTTCAGCACTTTCACCCATGATTCCTTCCCTTTGCGTGACCAAAGCGAGCGAGGCGACTCTGTAGCTCAAGGTATGTCATCTGTGTAGTTGACTCGTTTGACAATAACGGTATATCTAGATCCGATTGAACCTGCTGTCGCTCCTTCGTGAGTTGTTTAAAATTTAAAACAGCTTCGCCCATTCTGATCCATTCACAAAGTATACCAGCTGATGGCTCTTCCCCTCATTCCAAGGAAAGCCAGCAGGCTAGCTCTGAAACCCAAGGTATTCATCTCTGCAATGAAGTTGTATCGTAGTAACAGTTATCCAGATCAACTTTCAACCATCATTCAGCTATACCCAGAAATAGAGAAAGTGTTTCGTCACACGTTGCAAAAGCTGCGCATCGAGAAGATCAACAGTCACGATTTCAAGAACTACAAGCAACGAGTCTATATCGCGGAAAGCCTACTTCGCCAATTTCCCGACATCAAGATGGAAGACGAAGACTTCCTGGATGTAATCCTGCACGATGACATGCGACATGTCAAGGAATCTATCAGGGTGCTAGGGAATCATGTCATCCCGCATCAGCAGCCGAAGGGATTGGTGAAGCAAGCTTGGAGCAGTATTAATTCCTTCATCTCGTCTGGGCAAGGTTCCCAGTTCGTGGATAAGACGTTCGGAGATGCAGAGGCTTCTGCATCTAAGATCAGTGACACTCAATTCCTCGCTAGCTTGGATGACATGGAGAGACTTACTGTCATGAAAAAAGTTGTTGCAGGTGCCAGGGCTGCTGCATTGGTGCATTTCAGATCGATTCTAACCACACAAACGACAAACTTGACTCATGCATCGTTGCACATACAAATTAATGAGTCTGTGGCCCAGGTTCATAAGGAAGCGGCTATCGGTGAAGAGCAGCAACTGGCCGAATTACGAAAGAGGTTCATTGCTGACATCAATGCCCATTCACAGACGGGTCATCATTCGTAAGCAAATTTTCTGCGTTTCTGCTTCAGCACTTCCATAACCATAAATTAGCGGGCATGCCCTTCTTATCGATACCATCGAGGATGGACGAGGCTACTATCATGGTAAGCAAAGCATTCTTTTTAGTTTTGAATGTCAATCAAACAGTCTCTAGCGGTGCCTCCGGTGCAAATAACTGGTTCAAGGGAATCTTTCGAGGAACCAAAGCTGGAGTGCACGATTCACCCCATGCAATTGACAGCGCAGGATCTACATTCTTTACAGTTAGATTCTAGCACGATTCCCTCACCAAAGTTCAGGACCTCGTTCTCGTTCTCGTTACCCCTTGGTCATTCAGTGGTGTATGCGTTCTTCGCACTTCGACTCTAGATATAACTGACACGGAAATCCATCGTTAATCACAGGAGGGCCCAATTGCTTCCAGGTGAGAAGATCCTGCTCGCAATGACTGATCGATCCGGAAACCTGACGGTGTACCTGGAACACCTCACTGCCATCGAGGGCGCTTTGACTCATGGCAGCCGTAGGAAAAAGTTGTATCGCGATAAGATCGGGGAATTTATTCTGGCTTTTGATGAGTCAAAGCGTGTACTCAGCGTTGTTGCCACAGAGAAGGTTCGTTTCACTATGGATCTGCTGGGATGTGTCTGACGAACACGTTATCAGCTCCTCTTACACATCTTCGTTTTTGATGATACCCTCGGTTTCCAGGCCAACGGCAGTGCGATCAACCTGACTCAATGGTATCCTGAAGAGTCTTCCATCAATCATGCGTGTTTCATCTGCGGTGGTGAAGAATTACTGCTCGTCGATACATCAGCACAGGCCAGAGTTTACTCTCTAACGACAATGCAGTTTAGGTCAGATTTACCCTTACACGAGTGAAAGACATCTAATTTATACATCACAGGCCTGCAACTCTCAACCTCATTCAGATTCCAACGGCGGTTTACTCAACTCCAGATGGTTCTTGCTTAATCACGGCTCATGTTCGCGGGCCTGGTTTGTTATTAACCGCCTACCACTGGAGCACTTTCGGCTCAACAGATGGTATCCCGCTCGAGATCCCTGATCTTCACTCAGACCAGCCACTGCTTCTGACATCATTGACTAACCGGAATATCGTGCATTTGGTCTCACTCGACATCAGCACTCAATCATGTCGATCTATCGCTCTCGATATCACCCGGAAAGTGACAGAGTTCACCTTCAAAGAAAAGGGTGCCCGAGGAGGGAATGCGAAGCCTGAGAGCGTTACCGCCCACAACTGTCTCATAGATTGTCACGCCGAAGTGTGGACTCGCTTCCCAGTTCTTCCTGCCGTTCAGCGGGAAACGATAACGTCGTCCAGTGAAAGGTGTCGGCGAACATTGGTCTTCGTTACAGATCTGGACCACCATACATTCGTGCCGCACTTCCATGATCTTGTTTTAAACTTTGAAAGGATGTCAAAGAAGCCAACCGGAAATCTTCTCAAGAGAATCGCTGTCTCCGCAACGACACAGTCTGCTTTTCACCATGGTCACCTCGACGGTGCGGAGTGGAACGTATCAAAATTTCGTGCTGGTGAATGGCTGGCGGAATTCCTCTGTCTTATTCCTATCCAGATCGCTGTGACAAAGGAAAACCGTTTTATTCCACTCAAAGATGGCGTGTATTCTACTGAACTGGAGAAGTCCCTTCTTGGCGCGGATGTCAACCGCATTGTCGACTACGTGTCTTTTGGTTGGTATGAATCTCTATTTCAGTCATACATGGCCAAAAAGGTATGGTCCGCCTGAATGCTGAGCGATTTTTCACAAGGCACTGACTTTACTTCAAGCCTGTCAAAGTTGTGTCATCTATGGGTGAACAATCAGTGGGGAAAAGCTTTTCATTGAATCATCTCGTGGACACATCTTTCGCTGGATCGGCGATGCGCACGACAGAAGGAGTATGGATGTCAGTGACCCCGACTAAAGATACTCTTGTGGTCGCCTTGGATTTTGAAGGCATGTTAAATCAGTCATTCTTGCGACATTACATGTTAATATCTGAATCCTCACTAAATAAAGGTGTCCATAGTATTGAGCGTTCCACTCAGGAAGATACTTTACTCGTCCTTTTCAATACTGCAATTTCCAACTTGGTTTGCGACTACTTTCATGCTTTAAATGAGAGTTTGACCTCGTTTCATAGGTGCTATTCCGGAATAATTTTGCCTTGAGTCGTGATATCACAGGACTATTCCAGTCATTCCAGTCAAGCGCGACCTGTCCTAGATCCAGCAGCCAACCCGAGTCTCTTTCAATCAACATTGGCAATCATCATCAAAGTGATTGTTCACTTCTGACAATCTCTTTTCATATTCCTGACCTCAACGACTTTTTAGGATGTCGTGGATTCAGACAAAGCAGATATCACCAAAGAGCACGTTTCTGGCCATATCCTGATGAGCACATACTCAAGTTAATACTCAGGTTCGCTCTCAAGTTTCAGAAGATCGTCCAGGACGAACAAGAGGCCAACTTCATTTCTCGTCTCCACGCTGGACAGTTGAATATAATTCCATGGTGTGTGCAGCAGTTCTTATGTCTATGTCTACATACAAATTTGTCGTTTTTGTAGGCCGGTGATCGAGTCGCAGGAATTTTACCAGTTGTTCCCAGCCCTTAAGCGTCGGTTGGACAAACAAAAACTCACTCATAATACAGCAGGAGAGTTCCTTCATACGGTGAAGACCTTGATGGCGAAACTGAAGGTACGCTTGGTTCGCCGTACATTTTGGGAGAGCATTCATAAAATTTTCTTCAGGCAAATGACTGGGGCGCTCTGTCACGTGCGTGTTCATACAGCAATCACTAGTTTATTTGACGAACGACGTGTCGCAGAGTCAATGGCTTCGCATCGAGCACAACTTCTTCTCACCCGATTGCCCAACGCTCTTGCATTCGGACTGCAGGAGGTTCATCCTGACCCAGAGCCTTTGAAGGTGTGGTTTCTGCTATCTGTTGTTTGACTTACATTAACCTGACATTTATCAAGAACCTGGATGATGATGTTCCGATTGACATGCCTGATACTTCGTCAGCATTTTCATTGGCGGGGTTGCAATCTCCTTCTCGAGAGACTGCTCTTCAAGTTCTGTTTCATGCGTGGGGAGACTATGGTTCTCGCCATCACATGCCGGATGATCTTTGGATTGAGAATTTGCTCACTCATATCGACAGTCTGGTCAATTTGCGCATTGCCCATGTTCGCGAATGGATGTCATCGAATGTCGCTCGCTTTCAAAGCGGGCAAGCAAGTATTGACGAGCTCATGAGAACGTTTGAAAGTGCAACAGTGGACTTGAAGAGCAATTTGCAGTTGTGCAAGCTAAAATGCAGAAGTTGCGAACTGCTCTGCATTCAGAGCAGATTGCATGACGGACAGCATGACTGTCGGACTTCTCATGATTGCATACATTCTTGCGATTTCTGTGCGTCATCTGGAGAGAAGAAGGCTTGCTCCATGTCGTAAGCCAATATTATACTTGCGCAGCATTAAATGTCTGATAAATTTTCAGAGCGGGACATCCAGGCTATCATATGCAAGTCTTTCATAATCGTATCTGCGCATGAGCTCATCACCCCTTCCAGATGTATTGTAAATGCGCATCTCTGTGGTCAAGTTTGCAAACTCTTCGGGAGACAGGGATGCCTGGATGAGTGTACGAAGGTGAGATGGATCCTCTTTACAGTGGGTAGAAGGTCATCGAGTTTGTCGTTTAGGTGATCGGTCACGCAGAAGACGAACATCTATGTGCTGCCAATATGCATGCCTGCGGTCAGGTATGTTTGACCCTCGAATTGCCTCCTTACGTGCTTAAAATGCCTCTAGCCATGCGATCTGTCAAATCTCAGGTTGAGTGACGGATTGACTCCCCCTTGTCGCGGTACTTGTGGCATTGCAAGGCAAGCTATTGAATGAACGCTTCGCACCACCTTCTGACCCTTCATTTACCGCAGTGATGTGAACCATGACCAACACCTGTGTGATGCTCGGCTTTGCTCTTTCCCCTGCCAACTTTGCAAGAGACTCTGTGCGAATACAGACCATCTTCACGGCTTGGAAGACAACGCTATTCATCTCTGCGGGTTCGTCGACAATCATTCAGTGTAACTTTGTATCTTAATACTCAAACTTTAAATAGGGAGGAACATTCGTGTTCTGTGCAATGCACTGCCGAGGGCATCTGCGAAATTGAGACTGCACCACAATCGATCGAGGCGACGTTCACAGGAAGGCACGAGACCTTCCAGTACACGAAGGTAGCGTGCTGTTTTTGTCGTGGACATCATTTTCTGAGTTGACATATGATCTTGGTTCGCAGTACTCGCAAGGTGTGTCGAGTTGGTTACCTCTAACACTGCCACTGACTCGCCCTCAACAGTGGCTAAACGACTGAGATGCGCCAAGTCGATACCACCAGGCCTGGTAGTCCATGAAGGTCAGCACAACCACAGTTTGGACCCAAGAGTGGTACACTTTTGCAGAACGAAGTTGGAAACTTTCTTTCGTTTTTTTGCGGTCATTCCTCATTTTTTTCTCTTCTTTTCAGATGTGATCACTGTGGTTACTATTGTACATTGCCGCTCGGTAGGTACATTTGAGGCACCTCAGCAGTTACGATTTACGAACCATTACACCAGGTCACCCGCAACAAGAGCATGAAACGAGACATGGATCCATGTCTTCGTCACGATGGGCAATTGATGGTCCGGATGATACGGGTCTCGAGGTCGAAGGCCGTCGCTTCTCTTCAAATGACGAGGGAGCACCGATGATGTGCAACCTCTTCTGTCAGGCGTTGGGCAGACACGTCCACATTGACTACTGTCGTGCAGAGGATGCCGCCTCATGCATAGGAAACAATGAAGCTCAGCATATTCTAAGGAGACTGTTACCGCACCCGGACCGTCCTAAAGATTTTTTGACACACAATCTGTTCTGGCGGCGGAGTGGTGAGTCGTCATGTTGTCCCCGTGTCGCTGATATCATGAAGTCTATAGGCTTCAAAGATCCGTACTCTAGGGAGGAACAAACAAACTTCGCAAAATGGTGAGTTTCTCGGTGCCTAGTTTATATAATGAATCACATTCCCTCTTCAGTGACGCCATGTGCACCGGTCAAGTCATCTCTATTGCCGATCTTTGTTGGTTACTCATCCTCACACCAGGTCCTGAACACACTGCTGCAGGGGGCAATGCTGCTCAGCCATCTTTTTGTACTTTACCTCTCTTCCACGTCCCAATGGATCCAAACAACACCCCAGCGACCCTCGGTTACGTCTCCAACGATGGGCATTTTTTCTCTTGCAGGAATCCCGTGGCGATGCAGCAAGCGTTCCATGTGTAAGGTGTTTTTTGTGTTCCATAGGAAAGTCGTTAATGAATATACACCAGAATTTTTGTGGCGGATAGGTATTTCGTGCCACGTGTTGGATATCACAGCGCATACTGACTATTGGCAGATCTAAATCTATGCGGATGAAAGATCGACAACCTCTCAGGAATACTCCTGCCTCAGATAGAATTACCCAACGTTCTAACAACAGATTTGGCGCCGTTCTCTCGTCCCTGTACAGCTTTTGGTCTGCCCGAGCTGCAGCAGTTGCTGGTCGACAATCAGCTAGACGAGACTCTTACAGTATCATCCTGTTTGATCGGTCTGTTGTGGACGTCGTGGTGAACGACTTCTCCAGCTCGCCTGACCAGCTACTAGACGCTGTGATAAGTCACAACACTTCGGCAGGCACAAATTTCACTTGCTGCGATTCAACGTGCCCAGTCAGTCATGGAGCAACACTGGAGCACGGAGAGGCGAGTCTCAGATATTCGATTGATCTGTACAATGTTAACACAGGTGTATGCTATAGAACTCCTGTCATCATCTTTCTGTCGGATGGCGAGTGCGCTATCGAGAACCAAACTGTTCAAGATTTGTGCCGCGCTGCGGTCCGCCTCGGGTTTGTGGCTCTTTTCTTTTCTTCTAGTTCATCGATTTCCTGACTTCGATGTAGAAAAGCACTATCCTTCCACTCCGTGTCTTTTGGCCAAAATAGATATTCCGCGACATTGAAAAGGATGTTCCAGATCGCTCTTGAAATCCAGAACAATGCCCCACGAGACCCCTTGGCTCCCGCAGCAGTTACAGTTCCGTCCTCATACACTGAAGCTTTAGACACGGTATGCAACTTCATCCAACGGCGAGCGTCAAGCCCACTTGACATGTTTTTAGGTTCAACTTGCTGAAACATTCCTTGGAATCGCTGAATCGCTCACAAAACCCAGAGGGTCTCTCATTCATTAGCAAGAAAAACACGACAGGATTATGAGAAGGAATACGTCAATGCCGTTTTGTCTTTATGTCTGAGCAATAACTGAACCATTATGGTGCCTTCAATGAGAAAAAATTACAGCTGGTCTGTCAACTCAAGGATCCCGATGGCTGAGGTGTTCGTTGAGTGACGAAGTGCCTCCGGAACGTCTGCCTTGCCTGAACAGAGGATCCAGGCTACGGCATAAACGTTGTTGATCGACCTCCTTCGCATGCGCCTCTTCATGTTCAATTAGTGATATGTACATGCCGCTTCATTTCGCAGATGCAGAGGATGTCCTCGATCATGAATTCAAACTCGTGGGGATAAATAACGGTACTGCTAGATGGCGCGAACTTGTATTGTCAGCTATGAAGACCAATCATCATATAGTACAGTATCTGATACTGAGCAAACATCTTCAGAGCACCACAGGTAAGTTTACATAGAGACATTCAAGGTTCAAGAAAACATTGCAGGCAGTCTCGCTTACCCACCGCCACAGCCGCCTCCGCCCCCGCCTCCACAACCGCCCCCACCTCCACAACCGCCACCGCCTCCACAACCACCCCCGCTTGCGCCTACCATCCCGCCCCCACAACCACCCCCCCACAACCACCACCACAACCACCACCACATCCCGTCCCACAACCACCAGCACCAATCGAGCAGCCGCCCGCCCCCTGTAAGCCTGATATCAGCATCCCTCATTATCCAAATACAGCGACACTCACCGCTGCACACCCCAAACCTCCATTCACCACCGCTCCAGCAGCAGCAACGCACCCACCAGGGTAGTAATAAAACATCGGCACAGGATATAAAAATGCAATCCCATGATCAACATCCCCATCCCTCTTCACAATCCTCCCGTTCCGCTCTGCCTGCAGCCTCCGCATCTCTGCCTTGCGTGCACGGTTCTCCCGCTGACGCAGGCTTGCGGACATGTTGTGCAGGGCAAACACAGCATTGTGGTCGCTCGGGTGCGTAGCAGCACGTGCGTCGGATTTGGGAGGGAGTAAAAGCACGTTGCTGGTGGTTTGAGAGGAGAGGAGACGTCGGAGCTTTTGGCCGATTGTGTCTCCTGGTAGTGGACACCCGCAGTGCATGTAGGGTACGCGATAACGGTTCTACAATCTAGAGTTTTAACGAGAATGTCGTATTCCAGAGGAAATAGCTTACGTTCCAAGCACGACAGGTAATGTCGAAGGAGGTCGCGAGTTGACCTTCTTCCACTTTATCATCGCTGAAAAATACGTATTCATTATGTGTGTTCCGCGTTGTACTCATGACAACACCTACTGATTAACGTATCGTCCTACGAGCGAGAGGCAGTCGTTTTGATACCGACTCGCCATGAGTTGATGGGTATGCCACCCGAGATCGATGTCAAGCGTGGGCACAAAGAACGAGGCAGGCGACTCTGCCATGATGTTCAAAAAGCTGCAGAGCAATGTCATTGTGCAGTCCGTAGAAAAAAGAAGCAAGTACCCACGCATGATACCGAGCTATACAATGTTGCAGCGCCACTGCATCTACCTCGTTAGTAAAATATCCTGGCTCGGTCCACCCAAGGTTGACCATCTTCTTCACAAACGATGCTTGCCGGAGGACCTAGATTCATATATCAGTCCTTGAATACGATCAATGTTGAGGGCCTGCTTACAGCACCGACCAAATCGAGTGAAAATACCCTGTCGTCGGTGTAGGCACCCATGATCTTATTCAACCTGTCCCTCAATTAAGAAAACATATTCAGTGCAACAAAAATAGGACATACAATCTTGGCTTCAAGTGCTTGTTCAGCACGGTACGCATGCGTGTAGTATCATACTGGACGTTTATCAAGATCTGGCGCACGGGATCACTTGCATCGTTCTTCTGGAAAATGATATACGAGCTGAGGACGCGCTTCTTGATCGTGTCTCCGCGCCCGGTGTCGTAGGTGCTACGTGGCGTATGTAGAGTTCCACTGTGTATATATATTAGATGTCGTTCGACATGGTCAGTAACACGACACCCACGCCAAATATGTATCAGGCGCTGTTGGTTCAACTATGTTTTTCGCAAACTTGTATAGGCCGAGAAGTTCTTTGGTAATTGGTTGAGCACATTCACACTCGACGCTAAAGTTGCTCTGGGCGTATCCCTTCCCGTTAGACTGCAAGAACGCTACAGCTGGCTGTCAGAGTAGATTTCCATGATATGAAAGCACAAGGGACGTACGCGAAAGAATAGTGCGATCACAGTAAGGGCACTCGATAGATTTGTGCGTGAGATCCGCAGCAGATGCAAATGGGTCATACGGAGATTTGGTACGGCGCTCCCAAGCAGAGACGCGTTCATGTCGGGGTGCGTCAGTGGTTAGTAGATCAGGGTTAGCCTGACACAACGTTCAGCGAGTTCGGGACATTGTTCAAAGTGTTGTGGCATACGAGGAGGTTAGGAAAGTAATCAGTGAAATGAGCAAGAGGTTTGAGCTTGGAGATCCGCGCGGTGTCTTCCGCATACCAGCTGCAGATATGACCAAAAAATGTAAGGTTCATCATTCATGGGGAATTGAAGAGATGCTTGCCTCGGATTCAGGAGATAGGCGTGCCACACCATAGTGACATCAATGGGAGGCAATCGTTGCTCCACCGTATCAGATTGCTTGATTGTCAAACACCACCTCTCAAACCTGCGCTCCACCAGTGCAGTGAGTTACCAGTGCAAGCGCACGCAGAACGCTAGTAAGGCACGCACCGTTCTACGGCCAAATTGACGAACCATACCCAACGTTTCTCACTGTCCGACTCTAATCCTGCGACAAGGCTCTCGCTGGCAACGACCTGCTGCTTAAGGTGGCTGAACGCTGCCAGAAGCTGAAGATGGGCCTTGAGCTGATCCGGGCGGACGAGGTGCCGCGTGCTGCATCGTCCGATGTTGAATGTCTCTGGAAGAGTGTACTGCGGTGGTTCGGGCTCTGGCTGGGGAATCGTAGTATATGGGGGGAGCTGCTCAGTCATGTTGGAGACTGCTGCGTATGTGGTTCCTGGTAAAGTGCGATATATTTATACGTATGCTTATCGGAAGAGGGGCGCCACTCACCGTGACAGGATGCTGTGTCGGTTAGCGCAAGTACTCCCTATGTAGTAGGAGTGAACGTTTCCCAGGTTTTTGATACAGTAACGACTGCATCGTTATCGCCCAAGGTCTGCCTAGGAGAAACTAAAACGTTTATTGATCAACGTTGTCAACACTCGGGATCAATTAACTGTAGTACCGTATAAATACGAAATACTGGTATAGTAAGACTATGCGATAGCCTATCCTTTTCATGAGTACAACGCTTATTAAATTTAATCAAGTCACTGTTTCTCCTCATCCCCATCAATCCTTTGGAGAAGATGCACTGCATCTTCCTTGCGCAGCTTGCAACGCTTCGTGAGCATCTGCAACATTTTCTGGCGACTCCTCCCCAACCCCTTGGTCGGAACCAAAAACTCTCGTAGCTTCTTGCACATCCGCGCAAACCAACTACTCACATCCACCGAGCATGCATCACGATTTCCAAGTTCCTTAAGCATATTTAACACCTTCTTCCGGGATTCGAAGTATCTGGTTTCGTATGCGTTTTGGTAGCCTTTAATGGTTGTGATGCAGACATGCGTGACAGGGACAATGCCGGAATTTTCGATGTGTGCCTTGTTCATCGTCCACCAGTCGTCCATGTTCTCCTCATTCTCAAGATTGGTAACGACCAGAGCGAGGGGCACTTGTTCCTGACATAGGAACTCGTAGAATAATCTGTAATTCTGCTGCATAGTGTTCGACACTCTGCCAGCCTTCATGCAGAAAAGTAGGCCATGTACACCTCCTCGGCTCTTGAGCGAGACGATGAGTTCGTGTGCCTTCACTAGGGCATCTAGATATCCCGCGTTATTCATAGTGGGGCTGTCCAGGCCCACCTAGATCGTTTTTGAATTAGAATATCAACATGCTATGAATCATTGCGTCCACTCACAGTATCAAATAGATTTACATTAAGCTGGGGATCTGAAAATGTGACGGGGTACTCGGTTGACTCGAGTGTGCAGGATTGTGCGCTGGACGAGGACTCGGCAAGTTGGTCCCCAGCAATGAGATTTACCAACGAGCTCTTGCCGACGCCCATCTCGCCGAAGATAATGAAGTTTGGTGGTCGCGGTTGAAAAGACATTACGGGAGCTGAAGGGGAGTGATCAGCACTGCTGGGTGCACGCACCGTGGCGTGAAAGAGTGTAGGAGCAAAGAAGGGGGGCGTAGAACGAGAGCTCTAGGGTATATACAAAATCTTGAACGCTCGTTGTCAGAATGTCACACCCCTGTTACCCTGCCAAGTATGCTACTATCTGACGCCCTAGATCAGATCATGCATGAAGGCTGCGCGCTAGAAGAGAACCATCGGATTGACCCGCTGAAGAAGATTCCCCATGGCCAAGGGCGTCTCGTCCAGCAGAATTATTGCATCCACATACATGCAGTATTCATGAGGCTTTCATTTCCAACATCTAAATTTGATAGTACTAGGTTAGCATCGCGTCATGCAGTGATTTCATGAAAACTTGCCACCTGGGTCCTGCCAGTTGGTCGTCTCAAACACGAATAGCACGAAACAACAGAGAGCGCAAAACAAACCTGCACTTCTCCACTGCACTATCGATGTCGTCGGCAGCTCCGAAGATAGCACCAATAGAGCAGTGGACTTGGTAGAGGCCAAGTTCCAACTATCGTTCCGTCCTTAGTTGAAGATCGGTCAGGCATGCACGTGACTGACACAAACAGAACGCCGTGCCGCAACATGTTCTCACCTGCCCTGTCCTCCGGTTCTTGCCAGCAGAATGTGTGGCACTCCATATCTCTCGCCCTTATACTCCTGCTACAAGCACGGACGGTTAGCAATCTGCTGTTTATAGTTGTGCACGGTGCATGTTCATTTCTTCCCATTAACTCAATGCAGCCGACACTTTCCAAGCAATTTATCAAAGACGGCGCAGATTGCTACTGCCATGTAGCCCTGCAGCATGCCGTTTAAATGAGCTTCTAATGCGAGGTTCTCGAGAGTCTAATCAGTATTTTTGAACTTATTTGTGCAAAGCATGGTGAACCCTGACCTCGTCACAGCGGCTAGACAAGCAGCCATTGGCTGCCACATTATTAAAAAGGGACGACTTTCTCCCTCTAACGACACTGATTAGGGGAGACTATGAGCGCCAGGATGCATATCGGAGTCCCTGACAGCGCTTGCCATATCACAGCAGCAGTATTATGAATTGGTGCTCCCTGCCCGATTATGCGGGGCTGTTCTCCAGGACACCGAAAGGTAGGACGTGTCAGGATCTAAATTAAACTCAAGCTGACAAAATTGCACACCTCAAATGTGCTGCGAACAAACAGAAGAGGGGTATCGATCGACGTTGCACACAGCTTTAAGGAACCACCATAGGAGGCAGCTCTTAGGAGGACCGGTGTGGACGTAAGCCAGGCGGCCAGTGTGCCATATAGTCAAGAATTTTCGACCACCGTTCAAGCGTTCGTGAGAAGTGGATAAATTGCGAGGCGAGGTGTAAGTATAACACGGCATGCTAGATAATTGGATAGCCTATGGGTATGATGTTCAATAAAAATACAAAGCCTTATTCAAGTTACTAGTTCTCCTCGTCCGATTCAATCCTTTGAAGAAGCTGTACTGCATCCTGCTTGGGCAGATTGCAACGCTTCGTGAGCGTCCGTAACATCTTGTCATGACTCTTCCCTAACGCTTTGCCTGGAATGAAAAACTGTCGCAACCTCTTGCACATCCGCGCAAACCAGTTAATATCCACCGAGCACGCATCTCCCCTTCCAAGCGTAGCCAGCATGTCACATACTTTCTTCCTGGATTCCGAGTATTTGTCTTCATTCACATTTTTGAGGCCCTTGATGGTAGTGATGCAGACCTGCGTAACGGGAGCTATTCCATACTCTTTAATATCATCCTGGTTGTTGATCCACCAGTCATCCATATTCTCTTCGTTCTCGAGGTTGGTAATGACTAGAGCAAGGGGCACCTTCTCCTGGCACAGGAATTCGTGGAACAACCTGTAGTTCTGCTGCGTAGATTCTAATATTCTGTTACCGCCCTTGATGCAGAACAACAAGCCGTGTACACCTCCTTGGTTCTGGAGGGAGGCGATGAGTTTATGCGCCTTCACTAGCGCATCTAGATAACTCTTGTCATTCATTATAGTGTTATTCAACCCCACCTGGATGGGCCCTGACTTAGACACCTGTAAGTTGGAACAATTCACATACTCACTGTATCAAATAATTTGACATTAAGCTGGGGTTCGGGTAATGCGATTGTATACTCGGTTGATTCGAGAGTGCAGGATTTTAAACCGGAGGAGGACCTGGCGAGCGTCTTCCCAGCAACGAGATTTATCAACGAGCTCTTCCCGACGCCCATCTCGCCGAAGACAATGAAGTTTAGGGGAGCTGTGCTTGGGGCGCGCGCCATGAATGTAAAAGGGTACCGTGGATGGCACTGGATGCAGGAAGGGGGATTGAATTTAGAATAACATAGTTCTAGGTGATTGTAGGCTATAAATTGTACTCTCGTTGTCAGACCTTTGCGCGCTAGATCAACGCTACGTAAACACTTGAGATGCATGAAACAGCGATATGTTCATGACGCGCGCGTTAGTTGCTCGCCAGCTCATTCGAAGATAATAATTAATCAGGTTCACCCGGCAAGGATCTCCCGCGGACCAGATATCGAAGAAGACGATTGGCCAAGTGGCCTCTCAGCAGACACATCTATCCACGGGTATACCACCTGCTCTTGCAAATGAAAGCCTCATTTTGAGAAGTCTCGGTACCAAGATTAAGCTTACAGTGAGGCTTTAATTTGCCATTGGTATTTATCTGGAGATTCGATAGCCGTTAGCGTATGTATGTAGCGACGAGTTGAACACACTTAATCAGGGTTGACTCAACAAGTACGGCGGCCTGCCAATGCGACTGTGACAGATGTATGTGGTATGGCCGTGTCATCGTGTGTGATTAGTATGTGATGGTTGGCGCAAGAAAGTTGAACTTGACGCCAGATTGGAGAGGACAGGGACGGTAGCTAGCCAAGCAAATATTGATCGACAGCAGGCACCGGGGCACGCATGAGACTCGAGCGTTGACAAAAATCTGCTGAGCTTAGTTTCGTCTTTGAAATTGCGCATCCCGAATGTACTGCAGCAATCCTAAGTACAGATTGCTATAGATGAGGTACGGGGTATATCCAAGATACTGCCTTATATGCGTCAGAAGGAAGTGATCACAAATCAATAACCATGATTGTTAGTAAAATTACACGTGCAATGAAGTATATTCTTGATCAAACGAAGAACAAGAATAATCCTACTGCCGTTTCAGTGACACCAACAGATACGAGCAGCATACACGGGATAACAAACAAGAGTAAGCCAGTGATGATAAGCGCACTCACCCTCCATGATGCTTGCTCCGAGTGTGTAGAGAAGTGGGAAAACCCCACGAAACAGTGGAGCCCACCGAAAATGATCATCCTACAAGTCCGACAAGACTTATGATCCTGGCGTCTCGTTTGTGATTAAAGGAATTGGTGATTGGGAGAAACGTGGGAATACGAAGGGGCTCGTCATAGAGCTTCAGGTCGTCTTTATGGTCGACAAGGCCACCCATCATGACAAAGAACTCACGAGTCCTACTCCACTGAAAATTCCCTGCAACGGAGACGTTAGCTAAGTGGTAATCCCGGTCCACGAATCGACTCACCTTTGCATAATTCATCATTGAATTTATTTACAACGTTGCCCGCGTGGAAGAACTGCCGCATGGCCCATAAGATCACTAGTTCTGGAGCAATCAAAGCGGCGAGCATGATTCCGGCATGTCTGCGAATGACATGAAATGTTCGGATGGATCGAAGTCCATGTGCAGGCGAAAAGGGTGAGGATGCAACTTGAGATAATGCTATACAACGTGCGATACCCACTGCAAGCCGCGATGTCGTCCAGTGATAAGACATCGGCATTGGCAGGAATGAGTAGAGAGAACATGATACATGAACATCGAGGTTTGGAATCTGGATGGACACACTGTAAGCCAAGTACCTCGCACACGCAACACTCCTGCTACGAACTGTTGTATTAATGAACCTTCCAAATGCAAGTACACATTGAAAAAACGTTGGTACCAGTAGATAAGTAAAAGACCGACTCACCACGCTGCATTTTGGCGTACTCCCGAGACAACACAGCATCTCGGGAATAGCGAAACCTCGAGATTTTTCACAAGACAACTTGCCTACAACCTAGACCTTTCTCGAACAGGTTCAAATTTCATTCGTCTTGACGACATCGAAGAGACAACACACTAAAAAACGCAAAACATCAATTAACCAAGCTCACGCAAATTTATCAGAAGCTCACAACAAGACTGGCGAAGACCAACCAAAACCCTACTGGACTTCTGGTTCCGCATTCTCCCGGAATTAACTGGCAGATAAGTAGGAAGGACGGGGTCCGTAAGGAGTGATGAAATTCTAAATAGGGCCGGCCTCCAGAGTTATCACAGGATCCCTGCCCACCCACTGACCACCACATGTAGGCGTGGTCGATCGTTACCAGCGCGTTGGATAGCCTGAGGTGCTTCGGAATCCAGGACGGTGTTGAAATGTGGCGCTGCTATCTCGGATAAGTTCCAATTCTCCAAGCGCTCACTGACGCGATTTGTGGAACCTGAGGCAGTAAGTTCAAGCTTGAGCTGCGGTCCTGAAGTGACTCGATGATTGATCGAGAGAAGCGGAACATTCTCAGTACACGTTACATAATTGATAATTAAACCCGAACCGCCTCCTTGCCTCGAACACACATTCACTTTCGCTTGGGCGTCTCTACAACATACAGGCAATGCAATAGTATACAGATCATGTCGGAACTTTTACATCTGAACATGCGCATGCAAATGCTCACAGAGAATTCTAGCTGGCATGTCGCCGTGATTCATACTAAAGCTGCATCCTCTTGCAGTCGCTTTCCCTCCAGATCCTCCAACCACTGAGCCTATCAGGCAGCCTTAATACGCAGGCCTTATATAAGTTCTACACATGCTGGGCGGACATGTTCTAGCGCTGGAAGGTATCGTACCTCTCATAATTATCATTCAATCTCATATTTCTCATATTCCCACGTGCAGTGATTGCTGGCCAAAACCTTGCCGTTCCATCTAATCGCACACCAGCGGGCCATTATGTCCTTGTCTCCACTTCCTATGGTCGGTGGAACACTGCCATTAAGGCTGCAATGGCCGACTGCAGTGTTTCTTGGAATGAGACTCTCATCATCCGTGGAAGCCCGCTGATGTTTCCAATGTGGCTTATGCCCATCTTTTCCAGCTCCTCCAAAGAAATCCGCCTCGAAATTCGCGCCTCATTTGAGTGTGGCCGAATGCTCGGTCGAGGCGAGCTTGTGGGTACAGTCGAGACAACTTTAGAAAAATTGCTTGCGCACGACGGACAGTCCGGTGAGTTCTCACCTCTCACGATGTCGTTGTTCCCTGACAGTGGCTCTGAAGTATCATTCATGGCTGTTGATAATCAGCGCATATCCCTTAAATTGAAGGCACGGCGTAAAAAAGTACCATACTACGATGCAGACGGTACCATGCAGGTACATCATCAACTCAATGACTTGCGATCAATGCTAATATAGTCAAATTTTAAGTGTAAAATCGGTCTCGAAACTGATGCAGCACGCGATGCATACACCCTCTTTTGGAGGAACAATCTTCGCGAGCATTTCCATAGCGCCATTGAGGGTTTTCAGGCAGTGCTTGACCAATGTCCCCATGGTCATGCACACCGCGCCGCAGCGCTCTCCAACCTTGCTCATGCTATTCTATGCGGTTTCGCCAAGACCGTTGAAAGCGATATTGACCGCGCGGTTCACCTTTTCCGTTCCGCACTCACACTCCGTCCCCGAGGACACATCGATCATCCGTTATCGATCCTCGACCTTTGCCATGCTCTCTGCAAGCGTCATTCCCATAAAAAGGACCATCTCGATCTCCGTGAGGCTGCAGATCTTTACCGCTCAATTCTGCCACTTTGTGTCGAGGGCAGCCATCTCCATCGAGTAGTATTCGATACCAACGGCATACCATATGTCATCGAGCAGTGCAACGCACTTCCTAGTGATCCTTCAGACGAGAGTATATCGCTTCGGCGAATTGTGCTCGAACTTTGTCCGCCACGGCACCCACATCGTGCATACTCACTAAACAAGCTTGCTGGAGACCTCTATGCACGGTTTGAACGAGACGGCAATAAAGACCATTTCTATGAGGCTGTTCATCTGTCGCGTGAAGCACTGGCAGTATGTCGTGCTGATGACGATCAACTTAGTATTCTCCCCGGCATTTTATCGGACACTCTCGGGCACCGGTTCAATCACCACGGCGATCCTTCTGACCTCTACGAAAGAATAGCACTTGACATCCACCTAGAGGCACTCGACTTGCGCTCGTCTGCTTCGAGTCAGCGTGGCATAACGGCCCCCGAACAAGGACAAGAATCCTCGCTACCACCACCACCACCATCTCCTCCCCCACCGCCACCACCACAGGTATCAGTGAGCAAAGTACGTGGCCTACTTCTTGAATCGCATAACCCCAAAGCTTACTGATAAATGTAGCAGACTCGGCCGCTAGAAAGAAATGTTGTCATCTTCGGCGACAGTGGCTCAGGGAAAAGTTCAGTCATCAATGCGATTGCGCAAACGCAGCTAGCGAAGACATCTAGCAGTGCAACTGGATGCACGTTCGCCTATCAGCGCCATAGAGTCGAAATTTCTGGCCAGACGTTTGTTCTATTCGACACTGCGGGTCTCAATGAGGGCACTGCAGGCACGGTACCGGCGGCGAAGGCGGATGAAAACTTGAAGAGCTTGCTGCATGAGCTCATGAGCCCTAAATCGGACGGGATCGGCCTTCTGGTATACTGCGTGCGTAGCACGAGAGCCCGTCGCGCTCTTATCCGGAACTACAATATTTTCTACTCTGGTATCTGCCGAAAGAAGGTCCCGATTGTCGTCGTCGTTACAGGATTGGAGAACGAGCCGGACATGGAGAGCTGGTGGGTTGCCAATGAGAAGGAATTCAAGAGTCGTGGCATGCATTTCGAAGACCATGCATGCGTCACAACGCTTCACAAACACTCAGGCATCTCAGATATCTTCACCCGTCGCATCGAAGAGTCTTCTGAAACTCTACGCAACCTTGTCGTCAAGAATTGCTCGGATTGGGTGGTTGACGACAGCTGGTTCAAACAGTCTTTCACTGCTGTGCGAAACATGATCAGCGATAGTGGGAATAGCGAAAGGTCTTTGCCCTCCACTCTCATCATCTGTGACCCATCTCGAAACGAAGAAGTTGAGATCGCACCCTGCATCCGTGGTACCTTGAGGCCTTACTTTGTGCGCATCGGCGGGGACAATTATCAGGTTCACCGTGTTCCTGCACCAGACTCCTCATCTGCAAATGCTGAGAGGAGGCCTGAAGGAGATCTTCTCGTTTACTACGCTCGCGCTGACGAGCTTTCTGCAGCTCGTCAGAAGTTCTACGCGTTTTGCACAACATACCGCGGGAACGTGGTGCCGGTCGTCGTCGTGGTCAAAGGACTGGACGATCGCCAAGCTGCCCATCAGTGGGTCGAGAAACATATCATGTATGATGGCGCTGGACGTCTATTCTCGACATTTGCTCCAGCTGAAGAACTCGGATATGATTCTTTGAAGCAACAGGCGGAACAAGAATTGCAGGATCTCATTCGACAGGCCTGTCTCATTCGCAGCGAGAGGAAAGTCAGAGGGAAACAGAAAAGACTTGCGCGTAGGAACCGATTGTGAGTGACGAGTCATTGTGAAGGAGATGTTTTAATAATTATTCTATGCCATTAACGAGGCGTGGAAAGCCAGGTATTCTAGCATCGCTCTAGTATTTACTCGCCGGGACTGTTGAACTTTATATATCAGTACGCGTCGGGCTCTTCCAGCGCGACACCTACTAGTCATACACTCATTAATCTCTTTTGCCTTAGTCGTTATTCCTGAGGTATGTTTGCACATTCATTATATTTATCTAGCTACTCACTGTACCTAATTCTGGTTCTTGCCATTAGGGACGATATCATGAGTTTAGATGCATATGTTCACAGCTTTGATGCGCTTATCTCTATCTGAGTGCGCTCTTTGCAATGCAGAAAATGCTTAGTGAGGGGGATCAATGGCGAGCACTAGCGACGAGACAATGTCAAATATATGGATTGATATTTTTTCAGCGATGAAGTTCCTACCCAGCATTCTCAAGGCGAGTTATGTGCGCTTTGTTTTTTTCTGCAGTACATATTCCTGTGGTGCAGGATATGCGGGAACTCAGACTCTTTCGGGGCGATTCAAAAGTAGTTGAAGGCTTGTTAGAATCTCACAGAGCAATCGCAAGTTTGACTCGTGCCCTTTTACAGTACCTATCCCCCTGCCGTTCACATTCGTCCCTAGACTATGCATAGACTCAGAACACAACTTTTTTACGTTCAGGGTTAACTACATATGGGCGGGGAACTCCACCACACCCTTGATGAAGTACCCAAGCTAATACATAAATGGTGCAGTGGTGCAGAGATCGTTCTTCAAATTTTGACCCGGTTTCTCAATTCGCCGCCCATGAATATCCCCCACGACACCAGAATACTGAGGAGGGCATTGCTCTTGCGTTAGCTAGATATGTTGTGTCAGCCGGTGATATTCAGGCAAGGGCTTACTGGTGTTGGAAACCGAAGGTGTGAATTTTCTCGTGCGGTATAATGGAATGCACGACGAAATATTACATCATCACCCATTCAGGGAGAACTGTTGATTCATCTTTGGCGTGGTGAGTCACCAGGACTGGGACTTCCACATGCTGAAGGAAGTATAGTCGGACGATGGTTAGTCATCATGATAAGCGCGCAAGACTTACACCAATTACATAAATTATGACCGCTCCAGGACTGGTAAGAAAGGAAGACTCGTGATCGGCTGAAAATTCTCATCACTGAACCAACGGCCCAGTTTGACGGTATGTGGCCGAAGAGAGGGTAAAGTAAGTATCCCATTGGACACGCGTTAGGCCTGGATCATCAGCGTTAACTGTTTTCGGACAGCACAAGGTACTTATCATGGAGGCTATAGAACAGACGCTCATATGTACATGTACACGTTTTGTTGGGCCTTATCAAACCTGTTCTTGGGCCTTCGATGCCATCACAAGCGATCGACTTGAAGGTGCCGATGAGTGAACATAAGACATTGCATTGACACGGTTCGGTTCAGTTACGTAGATTACCCCGAATGTATCAAAGGATGTCGATCCCAGTTTGGGAATATGATTTGATCGTGACAAGGGTTCGCCTACAACCTACAGTCAGTACGATAATCCATAGCTTATTCGCGATGGATACCTTCACTGTATGAGAGATTTCGCTTGTAAATCCCGTCGCAGGTGTGCAGCGAATATGCCACAGTCTCAAAATAACCAAGTATGTCAGCCTATGAACATAAGGTCTCAGTTTTTGAATTTTGATCTGATCTAGAAAGTCGACAAGTGATTTGCACCGCGGCTGAATTACGTGTGAGTTATGATACGAACCGTTTCGAGTAGGATGCAATTTATGATTGTCCGGATGAAAAGCTACAAGGATATTCAATCCCACTAGGCTACGAAGGGCGATCTCGAGATATTCATCCCGGTGCATGAAGTCTGGCTGTGCTCTAGGCGGATTAAAAGCTCACCAGGTGGAATTATAGTGGCAGATAGAAGCCTGCAATTGGAATAATGACTCGGAGTCGTACATATCGTTACAGGACAAATGCCACCAGTGCACAACTCGATGTAGCCACCAGCAATGAAAAAGACATGTGGGAAATTGTCACTGCCGGTCCTAGTCAGGGCTGCTGCGAACCAAAGCCGGTGAAGTTCGAACAAAGAATCGTGACATGCCCATCGACAACCATACCATCGTGATGTAGCAAAATTGAAGTGTCTTAATTACATAATTGGAGGGACTGGCTACACTTGAGCTAAAAATTGACAACCCGATGGAGAGACTTCCCGGATCTGCTTGCCATGCTGCAAACATCAGGCCTTGTTACAACATTGTATACTGTACTGCCTTGAGATGAAGTGAAATACAAATAGTGAGTAGGACACATACGATACACCTGAAGTGACATCCAATAATGCGCTTACTGGTACTTCTTTGCGTCTTCGTTAGAATCATTCAAGCTGCACCTACAACAAATACCAACACTAGCGACAATTTTGAGGCCCCAACATTCACGACCAGAACCATATGGTCCATCATCTCCAGCTCCGTTCTCACTCTATTCGCGTGCATATACAGTGCTATTCACCCTAATGTTCCGAGTCTCAGGGACAGTACTGATGGTATCGTACGGCGGCGACTTGGGATCATGATAATGGCATTAATCACTCCTGAACTGATCGTCACATGGGCTATGCGGCAGTGGTTCAGCGCCCGTCAAGTTACAAGACAGATCGAGAAATCGGGGTATCCTAGTGTTTGTCCGGAGTCTGAAGGTGAGTTGTGCTTTTGAAAGCTCTGCATCTCACAACTCACTATACACGTCCTTAGAAAAGGAGTCTTTTGTAGCACCTGAGCAATGCAAAAATTGCATCCTTCGCATCCTTCTCATAGTGAAAGGTGTATCGTCTGTGCTGGCGTTTTTTCGGCATTTCCCTGGTGCTCTCACGAGGTGGATCAAAAGGTCGATCAAGGCTTATTTCTTAGAGAAATCAGAAGGTAAGCCACATTCGTGCTTACCTAAACGTTGGCTCATGCGCATCCTTAGATTATACGTGGACTCAGACGCACAGCTTCTTTGTGCTGATGGGTGGTTTCATGCTTTATGTGGATGGGAAACCCTATCACACACTACGGCACGACAAGGTCCTCGAGCTGATACGTAAAGAGTGTATCGATGCCCCTACCCTAACGGCAAACCAGATCCATGACAAGAGCAAAGGAAATGCGATCTCGAAAGGATTGATCATCCTTCAGGTGGCCTGGTTTGTTATGCAGCTCATTACCCGTGCCATCTATCACCTCGAAACCACCCAGCTCGAAGCGGGGACTCTCGCTTTTGCAGTTCTCAATTTCCTCACCTATGCCGTATGGTGGAACAAGCCTCTCAATGTACAATGTCCACATCCGGTATACTGGAAGTCGACCGAGTCAAGACCAGAGAATCACAATATTGATGAGCCTGAGTATGTATACACCTCAACAATTGTACCATTGCTGATTTTGTTTGCCTTAGCGTCCATGAAAGCTACCATGGCGCTGGATGGATGATCTTGGGACCAGTCTTCGTCTCAATTGCAGAACTGATAGGCTTGCCTTACATGTCCACATCTCGAAAGCTCCGAGTTCCAACATTTGATGGCAGCATCAACCTCGAAGGTTCGGACAAGAGGGTCCTTCTGCTTTCTGGATTGCTTATGGCAACCATATTTGGCGGCATTCATTGTATGGCTTGGTTTTTTACCTTCCCCACGTACCAGGAACAGGTGCTATGGCGCATGAGCGCCATCGCTATAACTTTCACACCCTGGGTTTGTTTTCTTGTGGGTGTCATACACAGTTTAATACCGCAGGTCGTTCAGGTTGTATGTATCCTGACTGCTGTTGTATCTGTCACATTGTACATCACAGCTCGTGCTGTCCTCTTGGTACTCATGTTCACTACTTTACGCAATCTTCCTCCTGACGCATACAAGGCGGTGTCATGGACCGGTTCAGTGCCGCACTTATAATTCTTGATCACGGTACTTGTGATATTTTTTATACTTTCGTAATGATATTCAAATGCGGTATCCTTATGGTCGACGTCGATAGAGCTACTTGCATGCATTGTTCCTTATCGCTATGAATGACGCGATCACATGACCTACACATCATGACCGAATAAACCATAGATCTTGTTCGAACTCACTCATCAACGATCCCGACGCATATGGATGACAGCGAAATAGGGCTATCACTTGGGATGCTGCGTCTCATAAAACAGACTACGAATGAACAGGTAGCAGCATTCCCGATCAACAGTTACTTTTGGACGCGACCCGACATGTAGTGTGCGCCTCTGTTACCCAGAGATCAGTACTCTGAACGCGAAATTTGTGTTTCTGGAAAGAAAGGTACGTGGATTATCTGCATATTATAACTATACTTGTACTTTTATAAATGAATCATCTACGTTGGCAGGCTTTCACTGGTATTAATCCTTGTCGTCCCTGGCGAAGCGCATCTCAACATCGATGGTTGCGGAGCGAGTGAAGGAGGAGAATGTAGGGACCGGATTCTGGAGGATGTGAGTCAGTGACAAGGAGAAGATGATGAGTACATGTACGTGAGAGCACGGGTACCTTGAACTTATCACACATTACGTCTGCTCCTTGGATTATATATCAATACAGGGCGCATGTATGTCCTCTTCACCACTTCCTGGCGTGATGCTGGCTCCTCTCCTTGCCATTTATATTCCCATGATGCATCTTCCAGGCCGCCCCAAAGGCCATCCAAGCGCGCCGTGAATCAGCGCACACACCACATGACCCTTCCCCGCACAGGTACCAGGGCTCAGACAGTTATCTGTCGCACCTTGTACACCCTCTGCCCCTTTGGGAGCAAATGACGGGGCCACGCACAGGAAGTTGCCCTCCCTGCTTGATTCTATCGTCCACATTGTCAGCGCAGTGTATCGTCGACCAAATTCGGGGAATCATGCATGTTACCAACCAAGTAAAGAAGCGCGTCTCCTTCAGGCCTTACTTTGCGCATATCGGCGGGGACAATTATCAGGTATGTTCTTACACCGGACTCTTCATTTTCAAATGCCGAGAGGTGGCTTGAAATATATTATGCTCGCGCTGACGAGCCTTCTGCAGCTCCTCAGAAGTTATACGAATTTTACATAGTGTACTGTGGGAACATGGTTCCGGTCGTTGTCGTGGTCAAAGGACTGGACGATCGCCAAGCTGCCCATCAGTGGGTCGAGAAACATATCATGTATGATGGCGCTGGACGTTTATTCTCGACATTTTCTCCAGCTGGAGAACTCAGACATGATTCTTTAAAGCAACAGGTGGAATAAGAATTGTAGGATCTCACTCGACAGTCTCATTCGCAGCGAGAGGAAAGTTAGAGGGAAACAGAAAAGACTTGCGCCTAGAAACTGACCGTGAGTGACGAGTTATTGTGAAGGAGACGTTTTAATGATTATTCGATGGGATTAATGAAGCGTGGAAAGCCGAATACTCTGGTATCGCTCTAGTATCTACTCGCGGGGAATGATATCATGCACATTTACAGCTTTCGCTCTGGATATCCCGATGTGACGTGTAGCATTTCTACGAGGTAGGGAGAACGATTGTTCAGTACACATAATCAATATTTACGCCATTGGGATCTTCTCAACCGCAGCCTTTCCCTCCGCCCAGCCTCGCTCCCAACTCTGCTTCCGAGCTGAGACAAATATCCTAAACATCTTACTTACTGACCCCCACTTTTTCAGCCTTCCGTGAAGTTCCTCAGGCGCTTTATCAGGAATGCAATGTCTGACGCCAGTGGCACTGGGAAATAGAAAGGACAGGAAAGCTGTGACCTTTACGGCGTCATCGATGGGGGATACTCCGACAAGAAAGTTTTTGATTTTTGGACTGATAGCGTCGACCGGGGCCGCGTGTACGGCGTCACTTTCGAGAGTAGCGTTGAAGAAAACCCCGAGAGAGGACAACTGGTGGCAGCGCTTCAAGAGAGATATGATTCCTTCAAAGGTCAGCGACGGAGCAATGAGCCAGGCCCCCCGGTTACCCAAGTAGAGTTCCTTTAGGCCTGGACAAGCCAGAGCCAACTTGCTAAGAAAGGTATCATCCATATGCGCTGTGCATAAATGCCCAAGATCCAAGTGATTGAGCCCCTTGAATGATAGGAGCGGATGCAACATGAAGGAGGTGAGGACGATCGATTCGTGGCCAATATCCTCGCTTGATATCGTTTCAACGATCAACGACAACTGTGTAAGTTTCTCGGGATGTACTACGCATATTTTCAAGTGCGTGAAGAAACCGTGGGGGAAAACGTCATCGTAGAGCGAGCAGCGAAGGTACAAACATTGAATCGAGAAATGGACGTTTTGCATGAATGCTTGCAAGGATGAGGGTGTGAGAGCTACGATCTCTATGAAGGCACGGGGAGAGGAAAATTCCAATACGCGGGGTGTTAGCTCTGATAAAGCAGAGAAACGCAACGATTGGAGAGTCTGCAAGGAGGCGACATGCGTCAAAGCCTGTTCGTTCACAGGACCAGCCCCCAATGTTTTAAGTTTCTTCCAGCCCATAACTGCCTCGCTGATTGCTTGCATCGACGAATCATCCGCGCCAAGGCATATCAGATTCGAGAGAGAAGGACACGACGGCGCAAGCGATGCAACGGCGATGCATTTGCGGACACCCCACGCTACGGGTGAGAGCGTGAGGGTTTTCAAAGTGGGACCACAGAAACAATGTAAGAAGGGGAAGAAGTCTTCACGATCGGACAGCCAATTCAACTCTGTGAGGCTCGGAAGGAGCGCTCCTGGAAGAGGAAAACAATTTAGAATATGCATGGTGCTGATATCCCATGTATCCGATTGAGGTGAGACTGTCAGTGTGTGGACACGTTTCGCATAACTCGCGAGAATGCGCCAGTCCGCATCGTACAATGGACGCTCCCAGATCTAAGTACACGATCTGAGCGATACTGGGAAAAGAGAATATCAAGATGGCTTACTGCTTGGCTATCGCTGAAGACTCGCCTTCCACCAGAACAGATAACGAGTGCGTCCAAAGAGTGGAGCTGAGCCCACAGGACATCCAGGGCAGGGTCTTTAAATGCTTGACATGTTCGTGCTAAGTTGGCAACCGTGACGCGACCCTCGCTGTCCTCTTTCGTTTGACCGGGATCATAGACATATTCGAAAATAAGCTGCACAACTTCGGGGATCCAGAAGTGCATCTGTGTCCGACTTGGAATGCACACAACTTAGTGACAAAGTGTTCGGTAATCAGGGCTTGAATCAAATGTCTTTGCTGTGTCAAGATCCGGCTGCAACAAAAACGAATAAGCTGCAAGCATGGTAGTTGCTATTAGCCACTTACAAACAGGCCAGTGACTCGACACGAGATACAACTTGATCATGGCCATATGATAATCCTTGTACATAGTAAGTAAAGCTTACATAATGTTACATACGCAACTCCAATCGTTCGCAGACCGTGACTAATACCTAGTAGTAATAAAGAGGAAGAAACTGCGTAGACTCTCAATGAGCTGTATACTAAGAATAGATCCATAGACACAAGTGTTTGCAACCTCAGTTTTCGATCAAAGGACCAAAGGAAGGTGGTTCCGTATCCAGGGAAGAGGAATAATTATAAAACGACGGGATAATATGGAGACCGTACAGGAACATGTTGTGGGCACATTCAGTCCTTTGACCACGACGATGAGGCGCACTATAAACCTGCGATACGATTGAACCAACTGTCATTGACAGCCCAACGCTTGCAATTGTTGACAAGAAGATTGCATAGAGTGTCACTCGACTCTGCGATGCGACGAGTGACGTCGTCTGGGATGCCTGGGTATTCCTGAAGTGCAGTGACACAAGCATGGGCTGCGAAATGCATGCTTTTGAATTTACCCTTGTTTTTATCCCACCAGTTCTCCATGTTCGGCTCGTTCTCCAATCCTGTGATAACGATGACGATTGGGACCTTCTTCTTGCAGACCTTGGAGTAAAACATGTTGTAGGCCCGAACGAGAGCGGTCGTTCTGAACGACACGCAGTACACCAGAAGGTCAATGCCATCTGAGGGCGACCTAGAGCTCATGAGGCGACGCAGCAATTTCTTTAACTGTCTTTTGGCCACCGCGTCTGGCACTGTGCCTGCAGGTCCCTCTCCAAGACCCGCGGTGTCAAACAGGACGAATTTCTGGTCGGAAATTGTTACTGGGTAGCGTTTGTGGCCTGAGGTGCACCCCGTTGCGTTGTCGGATGTCTCCGCGAGCTGTTTCCGTGCAATTGCATTGATGATTGAACTCTTGCCTGAACCCGTTTCACCGAAGAAAACAACGTTTCTTCCCCGTGGGGGCGTCTGCTATATTTTATTAGTAAGCATGATGCGGCTCAACATGTAGGACGCGTACTGCCACGTTACTGGATGACGCATGTGAAGACAGTGACAATGGTGGTTGTCCCGTTATGTCGATTGAACGAACCGCTGCTGGGGCATTCACAGGTTGATTAGTCGCAACGCTCTGGAAGTCCACTGAATTAGCAGTGATCACAAGACTTTGGAACAAGTCTATACCTCAGTAGTACTGCCCGCAGCGTGATCAACAGGCTGCGTTGTTTTTATACGCTGCGCTTTCAACGTAAGAGACGTGAGTCGATCAATAGCTGAACATGACACTTCAAAATTGGTCCCAGGAGACAACGACATTGCTGAAGGTGAGAGCTTACTGGACTCCGTGGTTGCGATAACTGCATGTAGCAACATGAGAACTAAGAACCGAAGGATGTAGAGTACTTTACCTTCTAGTGCTAAAACATGTCCGCCAATGTTTAACATGATGAGCGATTTGGAGAGGAAAGAGTGGGCCTAGTCAGGCTTTATAACAACAGGACATATAAGCTGGCTGCGTGAACCTTTCCATATGATCGAAGTTGGCATGAATTGACGAGTCCTTGGCCCAACGTTGGTCTGGATATTATAGCCGTGGGAAGCAATAAAGTTCTGCCAACAACACCTGTAGTAGAAGCAATTGAGGAGGGTCCCCAATTTGTTTCTGCCACGTCACCGAGGCTATTACCAAGTATGCCTGCCAAATAATATTAATGGCAACGTGCAGTTAGGTGCCAAGAGTTTGCCAAGTTGCCAATTATCACAGTGGCAGGTACGGGCATGAGTCTCGGCCGAATTGGCAAGACCGAGGCGCACGCAGACTTCGTTCAGCAATGTCGCACCATCATACAGCTCCTACAGTAACCAGCCGGTACCGCAAAGATGATTGATGATCCTGGACTTGGACAGCCTTTGAATAAAATGGCTCAGCTACCCGACTTTCGAGATGATTAATAGTGTTCCTACAGCTCGCTCCGCTGAGTGACACTGCGCGCAAAGATTGTTCCAATAAGGGAAAATCAAATGTAATCACGGGGACATCACAAAAAGAGCTGTTAAATATTAGTCTCTAGAGATGTCCAACGCCAAACTGCAAGATTTCTCTGCGCCCTCAAATAGTCAGATCCATCGCAGGAAGATAGTCTAAAAACCCGATTCGATACTTATCTAGGTGATAGTGAAGTGTTCCACTGGACCGACATACCTGACCACGTTTATGCGAAGGGACTTGTTCAAGTCTTCGACAAAGCAACACGCCAACCGACCATACAAACTTACCGGGGAGTCCACGTGCCAAACAACGCTGAAATCACGAGGAAGACCAGCCAAGAGCCATCCGTCCAAAGCCCTGGCAGCTAGCTCCACATTCTCCCCAAGAAGTAAGAAAACCCTTGGTAAGTTATGATCAGAATGGCCAAAAGTTAATTTAATGAAGCGGTAGTCGTCCGGTTTGTAGGAATGACAGGGGTCAGGTATCAGCAAGGTGCATGAGTTTCCACTAGATTGTTTTTGCATTGTCAGGCCTTCATTGTTCGAACTGACCGTCCCCGACACGAAGATGCGCACTTATGTGGACAGCACTTAACGTTCCACGTATCATATCGGCCACGAGACAGGCGTGGATTTGCAAATGCCCGGGCCATTCCGCCCCTTACATCTCTGTGCACGCTCTTACTCACCCTGTCTCAGCCTAAGCCTCCTACGACCCAAACAACGTTCCAATCTGCATCAATCTCTCGAGTGCCTGAACAAGTGCCAGGATGTGAATGGAATAGAGATACTTGTCCCGCGTGGGCAATACATCATCAAACGTGTCCAAGGACCAAACATCGTAAGGGCCCGAGTCTTGCGGCGTCAGTGTCTGCTTCAAAGATTTTTGAGATTTTCTCATACATGCAACTGGGCTTCCGCATGTTCTCCCTAGAGTACTGATTATCAACAGCATTGGGTATAAGCAGCTCCTGTTCAGTGGGTTGGTGGATGAGCTCTGCTTCTGTCTAGATATTTGTTGTGATGCGGCGCTTACTGAGGTGTGGTGCAGGAGTTAAAGAATATGGGCGCTTGGCCGCCGTGAAGGTCTGGGTCGAGTCCACAAAAACAATGTCACGAACATTAACATCCGAATACATGAATACACAAGTCATCGAGCAACGAATGAATTTGCTGAAGACTCCGAGAGTAGACAAAAACGAAAGCGATAGTATAAGTACATGACAGACGTATGTAACAGGCTAATTCAGTAATTGCAACAACCTGAAGTACATTGGGGACGAAAAAGAAAGCGATACAAAGAACACATAAAACCGTACCAGATGAAGCAATACAGCAGGAACTACACACCAATATGAATGAAAACCATCCTCTGCTCGAGCGGCACTTTCGTCTTCACGGCATGCGTAGCACGATTGAGTGCCCAGGCCGCCTTCGTACAGTCCATGACACCACCCTCCTCTAAACCATTGAACAAATTCTCGTAGAATGCTTTGACGACGTGTTTTGCAACAGAATCGTCGACCTCCCACAGCGTGCCAATGACGCTCTTGAACCCCGAAAACTGGAGACCAGCTGCGAGGTGAATCACTTCGTCGGGCGTCTCCTTATCGCCGACGGCGGTATGACAAGCGGACAAGAATGCGAACTCAGCATGCGGGACATGTTTCTCCATGATATCGAGCAGCGTCAGATGTTCATCTCTCATGACGAAGTGGGAATTGTAAGGCTGCACAAGGTCCTGCTTGCCATGGCAAGCGAGGTGCACCCAGGTGTTCTCTTCCAAAGCTTTGAGTGCACCTGCTCGTGTGGCTGCATCACCAGAAATAGTGCTACGGTTGGCGGTCGCAGGGACGAGTTTATGGACAAGCTCGAGCTCGCTGTCGACAGCCAAGAGCGCCTTGTCTTTCCCCGTACCCGGTTGACCCTGTCCGATTGTCACGAAGGACGGAGAGATGCGCTTCTTCATCATCTGTCTAGATCTAACCAGAGCCGAAAGTGTCGGTGTGTAAGAGCAGACATAGAGATCCTCCAGGCATGGCTCTTTAGAGCGATCTGCCCTTGTTTGAAAGGGGTGAGCTGCATGGAGAGGAATAGACGTGAACGCTGCAGTTGGACAAAGCCAGATTCGAGAGTCATGCTTTAGCTTAAGGACATGCTCGAGTACGTTGACGATGGGTAACATGATCTTTTCCCATACTGTCCGCAAGAGGACTATTAGATCATTCCGAGGCAAATTTGGGCCCATGATGGATGCGTGTCGTATGGCCCTGGCGAAGCGGTCCTTCAAATTATTCAGATCTGTGAGAGTGACAGACGGTAAGGGAATATGATGGGGTTCTCCTGACGTTGGAATAACGATGGCACTGCACGAATATTGACTGGCAATAAGGATGATGACAGGGCCTTGGTGTGCTGCCGCTTGCAAGTCTTTGTACGAAGGTGAGAGCAGGAAGCGCGAGAACGCTTGAAGATCACGGATTTCAGTCACTGCAGCGTCCCATTGGCTTGTAAGTATTCTATATTCTGTTGCAGCTCGGTCAGCAGCAGCTCTGTCAGTGATGGTTGCAGAACTCTGGGCAGCATCGGAAACGCGCTTGCTCAGCTCTAAATAATTGCGCGCCAATTTTGGATTTGCTGACTCTAGGTCTTCAACTGGAGTCTTGAGTCGAGAGGCCAGCGACCATTGCTGCCCACGGCCCTGCTCTACGAGTTCTACCGCATGTCGTAAATTGTCACGGCGTATGGCACATGATGCAGCATCTACAGGCAGTGGTCTGGCATAATGGAAGGTAGCAGCAGCTTCGCGTCGTGACGTTGCCGACGATCGTGTTGCCAAATGACCGTCAAGAAGGTCAAAACATGTGTAGTAGGCCTCCAATGCAGATGTATGACTGTGTTGCTCTGCAGCGACGACCCAGTTACATGCTGTCATAATGCGACGTGGAAAGCCTTGAGTAGGGTGCCTTGACGCCAGTCTGGAGTTCTCTACAGCAAGCGACAAATCAGCAGGGTCGTGTAGAATCTGGTAACGAGCTAAATAGGCTGTCGTGAGCCATCTGTAGCTGAACCATCTGTCTGGGTGCAGTAAAGACAGAGCCACCAATGACTCTCGACAGAGATTAATGGCCTCCTCGATATCTTCATTCTCCCGAGCTTGCGTGAAACGAGAGCAGAGCGACGCACTCAAATTGGAAAGGCTTAAATGGCGCCCTGGACAGTCATCCCGCATTACCCGAAGGGATTCGCGATACCAATCAATGGCCTCGTTAAGATCCTCAATGACATGCAATTTATTGTATCTGGTGTCGAGCGCGAGGGCAAGGTTGTTAAGCGTGATATCACGACGTGGATGCCCAGGCGGGCACAACGTCAGTGCCTCGCGATAGAGGCTGATAGCTCGGGTGATGTCATCAATGTCGCCGCATTTGTTGAAACGGCTGATGAGGGCAAGCCCTAGGTTGTCCAAGTAGGTATCACGATATTGGTGCCTAACAGGGTACAGGCGCAGCCCTTCTTCATACAAAGTGATGGCCTCATCGAGGTCATTAGGTTTGCCTTGGTGGTCGAAGCGGTATGTGAGCGAGACGGCCAAGTTGTTTAGGAGGTAAGCACGGTCAGCATGTCCCTCGGGGCATAGAGACATGGCTTCACGACCGAGTTGTATGCTCATTTCAAGATCATCGACGGTGCCGTGCTGATCAAAGCGTGCTTCGAGTGCTTTTGCAAGCTTGTCGAGGGCTCTAGGACGATGTTGATGGCCCAGAGGACAGAGCTCGAGGACAACTCGTCGAAGGTGGACGCCTTCATCAGATGCATCTTTTGGAAGATTGTTGCATTTGTTGATCACATAATCGACACCATTTGTCCCTGCCGCGATGCTACGAAGGTATGTGCCCTCTGGACAGAGAGGCAGTAGCTCATGATAGAGTTTGGCGGATTCACAGATGTCGGCAGCAGAACTTTTCTTGTCATGGCGCCAGTTCAGCGCTTTGGTGAGATTATATAGAGATAATGGATGATCGGGATGGCACTGCGGACGCAATGCAAGGACATCGCGGAACAGCGAAGTGGGTGTATCAATATCTTCAAAATCGTTGCGAATATACCCCAAAAGGCGCGCATACGCAAGGTTGGTGAGGGCTGTTGCATGGTCGGGATGGCTGACGGGACACTGGTCTAGAACCAACTGAAAATGCTGCACCGCATCGTTCAGGTGAGAGACCGTCTTGCTCGTGATGTATGCGGCAAATTGTGCGTGGCCCGCATCTGTGTCTCGAGCGATCTCGCAGTCTACGAGGGACTGCGATTGGCGATCCGTCAGCACAAGCTAACAGTAGAGACCAGCGTCACTTACATAAGACAGCGCGCCCTCCTGATCGTCGCAAGCATGTACAATGGTGGCCTTCAGCGTGAGGGAAGGGTAGACATCGCAAACGGGTGGGAAAGCCAAAGCTACGAGATGTTAGTATATGTGCATGAATGAGAAGAAAATGACTCACCGAAAGGTTCATCTCCATGATCGAGTAGCTCATCCCATGACATTTGAAGTTTCCCAATGACCTCTCCATTGCCTAGGATTCGACCGGCCTCATAAGACGCCCTGATCTCGATTGATAATGCAGGTGAGGTATAGGATGATCTATAAACCGAAAATCAGCTCTCGCATCGCATCGGAAAGTCTCCATAGACTTTACAGAGTCACAGTGTCGCCCCACGCTGCAGATTGGTCAGATGATAAGACACTGGTGGCCGATTTCCAGCGTCTATGGGAATCGGCATTGGTGGATATGTGAATGCCTGCGGGCATGCGCTCGGAGGGGACTTGAAGTTTTTTTCCGCTGATGACTGTGAAAAGAGTGAGGATTGCGAAATGGATACAAATGTGATATGGAGCGACCCACCTTCAAGTTTGATGTATCGGTTTTTCAAGCTACCAGGCATGGTGGTGTGATGAACAGGATCGAGGATGGACTGAGTGGTTGGCGGAATGGGTGAGAGGGAAGGACGAGGGTAGGGATATAGGGACTGCGGATAGATGAAGTTCAGCTGAGGCAGAGAAGAGGTTGAGGGTTTAGGCTATGCTACATATTATTGCACGTGATCCTTGCTAACTTGTGCAGGAAAGGTCGACCCATCACACGCACTTGGCGCGTCAACGCGTCACACGCGGCTCAAGGCTCCTTCCTGAAATCCGGCCACGGTACCTGCTAGAAGTTCAAATTTCTTCTTCCAAGCGCTTATTAATACGTATTCACCTGGTAAGTAGCTGAGAGCTCCAGCTGGGTCTCGTGGAAGACTTCATACCATCATGGCGAGAAGCGCTGGACGATTCCTCCTCATAGTGTACAAATGATAAATCCGGTCCTGGTTGTGATCTAAATGAGAGCAAATTGTCACTAATAATTATTCTGTATTGTTATGTTTGTCAACTACCAAATACAGCCTCATTCTTACATGCTCGACGTCGTTTATGGTGACGCCGCCGTGCTTGTTCATCAATTTTTTGTGTTTGCCTCGGTCTCCGGGCCTACTCTCCATTTGCGATATGTCATTAAAGGCACATCTCGTGTATTGAGGGCTGACCTGCATAACTTCTGGGCCTACTGGCAACTGCTCTAACGCTTGCCATACTCCCCAATGACTGCCGCCATTTTTTTGACGTCCAGTGCTCTAGTATGTTCTTTTTTGTACTTGTAAGTTGCTACTCAGACATCATTAAAGAGTTTTAAGCATATCAGATAATTGTGGCAACCTCGCGGGTCACCAGCTCTGCTGTGCACTCACATATGAAGGACTTCTCCTGCGCACACGATGCAAAATACTTGTTGGGCTGCAGCAATACTTGATGCGTCAAACAACAGCTGCAGTGAGGTCTGGCTAGTTTCAAATGCTTCGTCCTTCCATGCTTCGCAAAGCCAAGGAAGCGTGACAGCAGAGAGCAGCCCTGCTTCGTATGTTCTTAACCTTATCCGAGTCGGCATGAACTGACACTCATCGACCAGTCAATATCTCTCCCGCCCTCGACTTTCGAGCCCCCATCAACTAGGTGCGCATTCGTACATCCAACCAATAGCCTTGCACGTCCCTTCGATACCCATACCCATCCCACTGCCCCTGCTATGTAAAGCACGCACACGACCAAATTTCAACCACTTCTTCAATGATAAACTCCACTTTGTACAGTCTACCGAGTTCACTTGCCAGGTGTCATCAGCGGGACGTTTTCATTTTGCTGCGACCCTATTAATTCCATAGATGCCTTAAACTCTGAATCGGACCAGGAACTCAGTACTCAGCATTTCATTTAAAGTACGAACCACGACAGAGGTGTTGGTAAGGAAAAGAATTGCAGACTTTCAATAAACTATACGTTAAGAAACACAAGTGTTCGCCACCCCTCAGTATTTCATCGAGAGGACTGAAGAGAGGCGATTCGAAGGAAGAAGTGTCACAAACTGAAGGAATAAGTAAAAGGGTGAAGTAGAGACTGTACGAAAATAAAGCGTGGAGGAGTGGCGCTGACTGTGCATGTTCAACATGAAAAATATTATGCATGAAGACGTCGCGATAAGATGATGAACTCGCCCACTCTACACGAAAATCCGGCAAAGCTTCTAGTCTCCCCCTCGTTCCAAATGAGAAGGGGAGTGTCTAATAGGATCGTATAAGTCCTGCGCTGCCTGCCGCTTCACATAATCATCTCTGAGGTCTCCAGTAACATTGAATAGACCAATGTCATCGTGATCGCCCGACTCGACAACGAGAAAATTTGCTATTATTCATTGAGTACTTTGACCACGAGACGACGCGCACCAGGCTCCTGAAATACGCTCGGACCAACTAGTGTTGACCGCGTAGTGCTTTGCAATAAGGTTGCGCAAAAAGCCACTCGGCTCTGCAACATGGGTTGCCGGGTCGCATGGATAGTTTGCGAAATGCATGCCATGATTATTGCATTGCTCTCTGTTGGTGATCCACCAACTTTCCATGTCCCGCTCGGTCCTCCATTCTTCGACGACGAGGATGATTGGTACTCTTTTATGGCAGATCTCAGAGTAGACCTTGTTATAGGCCTTAACGAAGGTGCGAGGGCGAGTCGCGCTGCGCACGCAGTACACCAGAAGGCCGATACCATCCGACCTAGAGCTCATGAGCTCACGCAACAGGTTCTTCAACAGTTCTTTTGCCTCCGCATCTGGTACAGTGCCTGCAGACCCCTCATTGAGACCTGGGGTATCAATCAGGATATATTTCTTGCCAGAAATTTCTACTGGGTAGCGTTCGGGGGTAGAAGTGCATCCGTGCGTGTCATTGGATGTCTTCGCAAGCTGCTGCGTTTGCGCGATTGTGTTGATGAGTGAACTTTTCCCTGAGCCAGTTTCGCCGAAGATGACAATGTTTCGGTCCAGAGGGCGTGCGTGCTACATTTTATCAGTGGGCGTGACGCAGCTGAAGAAGTAGGCTACGTACTCCGGGGCTGTTCGATTGCGTGTGCAGAGTTGTTTCATTCCTACGCTGCGCTTTCAATGTAAGAGATATGTCCTGGTTATCAATAGCCAAGAGTGTTACTTTTGGACCAGTGTGAGGGAACGAAGGTATAGCGTAAGGCAAGAAACGAAGACTTACCAGACTGTCTGTCGCATCTGAGCATTTGTTCGAAAGTTGTCGTCTCAAATTCACACACCGTAACAGGCTCAGTTGCGAACTCGTATAAGGAACGAGTTTCGAAGCGGATTGTTTCAGATGTGCGGAAACATTTGGGCATGAGCCACTGGAGAAATGTCGGCGGGGGCCCATGGATGTTGAGAGTTTCGTTCCAAGAAACGCTGTGGTCCGCCTCTGCAGTCTTGATGGTGGTGTTCCACCGACCATTAGAAGTAGAGACACTGACATAATAACCGATGGGCGTGCGATCAGATGGAACGGCAAGGTTCGTGCCAGTGATTACTGCATGAATGAATGTGAGTATTGGAAGAGGATGATGTGAGGTACAGTACCTTCCAGTGCTAAAACATGTCTGCCATTGGTGTTGAACATGACCGTCGATCAAATATCGATATATAAAGCCGCCTTAGTGATCTCTAGAAAGAAGTGGTCGGAGATGGAGAAAAGAGTGAGTGGGGTGAGTCTTGACATTTATCAATGAGCTTTATATTAACGTCAGGATATTTCAAGGAAAGCCGCGTGAGCCAAGTTCAAGGCAGTAGTTGATCGAAGCTGGCCGTTATACACAGTGTACCAAAGAATGGGGACGCTCCAAGTTGCCGTACATTTTTTGAACTCGGTGCGCCGGTATATCGGTACAACCGTTTGTCTGTAGAGTGTGAGCAGTGTTACAAAGTCAAAGCTTGCACAGCCTTTTGGGACGGGGTTCGAATGGGGTGCTTGCCCGATGCCTAATCGAGGAATGATGCCGTAGTTACAGATGGGTCAAAAGCCGGGTCAAGCACAGTAACGCGCAACATAGTAGTCAATAATGGTGGAGGTATTCAAGTTGAAGGGACCTGCTATTCGGGCCACTTGCGCATGCTGTAGCTGCAGGTGCCCAGTTGAGCGGCAGTGCTGTCGAGACCAGGCCTGTTTCTGATATCCTGTTATCATGGCTTCTGTTCAAAATTTCAAAAATTGACCTTCCTTGGTTCGTTCCGTTTCATCATCACTTGCACTGCGCCTAGACCTGCCAACGGGCGCCAAGATATGGAATTCACTCGTGCCCAGCCCCGACACATATAGGGATAGCAGTGCAGTCGATCTGGAATGATGAGATCAACATGTGAAGTGTGACTAACGTATAGAAGAATACCTAGTCATACATACATTGAGATTCAACGCTCGAGTTGAGTTATCGACGCGTCACTATTCCAGTTATGGAGCAGTATCCTCAAAGACTGCCTGTCCCCAGCAGGGTCACGTTCCCGGTGAACATCAAAATTCCTGCGAAGAAGGCTGTGCACACCAGCAAGAGCTAGATTCCAAAAGGCGAGGCCAACTTCTATGATGTTGATTTCAGCGCGCGCCGGATCTGGGGAAAGTGGCATAGGGGTGGGGAGCTGCACGATGGGAAAGAGGACACTGGAGCCGAACAGGTCAGGGTCACGGCAGTAAAAGGTGATTCGGAGGACACGGGCGTTGGGGGCGCGCCTGAGTGCTAGTGTCGAGTAAGACGTTTGATGTTGCACCTCACATATGGTTGTGCAAGGACACGGATACGTCTGAGGCAAAGCATGGATGAATGGATTGAAAAGGCTGGAAATCGGAGGGGAGGTGCCACTACCGACCTAGCAAGTCGATGCCACCATCAGACTTTCCACCTATACGTTTCAGTGACACTGAGAAACAGTCTTGAAGGAATTGGAAAGAGTGTTGCTCTAACGTGGTTCACGAGCGATTGTAGGACAGCATGCTCCTGCATAATTGGAGGAAGAACGACTGTCTTCCTGTATCTCTGGGGGAGACTACATATGTACCTGGAGGATGCGAAATCAATCGGGACACCCGAGATCGAGTGCGAAGGAGAAGCAAAACTGACTTACCTTGAACCTCGCGTCGGGCTTTGCATTGAAATCATCCGCACCCTCTACCAGAATCGTTGGGAAGACGTCGAAACACCAATATGGTGCGTATGCACGTTGTACGCCCAAAGTATTTTATCTTGGAGTGCGCTGAATGACCAGTGCTCGGAGTGATACAAACTAAGAATAACCTGGATAGGTGTGGTAAGCAAGTTGCAGGATTGTTCAACGTTGACCACAAGGATTAAGCATACGATTGACACCACAGAATTCCGGGAAGCGCTTTGCAAATTGCAGACATGATAGCTTGACACCCACTTTTAAGCAGTTCAGTTTAAGCCCATCCTACCTTCACTCCCTACGCCCATCCCACCGCTCCACAAGCTCCTCCTAAATGAATCAGGGGGGTGAACATGGCGAGGAACTCGAACGTTTGAACATCCTGTAAGTAATACACGGTACCAGCATAATCTCCTAAACCTGGCATTTTACTTCTTGTTCGTCACTTGTCTCCCCTTAACAATCCGGCCACCCATCTGCTTCAACCAGCTCTTGTCGGCCGCCGAATCCAAGCCGTCGTCAACCGCCAGATCCACGAAATGTGTCAAAACAAGCTTGCGCAGAATGTCGCCCGACTCTGCAATACGACGAGTGATGTTGTCTGAGAAGCTTGGGTGTTCTCGAAGCGCTGTGACGCAAGCATGGTCTGCGAAATTCAAGCCCTTGAATTTTTCCTTGTTAGTATCCCACCAACTCTCCATGCGAGTCTCTTTCTCCAATCCTGTGATGACGACAACGATCGGAACCTTCTCCTGGCAGATTTTAAAGTAAAACTTGTTATAGGCTTTATCGAGGGCGCGAGGGGCAATTGTGCTGTGCATACAGTACACCAGAAGGCTGATTGCATCCAACCTAGAGCTCACGAGCTCACGCAACAAAATTTTCAACTGTTTTTCTGCTTTAGCCGCCGGCGGTGTGTCTGCAGCCCCCAAGCTGAGACCTGCGGTATCAATCAGGTTGAATCGCTGGTCTGAAATTTCTACTTGGTAGCGTTGAGAGGTAGAAGTGCATCCATGTGCATCATTGGATGTCTTCGCAAGTTGTTGTTGTGCGATTGCGTTGATGATGGAACTTTTCCCTGTGCCGGTTTCGCCGAATATAACAACATTTCTTTGCCGTAGGCGCATCTGCTATATTCGATCAGTAAGCTCTCTTTGCGGTAATGGGTCTCGAAAAGCAGAGCACGTACTTCGTAGTTGCTCGACAGTGCGCTTAGAGGTAGCGGTGATGGTGATGTTGATCGCATCCGTTCATGTCCCAGGATGCCAGTCGATCGAACTACTCATGACGATGAAACATATTCGTCTCGACGCTTGCTCGACATGGATGCAACTTACAAGAATCAGTGCTGAAAGGTGTTATGGGACCAGTGCTGGAACTCGGGAGTGATGATGGTAAAGAATCAGTGTTGAGTGATGCATCGTCGGGAGGACCGTTAGGTGGGCTCGAAGAATCTTGAAGCTCAAATGAGTGGATGGTCAAAAAAGTACCACGAACTATGCAGGCTGACCTGATGAGAAAACCCTGCGCATGACGAGGTCGAATACTTCATCTGCTGAAGGCCGAAGTTCAAATTTGAATTGCAGACATTTTTGAATGATGTCCCAATCTGAGTCCATTATAGGGTGGCCGGCGGGGCGCTGCGGACTACGGCCTTGGCGTATCAAACTATAAATATGCCACTCCAGGTTTTGAAACTTGATCTCAGACCAAGGGTGCCGACCCGAGAGAATCTTGTTTGATGAGTCCTCAGGCGAACATTTTGTGACCAAATGACCAACTTACCTGAAGCATCACGCAACCAAAAGAGTAGATGTCAGTTTTTTTCAAAGGCAGGTTGCTGACATTATCTGATAGAAGTTCTGGTGCTGCGTAGGGGATAGCACCTGGATGTATCGATGTTGCAGCTAAGTGTGGCTGGCCGAAAAGGGGCAGGACAGCGGTGGAAAGACCAAAATCGATTAGCTTCGCATGGCCTCCCTCGTCGATCAGTATATTTGCCTACAGTTTTATTAGTTTTGAAGGATGCCCCAGCAGCTCCGGGCTCACCCCTGTTATATCCCCGTGCACGACAGGCACCGAATGCACTGCACCCATGGTAGGTTACCAGAACATGAGAAAATATATGAAACTAACAGTAACGCAGTCCAGCACTGACATCCTTCAGCTTCCCAACTTAGAGTCAGTCTTGATAAGAGAAAGGGTGCGATAAAAATTCTACTTACCATACGTGAACGGTCCAGCATTGTTAGTTCGTTGTGTTTAGATGCCAGGTAGACATTCAGCGTGCCGTTGAGAATCCACGGAGTTACTAAGCTGAGCAACTCTGGCTTCCGTCCAAACCCTGTCGTAGTACCCAACAACGGTACAATATTATCATGACGTAGAATCATCAAAATGCCAATTTCCCTGTTAATTTTCTGGATGATACAAATGGTATAAGTAGCATGTGCTAGTCACATACATGCGGACCTCGTAACTCTTACCTTGTTTATTTTTTCTGGATCGTAGTGTCCCTCTGGAAATCTGAAGGCCTTGACCGCGACCTTATGTGTTGATCGATTAGTCGGCGTAAGCCAGTGCATGGTAAACGAGTCTAACACGTGGACTGACAAAGGCTGAACCATTTGCATTATAATTGCATTTCCAGACATCGCCATATCCACCTCCGCTAACGTGGTCTTGAGTTGTTCGAGTGATAAAGGGTGTTAAATCGTTTGGCAACTTGAAGTCCTCCGCCCTACACAGTAAGTTCAGTAAAGTAGATACTGCGTGTAGCACCGACAATGTGACCATACCCCATACCGCAGTTCCCTGTATTTATCCAATTGGCAGTCTCGTGAGTGGCGGTCAAAGGATGTGGGTCGATTTCAGTTGCTAGTACTCAGTCGTAGTAGGATGCGAGGATGGGCGGCTATATAATTCGGGTTAGCCATTGTTCTTGTTGAAGGTACCAAATATCCGCAACTTCAGCGTACGCCGTGAACCACTATAGGGTACTATGCATGCAGGTTTTAATAAAGTGTGCTATTCTCAACGGAGAATCATGTTATGTGCTACAGTGACGTCGTCGATTCATCCGTGACACAAGCCAGAGCAGACACAAGCCGTGTTGGTCTTGTTGTACTCCCGCCTACCTTCACTAGTACGATTTCATTATTTATCAGCTGGTTGATCAGTTTCTTGCCCGTGAATTTCTATCGCCTCCAGCGGTTTTGTATCGTATGCCAAAAATACAATCTATCTTGCAATGTGCTGAGCGATCGATATCGGTACGGATCATCTGGATAAGAGCAGCAAGGCTATCGATCTCAGTCTGGTTCTATCATGCCGATCGCCATCGACAACATGGGAATACACGTACGTGGAGCTTGCACCCATTTCTCCTCTCCTTGTCCACAACGTTCTTCCAAATTCTCTTTCCCATCACGGACGGAGAAGATTCAGGCTTGAAATGGCCCGAACTTGTTTGAAGCTCACAGGAATTCTTGGTCTCCAAGCTCCAGCACGGACCTCCCTGTGAAACAGCATTAGTTGGGCCCCGATCGACCCATCGTTTATCAGTCTGACTGAAATAGGCGATAAGTAGATCGAGAAAAGATGGTCTTCACAATAGGTCATACCCTTAGCCACAAGCCTCAGGGCAAACTCCGACCTGCTCCAACGGTGACTTCAAGCACGAGGCATTCGGGGCAACACGGAGTTCCGGAAAACCCCTTTCAGATCGTAAATATTAGGGCGTGAAGCACACAAACTTGCACTTGGTATGAGAAAAGATTGAGGAGTTTGGCGTTACGTAAGACGTTTGCAAAGTACAAGTGAAGCTAACATTGAGCTTGCTTGTCGGACTTCTAATTCTCTGAGTCTTGTCGTCGTAATAGACAACCACCAACGCCCCAAGCTCATCGTCCTCAAAAACTCTTTGACACCGCGAGTCGCATTTCACATGTGCACATCGCATTCATAGCTTCACTCTAGTAATACGGCTGCAGCAATGTCACGTTCAAGGTTAGTAATGCATGCATATGATAGGAGGCTCATGGCTATGCATGCGATACACCTCCCAACCTCGAATCACTCACTTCCTGTAGCTGCTTGATGATCGTCTTCTATTAGCACCAATGTCGGTCCGACTTCAAGTACCACCTATTCCGTTATCTCGATTCCGGCGACTACGACCTCCTTCAGATTCATCAACCTACCAAGACATTGTAGAAGTAGTCATCCTCCTTGAGAAGGTTTGCCTCCTACCCCTGTAAGTTGCGCCCCCTGTCAGTGGCATGATCTCCTACTGACTAGATCCAACGCACACAGCAATTATGAGAAAACTGCGCCAGAATATTGCCATCTCAGATTTCGAACCCATCCATACAAGGCTTGACCAGGTGAGTGAAACACTGGTTCGGATGATGGACGATTCCAGAGTTCACCGTCTAGAGTAACGGCTCGACTCCGATTCCATCAGGCAGAGGCTCCAACACATTGAGCAGACATTGTATCAACTAAGTGAGCGTCGACAGCGGCTCGGCCACCCAGAGCAGTCACCGAATGAAGACACGCACTGGGTATGACATTTTCGATACTTCGATAATCGCTGCTCAGGTCAATAAATGACAGGAACCATCCTTTCAACATATTCCGAACATCGATATACAACGTCTGATCCTGCTCAAGGCATCTGCTCGAGTCACTCTTTCAAGTGATTCGAACTGAATTTCGTACAGAGTGGACCAGTACTATGGATGGTTTATGGCAACGACTTCGAATCATGGTAATGGCACTCGTCGTTCCTGAGCTGATCGCTACATAGGCTATATCCTAGTTGCTCAGCGCTCGTTATGTTACAAGGCAGTTCAATGACTGGGGCTATTTCGATGTTCAACATCCCCAGGAGCTGTCTGAAAGTGAGTCGTGCTTTCTAGTATGTTCATGCGATCCAGTATGTACCTCCCTAGCTAACAAGCGTGCCGGAACATCTGTAGAGTAATATGAAGTTTCGCCCGACATCTTGTCTTGCATTCATGCCGTATCGAAGTTCCCACACAGTATTCTGAAAGTGAGTCATTCCACTTTGTTTTTTTCTGTAATTCCTAATCCTGACGCGGGATATGTGGGTACTGAGACTCTTGCGGGGCGACCTAAAACGTGGTTGAAGGCTTGTTTTTCAAAGCAACTTCAAGGTAAGTCTTCAAATCGTGTGTTCTTTTATGGCTCGTTTGCATCCGTAGATTATACATGGACTCATACAAACAACTTCTCTGCGCTCGTGGGTAGTTTCATACTCAACATGAACGAGGAACTCCACCACAGCTTGATGAAGCACTCGAGCTGCTGCCAGTGCGTGAATGGTGCATTGATGCCCTAACGACTGTGACTTCCTCGGCACCTCTGAAGATGATTGAAAATGCCTGTGGGAATCGTTGCAATCTTCGACTCAGTTTCTCAACTTGCCGCCTATAAGTATCCTCCGTAACGTCAGAGTTCTAGCATTTCGATGGCAGCACACGAGAACACCGGGGAAGGCATTGCTCCTGCGTTCGCCAGACCAACCGATGATACCCAGTCAAGGGTATCCTGGCGTTGGAAACAAAGGTGTGAATGTTCTCGTGCAGGGTGATGGAATGCGCAACGAGATAATTTTTTGCCATCCTTTCAGGGGAGTGCTTTTGGACCGTCTTTGACGTAGTGAGTCACTATGATATGCATGAAGGGCGCAAGACTAACACGAACAACCGCTCCAGGACTGCCAAGGAAGAGTCATGATCGGCTGAAAATTCTCACTGAACCAACGACCCAGTTTGATGGTAGTTGACCAAAGAAAAGGTAAATTAGATCCTGCCGTTGAACATGTGTTAGGTCTGGGTCATCACTATCAACTGCGTGAAAGGTGTCCATCGTTGACGTTATCAGAATAGACGCTCATATGCACGTATATATATACGTTTAGTTGGGCCTCATCAGACCCATTCTTGAGGCGCCAGCAAGCCTTCGATACTGTGGCGATCGACTTGAGGACACGGTGCGGTTCACAGAATGTGGATTTCTGTTGGACCGGCTGTAGTTTGGTTCTCTTGAGCTCAGTGACTGCCCAATCGAGAATCGGGGCGAAGTATTTATAAAAGTACTTCAATTGAAATTATGTAATTATATTTCGCTTGTCATGCTGCAAACATCAAGCAAGCCAAGCCACCTCATTAATCGGTACCCAATTGATGATTCAAGATTAAGTACTACCTTGAGATGACGCCCGCTAATAAAATACAAATAGTGAGCAAGATGCACGCGATACGCCCTAAAGTGACACCCAATAATGCACTTAGCAGTGCTTCTTTGCGACTTCCTCGTTGGAGTAATCCAAGCTGCACCTACAAGAAATACGACAAACACTACTACCAGCGACAGTTTTAAAGCCCCAACATTTACGACCAGAACCCTATGGACCATCATCTTCAGTTCCGTTCTCACTCTATTCGCGTGTATATACAATTCCATTCACGCCAATATTCCAAGTCCCAAGGACAGTCCTAATGGTATCCTACGGCGGCGACCTGGGATCATGGTAATGGCACTATTATTTCCTGAACTGATCGTCGCCTGGGCTATGCGCCAGTGGTTCGGAGCTCGTCATGTTACAAGACAGTTCAAGGATGCAGGGTATCCCAGGGTTCGTCCCGAGCAGGAGCAGTCTGAAGGTGAGTTGTGCTTTCGAAAACTCTGCATCTCACAACTCACTATGTACTATACATGTCAGTTCAAGCACACGAGCAACACGAAAATCGCTTCCTTCGCCTCCTTCCCGTAGTGTTTGCTAAAGGTGTATTGTCTGTACCAATGTTTCTTTGGCATTTCTCTGGTGCTCTTGCGAGGTCGGTTAAGGCTCATTTCTCAGAGCAATCTGATGGTACGCCCAATTTGTGCTCACTCAAACGTTGGCTCATGTGCATCCTTAGATTATACGTGGACTCAAACGCACAGCTTCTTTGTGCTGATGGGTGGTTTCATGATCTATGTGGATGAAAAACCATACCATACACCGCAGCCTGACGAGGTCCTCAAACTGATACGTGCCGGCTGTATCGATGCCCCTACCCTGACAGCAAAGCAGATCTACGACAGGAGCAAAGGCAATACGATATCAAAAGGACTGATCATGCTTCAGGTGGCCTGGTTTGTTATGCAGCTCGTCACCCGCGCCATTTATCACCTCGAAACCACCCAGCTCGAAGTGGGAACACTCGCTTTTGCGGTTCTCAATTTCCTCACATATGCTGTGTGGTGGAACAAGCCTCTCAATGTGAAATGTCCACATCCAGTGTACTGGAAGTCGAGCGATAGGCCAGAGAATCACATCGCTAAGTATGTACGCGCCTCAACAATTACACTGCTGCTAATGATGTCTGCTTTAGTGTCTGTGAAAGACACAAACGCGCTCAGCTCGGGATCTTCGTCGGCTCAATTGCAGAACTGATGGGCTTGCCTGAAATTTCCACGTCTCGAAAGCTCCGAGTCCCAATATTTGGTGGCAGCATCAAACTCGAAAATTCAGACCGGTCGGTTCTTCTGCTTGCCGCGTTGCTTATGGCAACCATATTTGGCGGCATCCATTGCATGGCTTGGTTTTTTACCTTCCCCACATGCCAGGAACAGGTGCTATGGCGCATGAGCGTCGTTGCTATAACTTGCACACCCTGGGTTAGTGTGCTCACTGTGTGGGTCTTTGCATTACTGGAACCACCAGATGTCGTGTCCAAAATGGTAGCAGCATTATATGCTATCTTGTACGCTACTAGATGTCCCATAGAGTTCGCGCATTTTCGAGAAAACATCTATAACTCTACAACACATTTACATAAAAATATGATTTTTCGATGGATGGATAGCCTGACCTTTAAAGTATGAGGCCCGCTAGTTTTTTCTTTTAAAATTGACGTGTTGAGTCCAGCGGAGACTTACCGCGCAGAAAAGTGCAGTTTTCCCTAGAGTTCGCGCATTTTGTCACACCATGTCACACGTCTGCCGCCATGCCTTTTCACACTCCGCACCGTTTGAAAGTCGTGCACCGCAGCGAAGTGTGAAGCATGCGCAATTAATGTTTATTGAACTGACTATGTGACAGTGAGATGATGATACATTGTGTGTACTAGCGTGCGCTTGAATAATGAGCTTAGGACTTTCTCTTGATGCTCTGAGAGCAACTGCTGGTGCCTGTGGGCCTCAGCAGGAGGCTTGTGAGCACCACGAAAACGGCCACGAAGAGTGCTCTCGGGGACACCATAATAAGTTGCTGTTTTTCTGATGTTTGGTGTGTTCCCAGCTTGCTGATCGTTCGTGAGCTTTGCACAGGCCTTCTGGATTTTTTCTTCTTGGGCCTGGCGCAGCTGTTTGGACTTGACCATGCAGCTGTTTAGGTGAGCACGGACTTCAATTTGACATTGGTGTTTTTGTGCCGCATTTCGGCACAGCGGAGTTTAGATGCATGCAGTCTCATTGTAACGCTTTGGATAGATTGTCACGTCTAGGTCGTATTTCATTCACAGAGGATAATTCTGACAAGCATGTGGCCACGGAGAAATTTATTTTAGCATTCTATAGTCATGTAGAACCATCATATCACATCCCAGATTTTTCCGTGGTGATCTGACCTTTCGAGGGAGTCATTTATGCACAAAACGAGCCTCGAACACCCATAACTCGACCATGGCACGAGATCCGCTTCATTTTTTGCCAAAAAAAATAGATGGCCATGTGTATGATGTTGATAGGAACCTTTGTATAACATATATAAGGATTTCGTGCAGAATTGCGTGTGCTAAAGCCAATGCGCGAACTCTAGGGACGCGCGAACTCGTGGGACTATCTAGTACAGCACGTGCTATTATCTTGGGACTTATGTTCACCACTTTACGAGATCTTCCTCCTGACGCACACAAGGCAGTGTCGTGGACTAGTTTAATGCCGCACTTATAATTCATGATCATGATACTTACTCGTGATACACTTCATGCTTTTGTAATGGTGTTCAGATGCGGGGTCGACAGCTAGGTACACGAATTGTTTCGCAACCGCTACAAACGACGCGATCATATGACCTGCATGTGTGGTATGACGCGAACCAAACAAATACTGCCCAAGTCTTGCTTGAACTTCCTTATCACCATGGACAGCAGTGAATAGGGATATTTGGTACACTGTGGCCGATGAAATGGACGACTGATATTGAACAGGTAGCATTTCCGATTGACGAGGCAGTTACCTTAGACGCAACCCGGCGTGCAGTGATCATCTCTATTACTCTGAGATCAATGCTCTGCCCGCGGACATTGTGTTTCTGAAAAGAATGGTGCGTGGCTTATTTGCCTATGATACCTACACACACTGACATCTTTAGAAATCAACCATTTGCGCTGGCAGACTTTCGATCCTCGTCATTTTTGACGAAGCACGCCTCACCATCGACGGCTGCAGATGGAGTGAAAGCCGGATTCTGGAGGACACGAGTGAGTGAGGATGGGATGATGGTTTTTGAGGTGGGGAGTCGAATATGAGAGTGTACGGTTGGCGTTTCTGGTTGATTTGATTTTTTATGAGCTGATACAGGGTACATATACATGGGCGCTCGTCGTGTCCGCTTCTTCCCTGTGCATCGTCCCCTATCTTTGCTTCTCTTTCCTTGCGTAACACCATAAGCTTACCGGCGACCAATTTCCCAGTGACGTGTCTTCCGGATAGCCGGCGTTCTGTATTGCTCGCGAAATGCTTATGTTCATGACCTGCCAAATTGTCAATTGTCTGCGAGGGCGTACAAGTTGTTTTTATTACCTACGTCCCCTGGCGTCGAGTCCTGGATCATCGACGAGACTTTCCGATTTCCTCCTTCCACTGCAAGATGACACCCAAAGCCCCAGGAGGCGCCTTGCCAACAGTTTTATCTTTGGGGATCAATATCGTTCTCGGCCCGCTCCATTTTAGCATGGCCTCAAACTCACTGTATTTTGGCTGATGGAACCTTGAAGATGATACATATAGTATACGCCGAAGCGGTGCAGACTCGGACATCAATGCACCAGCCAGGGCCTGATCCATTCATTCCTCACATGGCGCAATTATCTTGATGTACATGCAATGTATATGGTTGCTATGACCTTTCTGCTTGAGTTCCACTGCGCCCACATCGACAAATGGGAACACATTGTCCTCCCTATGCCCCAAACATGCTGTAGTCTTAATTCTATCGTGCATGCATGCCAACTTATAACCGATGTAATCTGCATTATCGATAAAAGTGGAAAGGCTGCAGGACCAGCGTCTATCGTGTCGACCAGCCACTAACAGCATGGAAATACACGGACGCGCAGCTTGCCCTGAACCCAACAGCTTATTGGAGATTTCTTGGTCTGTGAATGATCTCAGATTGTAGAATGGGCACAGATAACAGCTAATCAGGCAACAAGAACGAGAACGAAACCAAACGTACATTTGATGCGAAAGACAGTACGTCTGCACATACGGCTGGGTTGATTCGACTGCGATCGAGAGGATGTCGTGGATCTCGATCAGTACTCGATCAGTCTGAGCGTGGTTCGAGAAAGTGCCACATCTTGATACCAGGCCACGCCCTTAACCGCAAGTTGTTGGGGCCATTAAAGTCGAAGGGATGTATTGTGATATGTGACATGGGATTAGTTTCGCCCCGATCGATGAAGATTCTAGATCTCAGATCTTCCCTGTAAGAGTGTGGAACTTCCTGAGGGGCTTGGGATACGTGTCCTAGATATTGTCTGTAATATTGAAATCCACTGGTGCGTTTTGGTAGTGGATGCTACAGCTGATCTGGAGGCCCTCAAACTGTATTCATGGAGTTGTCAGGCGTGAAGCGTATGTCGATTGAGGACCGGGAGGATTATCGCGGGCACCAGAATTCACAGATAGTCAAAGGAAGTGAAGCACAAGTTTGAACCCATGATGTTCGGAGCCGATGAAGCGTTTGCTATGGTCAGTTGTTCGGAAGAACATGGTGGGTCGGGGCTGTTGGCTTTGGGAATCCTTCAACCGCTTTTGCACGCTCTCAGTATTATTCCAAGATGCTCAGTACTTACGCATCCTCGTCGATCCACAGAAGTATTTGTAGGCGAGCCATTCATAACCTTGCGAAGAAACTGACGGATTTGGAGTTTTGGACGGGCAAGGGTTGGCCCTAGATGATCGAGAACAGCCTGTCAGAATCAGAATATGAATTCCGCTAGGTGCATGTGAGCCTTGAACTGGTCAGTGTCCCTTGATTGATTGCAGTGTTGGGCGCTAGCAACTTGATCAACCCCTACTTCCAAGTTTCCATCCGCTTGCAAGCCATGCTGCAAACATCAGGCAAGTCAGGCCTCATTTGTACATCGTGCTGCCTTGAGATGACGCCCACCAGTAAAATACAAATAGTGAGTAGGATGCATACGATACCGTACCCCAAAATAATGCGCTTACTAGCACTTTGTGTCTTATTTTACCTTGTTGGAGTAATCCGAGCTGTACCTACCAATACAACAAATACTACTACGAGCGACAATTTTGAAGCCCCAACATTCACGACTAGAACCATATGGTCCATCATCTCCACCTCCGTTCTCACTCTATTTGCATGCATATACACTGCCATTCATCCTAACATTCCAAGTCCCAAGGACAGCCCCCTTCGCATCCTATGGCGGCGATTTGGGATCATGATAATGGCACTCATCGTCCCTGAACTTATCGTCACATGGGCTATGCGTCAATGGTGCAGTGCTCGCGATGTTACAAGACAGTTCAAGGAGTCGGGATGTTTCAAGGTTTCTGAGCCGCAGGAGCAGTCTGAAAGTGAATCATTCTTTCTGAAACTGGATATGTTCGTCGACAACTCACTATGCCCGTCCTTAGATCATAGGTCTATCGCAGCAACTGCAGAGCAATATGTTGAAGGTCAGCTCGACATTCTGTTTTGCACCCCGAATACGCTTCCTGATGACTTGCCTGCTTTTCAAGATCATGATAGCCCCCGGCTTCTCGTGGCGCACCCCGAAGGTAAACCGTCATCTGTACTGGTGTTCCTTCGGCAGTTCATATTACTCCAGCGCCCACCCCAAGATATGGATGGACTCGTGCTCTTGCGAAGCCATTTAAAAAGGTGCTTAAGGTTTATGTTTCAGAGCAATCTGAAGGTAAGCCTGATTCGTGCTCACCTAAACGTCGAATCATGTGCATTCTTAGATTATACGTGGACTCAGACGCACAGCTTCTTTGTGCTGATGGGTGGTTTCATGCTTTATGTGGACGGGCAACCCTACCGTACACTAGAGCCTAATCACATTCTCAAACTGATACATGAAGAGTGTATAGATGTTCCTATCCTAACGGCAAAGCGGATCCATGACAAAAGCAAAGGCAATGCGATATCGAAAGGATTGGTCTTGCTTCAGGTGGCCTGGTTTATTATGCAGCTCATCACCCGCGCCATCTATCACCTCGAAACCACCCAGCTGGAAGTGGGGACACTCGCTTTTGCGGTCCTCAATTTCCTCACCTATGCTGTGTGGTGGAATAAGCCTCTCGATGTGCAATGTCCGTATCCAGTGTACTGGAAGTCGACCGGGTCAAGGCCAGGGAATCATATTGCTAAGTATGTATGCACCTCAACCATTATACCGCTGCTGATTATGTCTGCCTTAGTGTCACTGAAGGAAGCCAACTCGTTGAATTGTGGATCCTGACTTCGGTCTTCCGTCCAATTCCAGAACTGATATTCGGTGCTCCATCTCAAAAGCTCCGAGTTCCAACATTCGATGGCAGCGGCGGACTCAAAGGGTCAGACATTGCAGTTCTTTTCCTTGCTGGATTTCTTATGGCACCCATATTTGGCGGCATCCATTGTATGGCTTGGTTTTTTGCCTTTCCCACATACCAGGAACAGGTGCTATGGCGCACGAGTGCCGTCGCTATAACTTGCACACCCTGGCTTGGTTTCCTCGCTCCACCTCTCCTTACAGCACTGGATACACCAGATGCGGTGACCACCTCGTACTTTGTATTATGTGTCATGTCCTACGTCGTAGCACGTGCCGTTCTCCTGGTACTCATGTTCACCACTTTACGCAATCTTCCTCCTGACGCATACAAGGCGGTGTCGTGGACTAGTTTGGTGCCGCACTTGTAATTCTTGATCATGATACTTAAGCTTGCGATACACTTCACACTTAATGATATTCAAATGCGGCATTCTTGTGGTTGACGACGGTACACAAGTTGTTTCGTGCTATGAATGACGCGATCACATGACCTGCATGACACGAACCAAACCAAACACTGCCCAAGTCTTGCTTGAACTTACTCATCAGTGTTATCACCTGGACGACAGCGAAATAGGGCCATTTGGTATGCTGCGACTGATTAAACGGACGTCGACAGAACAGGTAGCAGCATTCCAAATTGACTAGGAGACGGTTACCTTTGGGACGCGACCGGATGTGCAGTGTGCGCCTCTATTATCCAGAGATCAATGCTCTGTACGTGGAAATTGTGTTTCTGGAAAGAAAGGTGCGTGGATTATTTGCCTATAATACATACACTGATGCCTAAATAAATAAACTATGTACGTTGGCAGGCTTTCACGCCTTAATCGATGGTTGTGAAAGGAGTCAAGGTTCAGGGATGAGAATGTAGGGGCCGTGTTCGGAACGATGCTATGAGTGAGAAGGCGAACATTCAAGGTGAGTGCATTCTTTTTTCTTTTCTGAAGCTGGGACTTCGGATATGAGGATGATATGGGAGTGTATGAATGGCATCTGGAATTGATTTGAGCTTTTACAAATCGTATACTCAGGCGCATGGGAGCTTACTACATTTGCTTAGATCCATCCTGGCACATCCCATGCTTCTCCTCGCCTTGCTTTCCTTGCGCAACGCCATAACCTTACTGGTGACCCATCATTGGATGGGACTTCTCGAATCCTTCGTCTCGCTTAATCCCCCCCCCCCTTTCCCACCATTTCTCTCCCGTGATATATCTTCCAACTAATTTCCATTCTATAGGCCATCCAAGAGCGCCGCAAATCAGCGCTCACTACCCGACCCCTTCTTTACACAGGCGTCAAAGCTCAAACGGTTATCCGTCGCACCTCCTACACCCTCCGCCCCGAGTGAGGGAAACACGCTACGGAAATGCTTTCCTTGCTAGACTTTGCTATCCGCACTGTTGGCGAGTGTCGTGCATCTCCCACAAGGTCAGGCAAGAGAAGCATGTCGCCAACCAAATTCGGGGGGAGAAGTCCATCGTTCACCAAGGACGGGGAAAGAAGGGTCCTTACGAAAGTCCCCGCCAACTTACGCCCCTAATTTCTTATAAAGTTCTTCAGTTCCTGCAAATTATTTGAAGCGCCTGTAAGGGCATACACGCCTTCGGGCATCCTCCATCACCTTTGATGGCCCGCTGACGCTACAGAGTGAGGAAGACCATGAGGATACGCCGAGTTTGTTGGATAGGATGAAGCGGCATATGGTGAGTCGCGACACACTTACTGATTGAGCATAGCAGATGCACCTGCGAAGGACGAAATCTTAATCTTTGGCAAAACTGCCTCAGGAGAAAGTTCAGTCGTCAATGCAATTGCGCAAGAACTGCTCAGGGAGACCTCTTGACGATGCAACAGGATACACTTGTACCTCTGAACACAACCCAGTTGAGTCACGGCCCGAGCTTCCACTGACTACATAATTTGGCCACAGCATACTTTAGAAGAGTGCGCGGGGACTACCGTCAGACAACTGTTGACGACCTCGTGAAAGCGCAGCTGTATCTACACAAGGTGTGCAGTGCAGCCACAGCTGGGACAGGTAAAAAAGTAGAGCCTCGGGCTATCTCGGACCCCAAACCCATTCATACAAGGTTGGATCGGATGAATGAAACACTTGTTCAGATGATGAACGATTCCAGGATTCACCGTGACCGTCTGGACTCGGAGCGACGGCTTGACTCTAATTCTGTTGGACAGAGGCTCCAACACATGGAGCAGACATTGGAACCTCAAGCAAGCGAGCATCGACAGCGGTTCGGCCATCCAGAGTGGTCACTGATTGAAAATATGCACTTGGTACGATAATTTCGATACTTGAATAATCGTTGCTCATGTCAAAAACATAGTTATATGACAGGAACCATCCTTTCAACGACTTACCGCTGTACCAACCGATCCCGATCTGGTGGAAGAATGCAGATCGAAACCCGGAGCTCGTTGGTATTTATATCGTTTGTTATTCACATCAATGTCATATTCTCGATAGTTTGGATTGCCACCTTCACGCACGAACAACGACTTCAACAACCTTACCGATACGTACTGAATTGACCAATTGTCTTTATTTTTACAAAGTCGACATTGATTATCGAAGTACTAGGGAAACGAAAATTCATTGCCTCCGATCCTTCATTATCGGTTGTTTGGTGAGTGTTTTAGATGTGTGTTTTTGTCACGCTGCGTTGACGACATCGACGTTAGAAGTTCCGGTTTGCTACGATCTGAACTAGTGTTAAGTTCTACCACACAATCTACACTTATAATAACATGTACATCAAACAAAAATGACTAAACGATCCAGTTCAAACCAAACATCGACCATGACTACTCGGATATCCAAGGGATTGATTATGGAGCGTTATGAGCGATGATACTGTTGGAGAAGTAGGTCGCCATTAGCACCTCATCAGTATCACAAAACTTAGGCGAGAATACATCGGTTTCCTGATGGACCATCTCACCCATTGCGTTCTGCGCCAGCTTCTTATTGGCCCTGCAGTGCTTTTTTTGAGCAGCGAGTTACAGCAGGGTGAACGCGGAAGGTAGGAGGCTAGGAGCACAGCGAGTCCAATATGCTCTCCCTGTTTGGGCATTCCGCTTAAATCCTTTTCCCTCTCAATTGATTGGCAATGGGGTTTTCAACGGGCGTGGGCTGATGTTGACGTCAGGGAGTGGAACTGTAGCCATGTCGGAGCCTGTGAAGTAGGCTGCTGCTGTTGCGATGAGCTTCCCATGCGTCATGACTACTGTTTTGGCCTCCTGGGGAAGAGTCTGAGCGAGTTCCGGAATATATAAGGCTGACTTACCTGTCCGGGTGCTCGAAGTGTAGTGTGTTGGCATTTTAACAGTAGAGGTTTGAGGAAGCCACAATATTTGTGGTATAGATTATCACTTCAAGACACGCGAGGCTAATTGCAGCCTGAATCAAATGCCACTCTAAGTTACTGAGCTAAAAATTGGCTGGAGTGGGACCATTGTGCTTAGCCGATGCAGTCAAGCGCGTTCGAGGGAGTCAAGTTCGCGTTCGGACCAGGTTCGAACCTAGAACATGCGTAAAATGCGCCTGGTGACTGATTTAATGATGCAGATTTAGAGGTATGAAAAGGGCTCACTGTATTCGTTTCGTTGATTGTACCAGTAGCTCTGAAGTGTTTCTTGCGGGACTGATAGTTGGGCTTTCATGTAGATGTGATCGATCCATCTGCCTTGTACCTACGCGATGAATACGGAAGTTATGAGCGGGAGTTGACAACGAATACCAAGAATACCATCATGATTCATATATGGTCAAGTAGACGTGATCGTGAATTTCGCGATCACATGACTTGCACGTGCAGCTTGACGCGAACTGAACAAACCAACTTTAAGTTTGCCTTGCTTGAACTCAACTCTGTCCCAGTCTTGCTTCAACTTGCTCATCATGGATGGCAGCGAAATAGGGCTGTTTGGTTCGCTACGGCTCATGAAGCGGATGACTGATGAGCAGGTAGCAGCATTCCCAATCGATGAGGAGACGGTTACCTTTGGACGCGACCCGACATGCAGTGTGCGCCTCTATTATCCAGAGATCAGTGCCCTCCATGCAAAAATTGTCTTCCAGGAAAGAAAGGTGCGTGTATTGTTAATCTAAAATTTCTGAACTTCTAGAACTCGCTAGCAGGCCTTTCTCGTCGTTCTTGGCGACGCAGGCCTGACCATCGATGGCTGCCCTGTGTTCCCATCCACTAACGCCTCCCTTCCCACAACAATTCCCGTCTCTAACAACTGTGAAATCGAAATCTACAAGAAACGTTTCATATTCTCCTACCCGCCCAAGCAGCTCCGTTCTCCGCTATACAATATCGATTCACCAGCCAAGGCTGAAAATAGAGGCGGCAGCGGACGGAGAAAATTACGAATGAGCATGATCCACAGCGCCCAAGTATTCACTCCTCGTGGAAAACCCTCTTCAGATCCACTCGCAAACCTCCGCATTCTCCAGAGCCCACTCAAGCAGCTCGTGCCATCCCCGCGCAAGCCTTCTACCCTGAAGAACTCCCACGTCCCAGAACCAGACGAAATAGAGGAAGAAATCGTGCTTGTGGAGTCTAACACTCCACATGTCGTACAGGAGGATAAGGACCTTGTCATCCTCGAGCGTGTCGATGTTCAAGACCCTCCTCCGCCCACCCCACCTGTGCAAAGGCCAAGACCAAGTATGAACATATACAAAACTCCGAACAAGCGTACTCGCCCCTCGCTACACCGTGCTGTCCTGATTCGCAGTGTACATCGTGCCGTCATGGCGCGCGAGGAAGAGGAAGAAGAGAAAGAAGTTGAAGAGGTGGTTGTAGGTGAAGCGACGGTGGAAGAGGGCGAGGAGCATGAAAATGATAACGACGAAGAATTTAATGATGAACATGATGGAAGTGCAGGAAACGAGCATGGAGAATCTGACGATGATGGAAATGGCGCAGACTTAGACACCATTGAGGAGCCTACTCCTCAACCAAGCACATGGCGCAAATCTCTCAATGCTGTGCGTGCACACGTTGTATGGCCTTTCCGCTCGAGTTCCACTGCGCCCGAAGAAAACGACGACGACAAGCAAGATGAACACGATGACGAAGAGGACGAGGTAAGTTTCTCCTTTGTTTCTCTTCGTCATACTAACTACGAACTATCAGTACGCTCAAATGGACACAGACCAGGACGCACAGCCCCCGCCCCCATCCTCCTCTCCACCACCTACTTACACCACACCCCAAGCCCAACCACACCTCACACCTGCAAAAGCCCCCCGACCTCTAGGTTCATTTATGACGCCTCAAGTATCATACCCACACTCAGGCATTGACATTGGAATCGGCCGCGGTGCAGGACGCAACTCCTTTGGCGGAGCGTTGCGCGTACCATTACCTCCTGGGGTGTCCGCACTTGCACCATCTGGTCCTGTACAGACATGGGGAGGTGCGAAGAGAGTGCGCGTCGAGCAGAAGTGGCGCATCGGGGATATTGAGGTGCGAGATACGGAGGAGGTGAAGGAAGAGGAGAAAGCAGGGACGGGATTGGGGAGGATGCGGGTGAGTGAGGAGGAGAAGAAGGTGAGTACATGCATTTACTTTTACTTTTCTGGAGCTTGGGAAGTTGGGAAATAGCATGGAGGCAGCAGTCTGGGTTTCATTTGGAATGGCTTCTCTATGAGCTCGGACTGTTGTGATACAGGGTATATATATGCATCGCGTTTGCCGCTTCCTGCATGTCCCTCGTCTCTGTCGACCTTTTTTTCTTCCTTGTGCCATTTCTCTCCCCATGACGCGTCCTCCAACTAACCACCAACCCACAGGCCATCCAAGAACGCCGTAAATCAGCGCTCACTACACCCGACCCTTTCTTTGCACAGGTGCCAGGGCTGCGACGGCAGTCTGTCGCACCCAACACACCCTCTGCCCCGAGTGGTGGCAACACGCTACGGAAACTGCCATCCCTGCTAGATTCTGCCGTCCGCACCGTCGGTGAGCGCAGTACATCTCCCACCAAGTCAGGCGAGAGGAGCGTATCGCCGGCCAAATTCGGAGGGAGAAGTATATCGCCCACTAAGTTCGGAGAGAGGAGTGTGTCCCCTACGAAGCTCTTCTCTTCCCCTGTGAAATCGTTTGAAACGCCTGCGAAGGCGTACACGCCTTTCGGGCGCCCTCCATCGCCTTTGAAGGCACCGCTGACACCACATAGTGAAGAAGATGAGGAGGACACGCGGAGTTTGTTGGATCGGATGAAGCGAACTGTGGAAGGGATGAAACGGCGTAGGAGTGTGGGCCCGTCTGGGGAAGATGAGCGTGAGTATGAGGAGGATGGCGAGGATGAAGTCACATCGGGCGCTGAGCAGTGTATGGATGTCGAGGAGAATGCAGAAGAAGACATCGGCGAGGAACAACAAACAGATGAGGAAGAAGAAAACAGCGATAAAGAGAACGGCCTTGCATCCTCGCTCCGGGAACCCCAATCCTCTTCACACCCCGAGCCTGGCCTCGGGATGACTGACCCATCCGAACACATGCCTGCACCTCTCTCGCCCACGCGCATCGCGCTTGACCTTGATCTCGAACTGGAGAGGACGCCACTACCCCAGCTCACGCGTCCCACCTCCCGCCCGCAGCGAAAGAATGCACCGTCGTTTGCGGGGCCGCAGACACCTGCCCTCGCGTCACTCAAGCATCTCTTCCCTCCACCAGCACCGGTGCCAAGTACGCCAGCAGTGAAGAGCATGCGTTCGCTGTTCCGCGGGGCTGGTAATGGTATCGGGGTGGCGATGGCAAAGGATATGTTGGAGGGTGTTGGAGAGATGATGATCACACCTGAGGGGTATCGAGTGCGTGTCGAGGACGTGGATGAACTGGAGGGTATGATGGAACGGGAGGAGCAAGCACACAGGAGAGAGACGGAGGAGCCACGCAAACCTACAAGAACTGCCTCCCGCAAGACCCCCGTTCCTGTTACTTCTGGTCCCGGGCCCACCACAACAGCGATTCGTCGCCGCACGAGAACTACTACGAGCTCGGGGGCTCCTGTCTCCAAGGAGAAAGTGCCATCGACTTCCAAGACTGTTTCTCGTGTGGAGACGGTAGTTACAAAAAGGGTACCAATCGCACCTCCAAAACGTGCAGAGAAAGAAAAGGTAAAAATGCCAGAACCTGCACCACAGCCAGCAGCCGAACCACGTGCAGAAGACAAAGCAGAGGAAGACGGAATTAAGGAGATTCCGCCTCAGCCCGCCGCACAAATGAAACCTGCAAGAGCGCGTCTGCTTCGTGCGCGCAAAGGGGTCGCAGCTGATAACTCGGTATGCATCCTCTTGATAGACGGTCTTGTGAATAATTAATCATAAGTTGTTATTTAGGACGAAGAGCCTGCTGCTGCACCAAGAATGCGAGATGCCAGTACTGAGCCTAGGATGCGTGCTGCTAGTACTGAGCCTAGGGCTCGTGTGACTACTACCACAACAGCAAGAAAAACTAAAATGGACGTTGAAACGGTACGTACCTTTTCTTCCTTTCTCCCATCGCAATTCCATATCTCATCTCACTTCCGTAGGCCCCCAAAACCCGGGCGGCCCGCAGCCGTGCCACCCCCGTCCCAGTTGCTCGATCTGAGCTTGCGAAGGCACGCCCACGAGTTCCTGCGAAGCCAAAGACCGCAACCACGACAACCCGTGCCCCCTCACGGAGTAAAATGCGTAGCACGGAAGACGACGACGATGCTGATGGGGATGACCCCCTTGATTCGATCACGCAGCCTGAAGCCCCGGCTCCCATACAGAGGGCGAGACGCACGCGAGCAGTGACTGCACCTGTGAAAGAGGAGGACATCGATGTTCCGGTTCCTGGGAAGGCGAAGAGCACAACAACGACCCGCAGACGTGCGGTGACGGCTGTAGATAAGGAAAATACTCCGTCGAGTTCGAAGGAGGATGAGGGTGAGCGGAAGAAGGAGGTGGAGGTGAAGCGCACGACACGGGCGACGAGGTCACGAACGTAAGGTTGTGTTGAGTGGACTTTGTTTGTTATCTGTTCTGAACTTCTCTGCCAAACGATTGTAATCACCCTACTACGTACGTTAAGTGTTCGGGTGATATGTGTACTACTATAGTATGCGATCCTAGGATGAACACGCTACCGCTGGCTATACTGACTTTCTACCGACTCAGCTCTCGTCTAGGCTCTGGAGTACTTGTGAGTATGTCATGCGCCGTCTGCCAGAAATATCTAATACATCTACTTTCTCCCACTCGTCCTCGTCGGTATCGCTACCTGAGTTATCATTGATGGGTATAACTTTGGGATTCGAATCAAGGATCTCAAAGTCCCCCAGTCGGCTCTTGGCTGTGATTGAGTTCAGTCAGCGCCTTGTTCTCAGGTTATGATGAATATAATGCGCTTTACCTTTGCGCTGGCGCTTGGAGGGTAAAAATTGCGCGCCATCAAAGAGGGAAAACGTTGTGCTAAATGGGACAGGGGGAAAAGCCTCTGATACGTCGTATTCCTCAGCGTCGTGAACGTTATCGACCGAACAACCGTCGACCGCGGCTGCGCAAATGTAGCCCCTGCCTTTCCAAGTAGAACCATCCCCACGTCCTGGATTTCGACGTAGGATAGTTCCATTACTGCGTTTGCGGGAATGCTGTGACATGGCGTATAGTGGTGAGCGTCTGTCAGTGGGAAATGATTATGGCATACCTTTTTCTCCCATGCCTTGGCGCTGAGAGATGGCATGTCTGTGTGGTGTTTGAGAGGGGGAAAAGTTGGCGTGTTAGTCTGAGTAAGGGGGCTTCTCAAGACTTTTATGTTTGAGAAAACGAGTCAATAGCTTGACTGACTTTGACTAATGCGGAGAGCATGTTTGATTTGTGTTCACGTCAAGGAGCCGAACCCGAGTGATGTGTGAGTCATTGGCTCACGGAAGCGATGACTACCGTGACTGTCGACTCATCGTTGGTCACTATTGGATGTGAATCTACACAGGATGACAATCGCTTTAGGAGCAGTGTAAAATAAATGAACAGGGAAAACCGACAATCTAATTAACAATCTCCGGTTTTTTCGCTGACAGGGTCAGGTGATGTGTTGCGACCGGCGGAAAACTCGATGACACGAGTATCCCGAATGCGAGTGGGCTTGCGGCTATTGAGTCTGTGTTTGCATTAGCTCTCAGAGGCCCTAGTTGACCCGCCTGAGGAGAGTGACTCACGCGGCCAGGAGTGAATTTGTATAAACTATTTTGAAATTAACCAACATACGTAAATTAAGATGTGAAAAGCAATGCTTACCATCAGCCAGAACGTCGTAAATAGCAGTCCATAAGACTAAAGTGGAAAGGTTTAGATATGATTCCATAGCTACGACGGACTGCCTCACAAGTATTTCTCATGGCACAAAACTGTTGACATTAGCAGTGCTCATCGCAATCGTAATTGAAGGGACTCACGAAGACAATAACTAAGACAGCAGACATGCTGAGAATATCGAACCCATGGTCAAGCCTTCATATGTGAAGTTTACTCACCTAGTGGCGAGACCAGTTTCAATTGCCCAAAGAGTTAGACGGTCAGCGATATTTTGTGTTCTAGATGGGTATCGTTTAGAGAAGAGAGACTATGAGACGGTGCAGCTCACTGGTGAACTTTGGTCCGTCTGCGTTCACGCTGCAGGACATACACCAGACCAATCGTAGTTATCAGATCGCAAACAGCGGCTGCAACGAGAGTCAGGATTGTCAACCAATTTCGTGTGTTTTGCGCTGTTCTGTTTGCGGAACCGCTCAGTGCCTCGACTGCATCCACCAAAGTGCCGGTAAGATTCAATATGCTGAGAATGCCACAAAATGCGGCAACCGTCTTGCTTCCTGAGAATTTGAACAATCTGTAAATGAAAAACATCTGCGCAATTAAGTTGAATGGGGCCGTGCTTGAATCGATCGTTATCTACCTGAACAAGAGTGCTAATCAGGGGTGTCAGGATGAGATTTGCGTCCCGAGAGCTGGAGAATATGGTTACACTGTCAGGATTCTCGCAACCTTTAACGGTCAGGGTCCATGTCCAATACATGATGCAGATGATATGCGCAAATGTCAACATCCTGGGATGAATCAGACCTTGAGATCGATGTTGAGATGTATTTATACATACATCACGGCTGCCACCTGCTTACAACATTAGCTTTGACTACAACCAAGGCAGACATAACGCACCAGAATTTGAAATATCCTTCTGTCACCTGGAAAGCGCTTATAGTAAGTGTGTGTTTGCATCGTCGAGCAACCAAATAGGTAGCTGGCGATCATTGATCCAACCACCGCTGGTCCAATAGTTATTGCTGTTTCAGACATTCGGAAGGCAATCTTAGTGCATTAGATTGACCTAGATTATATATTCATGTGAGCCTCGCATGCTGTGCGTAAGTCACAATAGCATAAGGACTCGGCGAGGCGTTAATCTGTCACCGAGTACTTGGGCGCGCTATCAGCATACTATCAGTCTGAATATGTTGACAACCTACTGAGCTCCGCACCACAGCAGCGATAGGATCCATCAAAAAGTAGTGTCAGGAACGAAGATGTTACCTCGCATTCTTTCAAGTTTGACCAAAAAGAGTCAAGACGAATTTAATTTTAACTCATAGTAGTCAGCGCTCAGCTTTGCTATGTAGCCAAGCCAATTCGTGGCTGTTGCTTGGCGTTACCTCAAGAAGCCTAGGGGATAAGATTTGAATGAACCAACGGGAAACCCCTCAACGCTACTGTACTTGACCACGACACCTGGTCATATCGCGACTCAGCCAACCGACTCTTCAAGACTACGTGGATCGCCCGTGACACGCCGCCACAATTGCAAAGTGAGCAACCTTGTCTGATTGGACCGTGAACGCGTGACACCCGAGCAAGATAGCAACCAGGAGTGACATAAGGTGCCTGTCATATGTCGGAATAGCGTAGCTCTGAGAGACTAGCTCAAACTGGGGTTCAAACTTTCGCGGGAGGAATTTCGACTTGGCCATCAGTGGGGCTGATTTGCAACTGCAGATTTGATATCCATGATGTACAGCGAGGTGCCAAGAATGGACAGGTTGCAGCAGGAGATAATGGGCACTAGTAGTAAACGAGCAGCGCCACTGGGAAGATGGCACCGCAGCGAAAAAGTAGTTTTAGTCATTCTTAAATCTTGTAGCGAATTTTTCTTATTTCTACGACGTACCTATACTTCGCAACAGAGCCCCTGTTATGCGTTACGGTGGGGTAAATTAGCACCGCAACCAAGGTCCTGCGATGCACGATATTACGGTTGCGTCCATACAGACTCGTGGAGTACTATCTCTGGCCCAGAGTTGCAAAATGTTCCGAGCAGTTTTTCATAACACAACAACTACACAACATTAAAATAAGGAAACAGTAGGAGTACGTAGGATTTTATACAGACTTTAAGGCTATGTAAAAAAAAATCAAGAAATTTGTCAAGGCTACGTTGCCAGAGAGAAGCCGGTGCGAAACAGCGTTTGAGCACAGAGTTGCAAAATTTCCCACCCGCATAGAAGTCATCGTGTCACACTATGTCACGCTGCAGTTTTAATTCTCCGATGAACGAAATCGGCGCATTTGACAAGGATTCCGAAGGCTTTCGTTCAGCATTGAAACTCGTATTTCTAACATAAAAGTATGCTTTTGTACTGTAAGGTATTAACTAGATAGGTATAATATATTATGGGTGACGTTCGAGAAAGCCTCTGACCCACTTCTCGTGAGGCTTAGTTTTGCCATGACACAATACAGCTGCCTTGCTTCAAATTGTGCGCTTGCTGAGTGGATGCCCCATGGAGCTGAGTAATTTGATCCAGTCAACAAGCACATTTTCCAATTCCAGTGATAGGAGCTGTTGCTCAATATGAGCCTTGTGGTATGACTGACTCTTGCCAAGATACTGCTGCCGAAGGGTGTTGTATGGGACTTTGTGCTCTGTTGCAACAGTGCAAATGTTAGGAGAAGGAGAAGCATGTAGAATAGTGCAGGCATGTTGAATCTTATCTTCAAGCTCTTGAGAAAACTTGGAGGGTCAGTTTCTCTTTGGCATGTGACCAGCACTGCAAGACTGTTCACAGATATGAGTGCGTGCACATGTGTTAGCCGAGTTCCCGAGTGGTGCTTTACAACTCCAAACACAAGCTCACCCCTCCTGTGTTACGGCGAACTAGGATGGGCTCGACGACAGGTACTTGATAAGAGTACACCTGAAGCCGGATCGTGTCCTTACAAATGTAAGGTTCTTAAGACAAGTCAGAGAGTGTCTCTGACTTGAATATTGGTTATCAGACGACTTAGGATTGGGGGTCCTAAGCAAAGGATAGTTCTGGTAAGACCTAGTAGATTTAAAGTGAAGTCTATCTAAGTACATGACCGGCTTTATATAGATGTGGGTCCTTTAGGGCAGGTACGTACATGTCATCAGTTGAGTCAGAGATAAGGAAGTGAGTCATAGATAAGAAGATGAGTCAGAGATAAGGGAGTGAGTCATCTAGCGACAGCATGTGGTGGTCATGATGTAATACAGATATAGAAGGCGGTTAGTCTAATGATGGCACAGCAAGGTGCAGTCATGACGTAATACACAAGTAAGAGGAAAAAGAGATAGGGGGTAACCACGATTGTAACATTACCCCTCATTTAAGGATGAAGTCACCAACTTCAGTTATCCTGATTAGCCCAGTAGATGGGGTCTGCATTGTAGTTGGAATAGAGCAGGTTGTCCTGCTCCTTGGTGATGGAGGTCTGCGCCATCTCGGCGGCGTGGGCGATAGCATCTTGCTCAATCTCCCATCGAGTGAGAGCGTCATAGAAACTGATGTCAGTCCATACCAAAGGAATGACCACTTCTCCTTTCAACTCTCTACAAAAGACCGATAGGTGGCCGGGTGCGTATTCCTTGCAAACTCTGCAATAATATGCAGGGCAGTTTTTGTGACGATGTCCGGCGACGTGGCAATTGCGGCATACAACGTTGTCGACCAGCGACATTTTTACGACTGTGACAGAAGAGGACTGTTCTGGGGGAGAAGGTGATCTTGATCGTTTGAGTGGTGCTTTAGCAGGGGAGATGGAGGCAGCTCGTTTAGCGGCGAGACGTGAGGATCTTTGTTTAAGTGGGAGTTGTTGTGTAGTACGCGTGATGGGGTTAGGAGAAGGAGAAGTTGGTACGTCGAGTACAGCAATAGGAGGGATATTATCATCCTGATGCTCCACAGTAGTCATAGCAGGAGCTGGCGGTGGTACAGGAATGGCGATGTGAGGGGATGGTGGTCGCGCAACAGGGTTGAGGGTGATGCGCTCGGTGACGATATGAATGGCTTCTCTAATAGCATCTCTAGTTTCTTCAGGCAAGAGATGTATCGCAGTATTGCAAATACGTATGTGAAGATGGCGGAAAATGGTTTGATGGCACTCATCATCAAGGAGAGTGGCGGTACGGTCAATAAGACTGGCGTCTCTAATAATCCTGATAATAAGGCCACTAGATATTGCACCCCGTTCTCCAAGGAGACGGTCTATTTCTATGGCATACTGCTGAGAGGTGATAGCGGATTCGAACAAGGCGCTAGTTTCTACCTGGTCAATGACCGAGAAGTAGTTGGTGAGGACGGAATTGTCGGTGAGGGTTAGGGTAGAGTTGGAGGCTGGTGGTGAGGTTACGGGGGATGATGCGTGCTGGGCAAGGTTGGCGGCGGTAATGTTTTGATAATCAAGGAGTGTCAAAGGATGAGCATTTCCTTCAGTGATGGTGTTCATGGCAGTGGTAAGTTCTTCAATGTGAAGGATACAGAGACGTAGTTGTTCGATGTGGGACATTGTTAGAAAATCTATAGCCCATGGGCTTTCTTATAGGCGGTGAGGATGTTGGAGGCATTAGTGAGATTTCCTTCTGGAACCCATTCATTGCTGGCGGAGGAATATCCTTTCCAGGATACGAGATAGCGTCTTCGTTTACCCGTCCCTTTGTGTGATAAGATCGCATCTATTTCATATTCTTCTTCATTATCGATGATGTCAGGAGGTGGGTCGTGGAAGTTCAGCCTGTGAACCTCTGTTTCATGATAGGATGATAGCTCAGAAGCATGGAATGTGGGGTGAACTTTCCATTGTGGAGGTAACTGGAGTGTGAACATGATGGGGGAGAGAACGGCGGTAATCGGGAATGGGCCATATCGTTTGGGCGCAAGCTTCCACGATGGTAGCTGAGTGATTAGATTCTTCCCAGATAACCAAACCTTATCTCCTACTTTCCACAGATGGTACTTCTGTCTTTGAGTTCGTTCAGCCATTTGCTGCATAGCGAGATTGTGGCATGAGAGGGCCTCTTCTCTGGACTTCTGGAGAAAGAGGAGTCTATCTTCTGCTACGGGGATGGTAGAGTTGGGGAGAGTATGAGGAAGGGCTTGTGGCTCATAGCCCATCATTAAGAAGAAAGGTGACGCGTTGCGGGAATCATGTTTTCGGTGATTATGCACAAATTCCGCCATAGGAAGATGTTCAACCCAATCTTCTGGGTGATTCTGACAGTAGATTCGAAGGTACGTCTCGAGCTCCTGGTTGAGTCGTTCGGTCTGGCCATCGGTCTGAGGATGATAAGCGGTGGATGCCGCTATGTCGTATTTCAAGAGCTTGGCGAGGGCTTGTGAGAACTTAGATACGAATTGTGGCCTGCGATCAGAAATGACTTTTTCATGCAGGCCAAATCATCGGTAGATGTATTTGAAGAATTTCTTGGCGACTCCTTCTGACATGATGGTTTTAGTGCAAGGGATAAGAATTACCCCCTTCGTAAGGCCATGGTCAACCACGACCATCACAGAATCAAAACTAGCGCAGGGGGGAAGATCAGTGATCAGATCAACAGAAACCTGCGTGAAGGGAGCTGCGGCGACAGATGGAATGGGGACCAAGGGAGGGGTTGGTGGGTGAGTGTTGGATTTCATCTGCTGACAAAGGGTGCAACCCTCCATGTATTTACGGATATAGGTGCCCATGGAGGGCCACCAAAAGTCCCGTTTGACCAATTCTTCTGTTTTAAAACGACCGGGGTGACCGGCAGTGGGATGGTCATGACATCGTTCTAGAATAAGACGCCGCCCAGCAGGATGGACATAGGCACGGTTTTTATAGTAAAGAATATCATCCTTAATTGTCCAATTGGTGAGTGCCGATTTCATTGGGGGAAGGGAAAGGCCATCTAACGCATCAGAGGCGGCGGTAAAGATAGGATCAGGGTCGGAAGGGTCTGGATTGGCGAGTGTGGTCATGAGCTCAATGTCGAGGAGTTGGACAAACATGGAATCGGGGAGGAGGGTCTTGTTATCATTGTCGTTTGAGGAGTCGGTTCCATGATCAGGGCGACGAGAGAGGGCATCCAGAGCAATGAGTTTAGTTCCAGCGACGTGATGGAGTTCAATATCATAGCAAGATAGAATCAATTGCCATCGAGCTTGTCAACGAGTCAGCTTCTGCGTGGTTCGGAAATATAGGAGATTCTTATGGTCCGTGAATACGATGACCGGGTGAGCGTTTCCTTCTAGATAGTGGTGCCACTCAGTGAGGGCACGAAT